TGGTTTTAATTTTCTATCATAACAATCTTTCCAATTAATATTTGATAACCAAGAATGTTCACGAACTTCTTCTCCATCTAAATTAGATCCTAATCTTTTATTTGGATCTCTATTTAATAACTTAAATAATAATAATAATAATAATAATTTACAGCTACTATAAATGATTTTGCTTCATTAGATAAACTTCTTGGTATTTTTAATGGTCCTTTTCTAATATTATCAAATAATTATTCACGTTCATTAGCATAATATGGAGGAATACCAACCAATAATTCATATGTCATTACACCTAAACCATACCAATCTGCCATTCTATTATGTCCTTATTTAGATAATATTTCAGGTGGTAAATATGCAGGTGAACCACAAAATGATTTATTTAATTCTTCATCTGTTACTCCTTTTTTAGATAATCCAAAATCTGTTAATAAAGCATGACCTTCTGAATCTAATACTACATTTTCTGGTTTTAAATCTCTAAATATAATATTATTTTTATGTAAACATTCAATAGCTAATAATATTTCTGCTACATATATTTTAGCATCTTCTTCTGGTAATTTTCTTTTTATATCTAATAATTTAGAAAGATCACCTCCAGGACAAAAATCCATTACTAAAAATAATTTAGATTCTGTTTAAAATGCATAATTTAATTTAACTATAAATGGATGATTCATTATACTAAGTACTTCTTTTTCTGTTTATGCATATTTTAATAAATTTTAAGACATCATTCTTTCTTTCTTTAATATTTTCATAGCATATAATTTTTAATTTTCTTATCCTATTTTATCTACCAAATATACTTCTCCAAATGCTCCTTTCCCCAATAATTGATAAAAATTAAACATATTTGGTGTCATCTTTTATTATAAAATATTGACATTTAAAAATTTTGCTAGATTTTAAAATTTCGATATTTTTTTACTAGGACTATTTGTATTTTAATTATTTATAGTTTTTCCTATTGTTAATTTTTCTATTGTCATTAATTTCATTACATGATCATACCTACCATTTCTTAAAAGGAAATTTGTTCCAGGAATCATAGTTCTTTCATAACTCTATATATATTTAATTATTTTATATTACTTCATCTTGATTACTATATCCTTATTTTATATAAACTTATAAACTATTTGCATTACAACATACTTATATACAATTTTAATTGTAATTATTTTTTATATATGGATCAGCTTTTTACTGTAATAGAAATACAATCATATCTATTAAACCCATTTATGATGCTATATGTAATGGAGTATTGCCATCCCTATCTTAAATATTGATATTGGCTTTATGTTATAATAATATTTGAGCACAATTTATAAAATTCTACATGACTGTCAAAAAGAAAGGAGTTCTTTGAAATTTAGTTAAGGCATCCACAGTAGCCCCATGTTTTAATAGAATATTTATTATATTGAAATTGCCTTCATTTGATGCAAAATGTAAAGCTGTCCAATCATCTAGACCTCTAAAATAATAAATGTATTGATAATACTTAATATCAATATCAAGATAATATTCCATGGTTGGCATTAGTAATGTTTCTATTGATAATGCATCACCCAATTCTGCATAATCTAATAGATGTTCATTAAGTTTTTTACTCAACAATCTATTTAGAAAATAATTATTACATAAAATCATTCCAAGCCTTATCTTTTATAAAATATATTGTATTGCCATTCATAATATCTTGGATTTCTTTTGCTTACTTTCATAGATAGGAATTTGATACTTCTGGAATTCGCATATCAAAAATTCTGCCTGAATCTTTATCAATCATATAATACATTCTCTCTTGATTTGGCATATTGTAAAATTTTAACAATTAATTTTCTTTATGTTATGAATATCGTACTTCAAAGACTTATTATAACATTTTCATTTAATCCCTTAATGTAATAATTTTGTTTTACATCATTATATCCATTTTTACAATTTGATTGTTATAAACATCACAATTTTCCATTGAACAAAAGGTTTAATTGGAATATCTAGTTAATTTACTTGGTCTAAATTCAGGTTGATTTTGTGGTATTTGCATTATAATTTTTGTAATAGTAAATTAATTGTAAATTATACTAATACAAATATCGTCATCTGATAATCAATTTTATTATTTAGATTATAAAATATGGAATATAAATCATTTTATGTATCTTATTATGATAAGTTCTTTTTTTTTAATTAAATATTAAATTAATATAATTTACACATATTATTCAATCATCCTTCATCAAAGCTCCTCTTGATGCTTTAGCTATTATTTATACTAAATTATTGAATAATTTATCCAAAGTAATTTGTGTTACTACTTATACTTAATTTGGTAATGATGTTTCAAAGAAATTCACAAATCCTTTACAATTATTATTTTCTTCTATTTCTACTCCATATTTTTCTATTGTAAATTAATCTCTATTAGAAAGGAAATATACTCCCAATACTTAAATCATACAATTATATATATTACATTTATGTAAAGAGAATTTACTTTATTCTATCATTCCAAGAGCCCAATTACTTAATCTCTTATCTATTGATTTTAAAGCATCTAAATATTTTTGTGGTATTTCTTATTCAACTTTAGGAATAAATGTAATTTATTTATTATTTGCTTATAGAATTTCTAAAAAGATTTATAATGCTTCTGGATCACAATTATAATTAGGATCACATCCATCTGCATCTCCACCAACAATAATAACTCTTCCTATTTATTTTATTCTTTCAGGATATCTTTAAAGTAATTTCGCAAAATTTGTAGCTGCTCCTAATAATACAAGTGTAAACTAAGAATTTATATTATATATATATACAGTTGAATTCTTGCTTCTATATTCAGTTTAAATGTTAAGCTCTTTTGTTAAATCTTAACTAAATATAGGTATTTAATGATCAGGAAATATGGTGGCTTAATACATTCCATCACTATGTGATTTAACACAAGAATGATTATTATATGGAAGATCTAATCCTTATATGACTGGAATATGATAAGGCATTTATATATTTGTAGTTAATTTAAGTACATTTTCTCCTGCTTTTTCAGCTCTATTTCATAATATAAATTACGATGTAGTTCCATAAATAGTTGATATTCCTAAAACATTAAAATTGAATGCTGCATATATTATTGACAATGCTTAAGCATCTCCAGAATCTTATTTTTATATGAATAATAATATACCTGTATCAATCCACACCTTTTCTAAATTCTTTTATACACAGAAAACAAAAGGAATCAAGAAAATTAATAACATTAATATAAATATAAATTTGTTTTTTTTATTAAATACACATTAAGATTAATTAAATATATATATATATATATATAATTTATTTATAACATAATTATCATATAAAACTTATTTATTGATCATTCTTTTTGTGAGATCCAAAAGCTGAATAACTTATATAATAATAATAATATTATTTTACATTTTTCTTTATGTAGATTTAGCTGTATGTATTCTTTTAGGAGATTAAAATTATGAAAATATATCATCATTTTCAGTTTATCTTGTTTGAAGTGTATTTCGACTGCAACTCATTGTCTTTCTTAATTTAGCCTTTAATTATCTACTAGTTGGATTCCAAGATCTTTAAATAAGAGGTACAGCAGTATTAGTTGTAGAAGTTACAAAAGTAGGAGATGTAAAATATGGATCTGTTGAAGTAATTTAGAGTACAGTTTCAAATGATTCATACTTTTACATTTTTTTAGATTTTGTACTAATTGCACTTTAAACTCTATTAATTAAAATTTAATTATCTTCTAGATTAGTAGTTTTAACTCTTTATTTCTTTTCAGCTCCAGTCCAAATTTTTCTAGATACTCTATCTCTAATTTATTCAATTAAATTTGTATCAACCATTAAAAATTTAGTTTTAGCATCAGTTTATTATTTCTTTTAATGATATAACTTATTTTAATGAGCAATTTCTGTTTATAATAGTATTCTAGGTTTTTATGATCGAATATCATTCTTATCTGGTCTATCATGTGGATCTTTGAATATTTCTTATACAGTTTTTCTTTCAGTAATTAACAATTATGGTTATTCTTTTTATTTATTTTCATGTTATGATAATATAGATATTATATTATTTTATCTATTATTCATATATTCAGAAATTTAAGAACTTTTGTCTTTCAATATTTTAACAATATCTGGAAAATTCTTTTTTAAATTATTAAAATCATTAGCTTCCATAAAATAAGCTGTTGTATTATCTAACACTTAACAAGAATATAATCTATATGGAAGTGATTCTATTATTTCTTCTTATCCAACAAATGAATTATCTGATAATTAACTTAAAATGATCTTCTTTTTCTTTTTACTGGTAAATTAATTTATTAATCCTTCTGATATATACTTATATAATTATACTCTTCCTTTTAAAATTAAAAAATAAAATTTAGGTTCATCTCCTTCTTTCCATAATATTGCTTATGCTGAAAATTATATAGTTCTTAAATTTTAAATAAATTTAGTAACAGTAAATTTACTAGCTCCATTAAATAATTTAATAAAATAATCTACATTAGCATTTTATTCTTATATCTATTTCTCACAAACTAATCTATAATCATGTTTATTCATTGATATCAAATGTGCTTCTTCTGATACTACTATTATACTTGCAGATCTTGGTTAATCATGAATAAGTGCTTAATCACCAAAACATTAACCTGAATAATATTACCATACTTTCTTAAACAAAGGAACTCCATTATTATAATACATATTATTATCTTATAACATTTTTAAAGCTAAATCATATTTATTTTGTTAAGTCAAAACAACTGTTTTCTTTTTCTTTAATAAATTGTTATTTACACCAATATTAGTATCACTATTTTGTTAAGTTAGAAAGTCTAAATCATTTTCAATATCTTCATTTGATCTTTTCATATATACACCTACTTCACCATTTAATAACAGATAAAATCTATCTCCATAATCTCCTTAATTCATTATTGTTTAACCAAAATTGTAATGTTCATATTTAAAAAATTATGCAGCATACATAGCAAAATCTCTAACTTTCATACTCTTTTCACATTATTTCTATATGAAATCTATTGATGACAAAGAATCAGCCACTTATTCTGCTTAAGCTACTGTATGTAATTAAGTATACATTCTATATACTTATACTGCTGGTTATAAATTGATTTCATTTAATTTACGAATCAATTCATGATCTGGTTGTTGTTCTTAAATGATTGATCTTTTATTTTTCATTTATTTTATTTTATATAATTTTAGACTTCATTCTTATACATAATTATCTTAATAAGATATTATGAAAAAAGTAAGATAAAAATTCAATATATTAGATGTTAATTTTATTAAAGTTCTATTTTTTGAATATATATATTTTAATACATGAAAATTCATAAAAAAGCTTCATTTAATGAGATTTTTGTAAAACATGATGCTCATATCAATCGATATATTAAAAGAATAATTTAATTGTTTGAAGAAGGGTATATATTTTATCATAATCTAATTTAAGCATACAAACTGTATTAATACATGGATTATCTGCAAGTATTGAAAAATGTGTAAGAATTGCTTTATAAATAATTGATTAATATTGTGGAATCACCTATAAAATAAAAACCAGCTCTCAAGATAATAAGTCTGGAATCCATATTGAATTGACAAAATAATTATTAATATGAATTCTTATATTAAGCAATATTATTTCATTCATAATAAAATTCTAATTAATATCATGCAATAAACATAAACTCCAGAATAATTCTCTTTTATTTGTCATGATACCTAACATAATTCAAATCAAATTAGTAACTTCTAATAAAGTGCTATGTAAATTTTTATATTCATTTATAGTTTTGGACAAGATACTTAAGAACCTTAAAATGAATTTAATACTCAATATAATCCATCAACTCCAAGATAACATTTATATTAAATTCTTGAATCATTTGGTAGTATATTAGCAAGATATTTGGCTCTATAAATGATTGGTATACCAAGTTCATTAAAATAATCTATTGAATACTTAAATAATAATATTCAGGATATGAAAATGTTTATCTATAATGCATAAGAATTGTTTAATACCAAAAATTAATCAAAAGAATTTTAATTGGCTAGAGAAGAATAATGCTATTAAATATAAGCAATTATTGAAGCAATTGAAGATGGTCAATGCAAATAAGCTCTATCTAAATTATTAGGTAAAATAGAGGAAGTTAGATTTGCATCTTAATATATCTTAACAATTGCAAATATAGAAATACTTGAAACTGAAACTATTTATTTTCAAGTTATAGAAAAAGATCCAAGCATGAAAACATTTATTGATTTAGTTAAAAAAGACTCAAAAATAATTGCCTAATAACTTTCCCCTCATCTTATTGTACTTAGTGCAGTATTTAAAGATTTGCTTAAGTTAGATATGATTCATTAATTATAATAGAATAATTATAGTCTATAACAATTAGTCAATCATATTCAATAATTAAGTAAAGATTAAGATATATCATCATATTGTTAATAGATATCAAGAATTTATCCTAGTATTTAAGAACACTTTATAGAAATCGAAGAAATTAGAAATAAATAAAGAGATCATTTTGAATATATTTTAAGTAATTAAGATAGAGATATTTTATAATTGTTTTATGACAAATAAAATGTTTATGTACATTAATTTCCTTAAGATAAATATCTACCTGAAGAAATATGTGAATTGATTTAATTAACTTATTTTTTAATTACTTAAAGTTAAAAAGAGGCTACAATTGAAAAAATAGAAAATTAAATATAAAAAATATTAAAAGATGAAAAATTTAAATAATATTCATTCATTTTTGATTTGATTGCTGATTGCATATATTCAAGTTAATTGAAATTGTTATTTTATGGATATGTAGAATGTATTCTAGATACTAGATTAGCCAAATTTACTAGCTATTTATAAGCAGATTTAATTACATTAAATTCTTTATCTAAATAATCATAAGCAAAATTAAATGATTAATAATTGTAATAATTGAAAGATATGCTTTGTATTACAAAAAGAGAAAATTTATAATTCTAAGATTTTACTTAAATTATTATTTCAGCTGGTTAAATAGAAACTTTAGTAGCTTCAAAATAAAATGATACTCTTTAAGATGCAATTAAAGAATTAGAAGATTAATTATATGAAAGTCTTGAAATTAATGAATTGATTATAAATAAAGAACCATCAGCTTTATAAATAAGAGTGAAGAAATTGAAATCACTTATGGGATTATTTGTTAGATATTATAAAGTTTCAAATGAGACATTACAAAGATTAATCATATATTAAGAATAAATGTTTGAAAATAAATAATCATCTGCAATTTTCCAAAAACCTAAAATAAAAGCTTCTAAAGAATAATTAAGTACTGTTCAAAATCAAAAGAAGACTTAAAATTGGATTGACATGTAGAATTAAATATTAAGTGCAGATGTATTAGGAACAGAAAAGAATTATTATAGACCAAGCATTTATAAAATATTTATGGGATTGACTAATTAATAAAAAAATGCAAGTCCAGCAACTTTGTAAAAAATTTTAAGAAACTTTTAAGCTAAATATTAGAATACTTATGCAAACTAAATTCAAAGTGATTTTGTAAATTTATTAAAAGAAATTATGTAATATTAAAAGGATAAATAAGTTATATTTGAAACAAATTTTAGAAGATATTATAAAAAAGAATTCAAAAATTAATTGATGGAATTACCTAACAACTAATTTGAAAGTGTGGCTTATGCATAATAATTGATTTAAACAATAGAAAATTAATAAAATAATTGATAATCATATTATATTTTTATAAATTTAAGTGCAATAAACATGAAAGTCATTAAATTTAATTAAAAATTCTAAGAAATCAATATTTAGTGTAAGGTTCTTTATTAATTACTATTCTTGGTGCAGCTACTCTTGGTTCTACAAGTCCTTTTTTACCTTATTAAGTTTATAATTGAGGTCTTTTAGGAATCATAGGTTTTTGAGCAGATTGGGGTCGAATTTATTATTATTATATTTTTTTATTGTCTTTTGGAGAATTAATTGGTTAATATTTGGGTGCAATAATAGATTAAGCTTTAGCAGGTTATTAAACAGGAATTTATTTAATTTTTGGATCTATTTCTTTAATGGCAATATCTTCTTTAATTTTTCTTATAGCATCAACTTAATCATTTTCTTATCTTTTTTTTTCTGGTTTGGTCCAATCATATATATAATCTAATTAAAGATTTTATTTTTGTAACGTCTATTTAAAGAGATTCCTCAAATAATTATAATCTGGTTTTTCTTCAAACTTTAATTTCTTAACATAATTTAAGTACAATGTCATTTCTTCAGGTAATCCTTAACAAAGTTATTCAGTTGTTGTTTTTATTTTCTTTTCTTTTATTAGTACATATTTGTCATTTTTATTGTTACATACAAGATTCATCCATGGTAAAGTACCTTTGGCTAAATATACAAGAACATAAGCTAAGCCTTCAAGATCATCTCTTCTACTTTGTTCATATCCCAAATGAGTATTAATACTTGCATAACGAGCAGTACCTGTAAGTGGTTTATTTTCTTTAAATGGAATATGTCCATCCTTTGTTAAATATCTTTTAGCTAAACCCATATCTACAACATATAATTTAGACTATTTTTTGCCAATTCCCATAAGAAAGTTATCAGGTTTGACATCACGATGTATGAAGGATCTTGAATGCATAAATTCAAGTCTTGAAACCATTTGTTCTGCAAGCATACACACCTGAATTTATATTAATATTACTGTTTTAATGGATAATTTACGATGGCATTAAGCAAATAAATCTTCAATTGATTTTCCCAATAGCTCCATTACCAAGTAATTATAATCTCCTTCTGTTGCTGCTCCAAATACCTTTGGGATTCCTGAGAAATCGAATTTAGTAGATACCTTTGTCTAATTATTAAGAATCTTAATGAAGGAAAGCATAAACTTTGGCTTCATATAGAATTTGTGGATATTGACAATTAGTTCTTTCTAATTTGATAGCATATTCTTCTTTCTGTTTATTTTATGCCAAATAAATTTCTCCAAAAGCACCCATTCCTAAACGTTAAATGAGTTTGTAATTTTATTGTTATAAGTAAGTATTTGATAAGTTTCTGTTGCCTAATGGATTATCCATTATTAATTTATTGATTCTAATAATTATATCACTAAATGTCTAGATTATATTAATATTCAAGTATTATAGAGAATTGATAATGTAGAATGAATACTAAGAGATAATTTATATTAGTTTATTAAATGGATTAGAATTAGTGAACTCTATTTATAATTCAAATTAAGTAATATATGTATGTATTCAAAGTATATGAAATGAAATAAAACCATTATTTTATACATTATATCATATCATAAATTGGATTCATAAATTCAATTTCATATTGGCTAGATATAAATTATATTATTATCAAATCTTATAACATTATAAATTTTAATATTATGATTATATTCTACATTATAGAAATTTGAATTATAAAAAAGTGAAGTAAAAGAATATACTCTAAATGTTATGTCAGTCTTTTATTTAATAATTTTTAGGCATTATTAATGAGTATCTTAAATAAGTTAAAAATAATTTCTTAGAAATTGATTATATATATTAATAATTTGAAAGCATCATGATAACATTAAGAAAAATATTTTAATTGCTATTATCAATAAAAAATAAATTTATTTATTATGGAGTATAGACCACCTATGAAACCTAATAGAGAAATTCCTCCATCTATTGCTTAAATTCAATAAGAATAAAGAATGAAATTCCAATTATAATAGATACAGTCCAAAATCATTGAAGAAAGACCAAATTTTTAAGAAATGTAAGGTGGATAATCTCCAAATAAACCATGGTTAGGAGAAGATATATATATGGTTGTATTTCTACTTACTGTTGAAAATGATCGATTAAGAGAAGAAAATACTCAGATTTAGCAACTTATTAATACTAGTGAAATGAGATATAAAGGAGTAGATTTGGTTGAAAATGAAGTTATATCATAAAGAATAAAAATTGGTGAATATGAGAAGAAATTAGCTCAATTATAAATGGAATGTGAATAATGGAGAGTTAAATATTAGAATAGAGATAAAGAAAGTGAGGATTAAAGATATCAAAATGAACTTTAAAGAAGAATTCAAGTAGATAGAGAAATAAGAGAACTTACAGCTAGATTTATTGCAGATAGAAATCAATTAGAATAAGAAAATAGATAATTAAGAATTGAATTAGATTAAATTAAATTATCAAAATATTCTTTTGAAGATCATAAGAAATTATCTGAATAATTATAAAAAGAAAATTAAAAATTAAAATAAGAATTAGATTCATTAAAGTATATATTAAATATTATTTTATTAGAAAAGGTTTTGATGAATTAGAATATGTATTATAAACTGCTGGAGATTTAGAATAAGAAAATTAATAACTTAAAATGTAAATTGATACACTTTAAAAATAAATACAATAATTACAATAATAACAATAATTATAATAATAATAATAAATACCTTAAAGACCATAATCATCTAATAGAATTGAACTATGTAATTAAATCAATTATTATCTCTAGCTAATTCTAATTATAATATTATGTAAGAGAATAAGAGATTAAAAGATGAAATTGATAGATTAAGAACATTACTCAATTTAGGAACTGGAAATTATTCTAAACCATTTATGTGATATAATTAAATTATAATAACAATTATTCTACTTCTATCATTTAGTCAATTATATATTCATCAATTTTTTAGATAATAATAAATATTAATTAATTGATCTTTATATAAATTTCTTGATAGATTATAAATTATAATATTATTTAGTAATAAATATAAACAAAAGTTATAATCAAATCTATAATTTAATAAGTAATCTTATAAAAAAATAATAAAAATCAATTTAAAACTGGTTAAATTTCATAATAAATAATATCATGATTATTTAAATTAATCTATTTGAATGTATTATGGTTATTTAATATTTAATTATTAAAGTAAAATTGATATTTATATCCTTCCAATTATTTTAAATTTTATAAATCTTATATTTAATTATTTTAATTCATAATTACTCTAATTTTAAAATCATCTAATTCTTTTTTACATATATAGAATGTAATACTTTTATCTACAACTTTTAAAGTAAAGATTTTATTTAATTATTTATAATTAATCTTATATATTTTAGTTAATTCAGAAATTTAATAATCATCAGATAATATTTAATCTTTAATAAATAATTAATATTAACAATGTTTATCAATTTGACATTGTTCAATTAAATAATTTTTTAAATCCCCTATCTTTGTATTTTTAGAAACCATATAATGTTGTAGCATTTTTATGGAATCTATATGTATTTATATAGTAAAGTTATCAGATAATTTCAATCTAATTTCAGAATATGGTTTTATTTTATATTCATAAAATAACATATCTCTATTATATTATTTTTGTTTTAATAATTCATCTTAAAAATATAGTTAAAATTCTTATTTAAGATGAAAATAATTCTAAATTTATTAATATACTTAATCTATTGTTGAAAATATATTGATCATTATAAATTACTCAACTTAGTAGTTTATTGAATAAGTTCCCATTATTTAACAATTAATTACAGAATCATTTTAAATAGATAAAGCTTTTAGTGATATATCTTTTCTTAATTATTATTATTTATAAAAGAAATTCAAATCATAAGACACTAAATTATGAGTTTTTTTGATTAACTTTTCTAATATAAATAAATTATCAAAAGAATTAAATACATGAGTAACTTTTTCTTCCATTGTTTAGAATGTGATTGTAATTTGAATTTAAATACTCAAAATTATTTTAATATTTGAAGATGTATTTATTTGTAAATGTATTAAGTCTTGAGACATATCCTTTTCTTAATCATTTATGGTTAAACAAATTTTAGTTTCTTCTGGAATTTATTTTTATAAATGAATAATAGCCTCATCAAAATAGAACTTCATAGGTTTCTAATAATCAGGATTTTTAATTTCATATGTATGATTATTAAGTTGTGGAAATATTATTTTAATCATATAAATAATAAATAATTATAAAATTATAGTATTATTAATATTCATTAATACTATCATTTGACAATTTAACTTCTAGAATTATAATATAGATGTAATGATTTTCGTTTTATAACTTAATTTATAATATTTAATGAATAGTTATTTGTATAAAATATTTCATTTATTCATATATATATATTAGATTAATTATTATCACTTGATATAATTTAGTATTGGTTTAAATCAAATATCATTATGAAAATCTATTATATACTTATATTGAATTTGTTTCTCTCTTTTTAAAGTATATAATATTAAGTATTTTTTATAGAGGTTTCAAGTTGATCATTATGAATTTTATAAATTGTTGACATTTTTTTATGTAATATTATTATTAAAGTTTTTAGGATGTGTGACTCTGATAGCGATGTTGAGATACTGGATTTTGAATAAGGACTTAAACTTTAATAGAACACAATAGAAAATCTAGAGAAGGAACTTCAAGTAGAGGATTTAATTATTTAAGATTGTGATCACAAATAGCTCATATTACTAATAATAAATATAAGAGTTATTATCTGAAAAGAATTCAATGAAAAAAAGAGTAAAGGAATTAGAAGAGTAGAACTTATAGCTAGAAAATAATCTTTAAAAATAAAATTAGACTTATCAGAGAACTATTGAGGAACTAAACTTTGAATCATAAAAGAATGAGGAGAAACTAAGAAAACATTTAGAAAGTCTAATGGAATAACAAAAATAAGAATTTGAAAGAATTTTAGAAAAATAGAGTGAATAGATTAATGATTATGTTAAGAAATTGGAAAATTAAGAGGAAGAGAATAATATAATATAAAATAAACTAATAGCTACTGAATTATTTAATTGTAAATTATAATCAAGTCTAAGTGAATTATAAATGGATATTAAAACTAAAGCTGAAACTAGAAAATGTGTTTAATAATTTAATGAAAAATTAATGGGTGAAAATATTAATAATCTAAATAAAATAGAATCACTTAGTATGTAAGTTGATGGTCTTGAAGAAAAACTATAGAAATTAACTTAATAAAGAGATCATTTTAAGAAGTAATTTGTAGATATCTCATAGAAAATTCTATAATATCAATAAGAGATATCTTAATCAAATAGTAGTATGAATATCTAATCAATATTATATAGTAAAATTAGATTTGAAGAATAAATATGAAATATGTTCAGAATAAATGAAGAAATATTAATAATTACTAAGGGATTGTGCTGATGAAAATAAAAGATTAAAGTAAATTATTGGATAATTTTAATCATAAATTGAAGATTCCAAATATAAATCAGATTTATATATCAAAGAAAATACTAATCTAAAAAATTAATTAAGTATATGAAATATCAAATTAGATACTGTATAATAATATTATAAAGAACAGATTAACCAATTATAACTTACCTTGTCTAGTAAAGATGCTTAGATTTAGTAGTTGAGTGAACCTAATAAATTAACAATCAAAAGATTACAAAAATAAAATTAATCTATTTTATCAATATAATAATAAGAATAAGAGAAGAGATAATTAATAGAATAGAAAATTAAATCTTAATAATGATTCAAAATATTATTCATTTCAATGCACAAATATCATTATTATCAATGTATTTTGCAATAATTCTGGCCATTTCATTAATATCAGTAAAATCTGATATATTTCTTAATATTCTTGTAGGTTATTCATGCCATTTTTCTTCTTTTATCTATCCATTCTCAAATGTCCAAACTTTATCTTTCATTTATTCTATAAGCACTTTACTCTCTTCTACTATTCCTTTCTCTTAAATCTTTTTTACTATTTCTGCTAATTAAGGATTTTCTCTTATACATTTCTTTAAGTTCTAATATTATCTCCAATAATTATAATTTTTAACAGTCACTTTTACTTTCTCATTTAATTTATCAATCTCTTATGTCAAATTACTAATTATTTAAGTACTATTATCAATTAATCTTACAATCCCTTTTGAATCAATAATCATCATGTCTTATTTATCTAACATTAATCCATATATTCTTTAGAGTATTATATTAAATCTAAATCTTCCCATTTATTCTTCTTAAGGAAACCAAGTCTCTATTGTATTATCTAATATTGATCTAGTTAATTCATATTTATCTAAAAATGCTTAAAATTTACTAGTCCATGTTGTAAATTTTATATAACCTAATATTGCTATTTATAAACCAAATTATGGATTATTTTTTTTTATTTTTATCAATTCTTTTAATTTCTCAATATTTTCTTCAATTTCATAATCAAATAACCAAATTAATAAAATTTTATCAGATTTCCTATGAATTTCTAGATTTTTTGGATGAGGATCCAATTCTTCATATGGTGGTTTCCATTTCTCTACAAATGGTATATTAGCATATTTAGTTCCTAATACTTTATCAACTTTTGGTATAGTTTAAAATAATTTAGCTACTAAATCATTTATTCGATCAATTACAGGATCTTCATTAGGTTCATATCTAATAGTTTCAGTAGCTGTAATCCATAATTTAATTTATGAAATATAATCCAAACTTTTATAATAAGGAACTAAGATTCCATCTTCCCAATGATGAACTTTTATTTCACAATATTCTTTTGTAATAGATATGATAATGTCTTTTTATAAGGCAATTTAAACATTAAGTGAAAATTCTTTAATTTTTTCATTAATTTTAGCTTTAAGTAATTTAGAATCCCATTTGAGATTCTTTTTACCTAATTAATTAGCAAATTTATCAGAAATTGAAAAAGATTTAGGAGAACTATTTATATAAATAATTGGTTGATCATAATAAACTTACTTATCTTCCTTATAATAAATAGTTTTCTTTTTTATTGTTACTTCAACATCTCTACTAAAAGATTACTTTTTTTAATTCATTATAAATTATTTCAATTTAATATATTCTTATTATTTAATGAATGAAATATTAGTAATAACATTAATTTGATTAACTTATTTTACACCATTTTCAATAATTTCTAATACATCTTTTTTTACAATATGATAATCACTTTGAAATTGTAATTTATCAATATAGTGCTTATAAATGACTTATCCATCATATAGTAATAATGCACTTAATATAGAATTGTGATTAATTTGATGAGTCTATTCATCATATTATAAATCTAGAATGTTGTCATCTTCAATAATAATGTGATCATATTCTTCCCATCCAATATTCATGATTATCTTTTTATATGTTTCAATATCTCCTCTCACTAATCCAATTAATTTAATGCCCTCTATCTATATACAAGATTAAAAATTCATCATCATTTCCCCCATTCCCCATAATCTCACTAAAGTGTATCCATTTTAATTTAATTCAATTAAGGATCCATTTATAGTCTTAAATCCAATATTGATTGGATCTCCTAAACTAATCCCACAATAAAATTTGATTCCTGCTTCTTCATTTAATTATTTTATTTTCTCAATATCCATTGGCTTAACTAAACCCAGCGAATCTATTACCTTATTAATAAATTGTATACCTTCTCTTTTTTTATATCCTCCTTTCTAAATAATCCATCATATTTTAGACTATATGTAGTTAATTTTTATATTGAATAGGATTCAAATTCATGTAACTTTTATTTTAAGTTTTTGATGACTTCACTCTTGATTTCTTTTTAAAATTCCATCTATGGTAATATATCTTCATTTTAAGGACCACATTATTTACATTTTCCAATAATTTATTAACCCATTTATATATAATATTAATTAAATATAATTATATATAAATAATATTATTTAGAAATAATAATAATTATATTATTCTTATCTCTAATTATGTATATTATGTAGTTCATCTAAATTAATATAAATTTTATATATTAATATTCATTAAAATTTAACATATTTATTTATTTATATATATATATTTAATTTTATTAACAACAATAATAATAACTGTAATTTTAGTTTGATGTTTTTAAATTTAATATCTTGTAGATTAGTATTTCTCCTCTCTATTTTCCATCATTAAAATATCTTACCTTACATTTTATTTTATTATTATTACCTACATTTACTTAAGATATTATATTATAAAAAATACTACTAATAAAATTTAGTAATTTTTGGTTTTTATCATGGTAATACTATTTAATTAAAAATGTAATTATTGAAAAATGAGAAAATTTATACAAAAGATCTTATAGATATTTTAGTTTATAATTCAAATTTTAGTAAATAACTCAAATTAATATTTTAAAAATCATGATGAAGACTTTAACTTTAGGCAATATTAATGAATTAATTTAACTTTCAGAAGAGGAATTTATTAAGGCAGAAGAAAATTCTAAAATGGCAAATAGAGGTGTAGTAATTTTCTACTCAATGTTTGCAATAGCAATTCATATTGTGTTATGTGTTGAAGTTTTTAACTATGAAAACACAGCTTCTAAGGTTTGTTCCATAGTTGCAAGTGCCTTATTTATGGTACAACATTGTTACAGTGGAAGAGCAGGTTGTCTTTTCAACTTGTGTTGCACTTTACCAGTCTGTATTGCAGGGTTTGCTATCAGTAATGTGAAATTAGTAAATACTCTCGCCTTTATTTTCCAACTATGTATTTGGTTAGGAGAGTATTACTACTTGGTAATACAACTAAATACAGATGCCTTATTAAAATAACGACCAAGAACACAAGTTGGAACTAATGATTAGAATAGTGGAAAATTAGTAATTAAAGTAGATGGGTTATAATTATCAAACACTTAATAATAAGAAATAAAGAAAGAGTTCAATGAACTAGCAGGATTACTTCAAAATGGCTTACAATAGATCAATCATTAATAATAATTGCATTAATAAGAATTGAATGAAAAATAGTAAAAATAAGAGTAAAATCCAACCTAATAAAATTGATTTATAGTGTAATTATTAAATATAATATCATCTTTAAATATGATATCATACTAGATCTAAAAAAAGATTAACTTTCTATATATATTTTATTATCCAATTAAAACTGGTTTTTATTAATAAAATTAATTAAAATCTATTTTATTAATTTATAATTAATTAATTTTAGCTAAATTATTTATTGTTTTTAATTATTCAAAATCATCGAACATCCTAAATTTTTAATAAATAGACATGTTTAGAAACAAATCTTATTATACTATTTCAAGATATTCATTATTTAGGTTTAAATTAAATTTATAGTTATATAAATGTAGTAAATCTATAGGATAGATTATTTAAAGTTGAAATTATAAATGATTCTTAATTTTTTGAGGATATAAAGTCATATAGAGGGTAGTTATTTTATGTATAAAAAAATATACAAAATACTTTCTATATATTATTTTAAATTTCTTAAATAAATATTGATGGAATGATATAATAATTTAGAGTAATTATTCATATAAAAAAAGGATTTTATAGGTGTTATTTTAGGTCAAGATTTTTTAAATAATTTATATTTTTTGTATTGATAATATAATTTTTATAACGAAATGAGTGAAGAGATAGAACCTCATATAGCAAGAAAATTCGAGATTATCTAGAAATTAGGGAAAGGTGCTTATGGCATAGTTTGGAAAGCAGTAGATAAGAAATTAAAATAGGTATTATTGTTTAATTATTGAAGGTCGTTGCACTAAAAAAAGTATTTGATGCTTTTCATAATGCAACAGATGCTTAAAGAACATTTAGAGAAGTGATGTTTTTGTAGGAATTGAATGGTCATGAAAATATAGTGAGATTACTTAACATTATAAAAGCAGAGAATAATAAGGATCTTTACCTGGTATTTGATTATATGGAAACTGATCTTCATGCAGTGATTGTAATTATTTAATAATAATAAATAAAAGAGAGCAAATATATTAGAAGAGATTCACAAGAAATATATAGTTTACTAAACTCTAAAGGCATTAAAATTCATTCATTCAGGAGAATTAATTCACAGAGATTTGAAACCATCAAATATATTATTAGATTCTGAATGTTTAATAAAAGTAGCTGATTTTGGATTAGCAAGAAGCTTAGCTTAAACAGAAGATGATAGTACTAGATTAATTTTAATATATTTGTAGGTTAAATAGTGTTAACTGAATATGTAGCAACAAGATGGTATAGAGCACCTGAAATCCTTTTAGGATCTACTAAATATTCAAAGGCTGTTGATATGTGGTCAGTAGGATGCATTATAGGCGAATTGATAGTTGGTAAAGCAATTTTCCCAGGAACATCGACACTTAATCAAATTGAAAGAATTATTGAACTTTTAGGGAAACCAAGAGGAGATGAAATTGAATCTCTTGATAGTCCTTTGGCTGCTAATATTTTAGCTTCAATTAATACATCAAAGAAAAAAGCATTTTAGTCATTTTTTTAAGGTGCTTCAGAAGAAGCATTAGATTTAATTAGAAGACTGTTATGTTATAATCCAAATTAAAGATTGACTGCAGAATAAGCTTTGAAACATAAATATGTTAGAGACTTTTCTTCTCCTGATGAAGAAATTGTATGTTAACATCCTTTAAGAATTACAATGAATGATAATAAGAAGTTTACAATTAAAGAATATAGAGAAGCTTTATATGCAGATATTAGTTAAAGAAAAAAGGAATAAAGAAAGAAATGGCAAGCAAAATATTTAGCTTAATTAGGAGTATCTCTGGATGAGAAATAAAATTAAGTTTAGTAGATTCCAGAAAAAGAAGAAACAATTTAAGAACAAAAACTTTCTTAACCAGATCTCATTCAATAATAAATATATTAATAATAATTGTTATTGTAATAATAACGAAAAGCATAAAGACCACAATCTGGTTAAATGGGAGGAAGATAATCCTCTGTAGAAATGCCAAAATAATCTTAAGCTTAATAATAAGCTATTGTTCCTTAATAATAAACTCATCATAAGAGTAGTTCTATGATTTAATCTATGCAAACTAAATAAGGATATTATTATCCTTTTATTTAATAATAGATGGCTGCCTAACCTAATAAAGTTAACAAATCTGCTGTTCAAACTTAACAGTAATAACCTTAATAAAGGCCATCAACCAGCTATTACTAAAAACCTCTGACATAAGTTACAACTTCGTCAGTTAAGAAATGACAAGTTTGAATTATTTCACATTATATATCACACATAACTCAATTTATTAAGTTCCTTTTAAAATTATTCCTTTACACTTATAGGTGCTTAGTTACAATTACTTAAATCTTTAAAGTATGGCATTGTCTATAATATTGTATCATCATTAAGCATTGCAAATAATGTTGATGTCACTCTCCATCTCTTATTTTATTTTATTGATTCTCTTTTAGCCTCTTCTGTCAAAAATGCTTCATGATATCCTGCTTTATAGACTCCTCCTGTCATTAATTCAAAAAGCTTTCCTGGCTATAACAAAACAGTTTATTCAGGAATTCTTAATTCTACTCTTTTTCCATTTGGCAACCATACAAATAAACCAGGGAATCTTGATTTAGTATGAATAGTAATAAAATTTAAATCTTAATGATTTACAATGTAATACCATAATGATATCCTGAAAATCTTGTATTTATTTAGTGTTTCTATAAATCACAACCTATTGGTGATAATAAATGAGTAGCTTTATTCATATTATTATAAAAAAAATCTTATTTTTCATTAAATGCTAATGACAATATTTCTAATACTAATTCTGTTGTTCTTAATAATTAAATTTACCATTTATTCATAATTCTTTCAAAATTTGGGAAATCTTTAGGAACCCATTAAGGAGGATTATATTATCCATCATATCTATAAGGCCAAAAATATTTCCATTTAGGATCTCTATCTATTAATATTGGTTGATCTATCATTAATTTTAAAGACTCTTTATCATAATTAGGTTTTCCAATATTTTCATATCCCAAACCAATTTAATATTTATATTAAGGAAAACAATCATCAACTTTTCCAGATTATTCTAATTGTAAGGCTCTTTTTTCAAAATATTACTCCATTAAATCAAAATATTCTTCATTTGCTTTCCAATCAATTCTTTTGTCCTTCACTAATAGATATCCATAATTCTTAAGTTGTGAGTGTATTTAATCATTTGAAACTCGATTGCTTAAATCAATTATGGAACTAAATCGATATTTCGAGATATTGCGCATTATATTAAATAAAATTTAACTTTGATTTTGTTATTTTATTATGAAGCAATTAATAATATGTCTATTAAAATTTAAAAATTTAGTATTATTATTACCCTATTTATTCATTCATCTTACCATATACTTTAACAAATACTAAAGATATTTTAAAAATAATTCAATAATGTAAAATTTAAATTCATATTATTTACAGTTTTCATATAATCAAATATGTTTTAATTTTGATAAATAATTTAATATTTTCTTCTCAATCCTATATTAATATTTAGTATAATATTAAAGTAATTAATATCATATATAGTAGTTTAATTTTCCATATAACATATATACATAATTATACTATTAGGATAGTAATTAAATATAATATAAATTATTAGAAATATATATATATTAGTATTCTTGTATAATATTTAAATAATTATTGATATCGATAATAGTAATTTAGTTGAAGGATATGAAATATATTAGAAATGATTGAATAAATAAATAAATAAATCTTATATTTTTATCATATATAGAATTATTAATACTAATATAATGAGTGCTTGTAATGTTTATCATGTTGACTAAAACGTAATATTTGTGCTCAAAGATAGTTAATCAAATGATAAATAGAAACAATAAAGTATGCAATTTACCAATTATAGTCCGTAAAATCAATAAGGAAAAGTTAAAAATAATCTTGTAAATAAGCGGATGCAAAGCAGCTCATTCATATTCTCTTTGTGAGAAAATATTTGAAATGATATTCAGTAAATTGTTGGGTACAAAAACACTCAATACTTTTAGAAAATTTTGATAAATAAAAGAACCATCAACCAATAAATGGATAATCTAATAAATAATTAAATTCAGCCACAATAACTGAAAAACACTTCAAAGAATTAGTATTCAATTCTGTATTTGAAAAAAAATATATTCGAGAAAAAGAAGACCTTTATAAAGAAGATTTTTAGATTGCATGGAGTTTGACAGAGAAAAAATAGCCACTCATAATACTATTTGGTGGTACATCAGGGACTGGTAAAAGTACAGCTAGCAGTATTTTAGCTTCAAGATTTGGAATTTCTACAGTCCTAAGGTATTATTATTATGTTAAATTTAAAGCACTGATTCTATAAGACATATAATGAGAAATTTCTTATCAAAAGAAGAAAATCCTGTTTTATTTGCTAGTACATATGAAGCTGGTAAGACATTACCTGATCTGAATATAAGTGAATAAAGAAGGATAATAAAAGGATATAAGGCATAATGTGAATTAGTTTAATAGAGATTAGAACATGTAATTAATACTTTTGATGAAAAAATGGATTCAATAATTATTGAAGGAGTACATTTAACACCTATTTTTATGATGAAGATAATGAAAAAATATAAAAGAGTATTACCATTTGCAATATGTATTAAAAAAGAATCAAAACATAAAGAAAGATTTGCTGTAAGATCTAAATATATGACTTTGGATTCTAGACATAATAAATATGTTGAGAATTTTTAAAATATTAGATTGATTTAAAAATGGTTTTTAGAAAAAGCTGATGAATTTCTTATTCCAAAAGTAGATAATGTTAATATTGATAAAAGTATAGATACTATACATAGAACTATTATTTAATATATGAAACATTTATCAGATGATTAATCTATTACAGAACTTAAAAATGCATTTCCTATTTATGAAGAATTTAATAAAGTTATAAGTGATGCATGGAGTTCTAAAGAAGTTAAAGATTATATTCATAGTTAAGTTAATAAAACAGAAATCTATGAATAATTTTTATAAAAGATGAATGAATAATAAGTAGATACTAATTCAACCATTATTTAAGAACCAGATAAAGCTAATCCAAAAGTTTTGATTTAATAATCAGTTTAAAAATTTAATGAAATCAGTTTTAAAAATGAAAATAGAGATAATTAAAATAATTTAACTAATACAACTGAAGTTAATTATATAGTTGATGATTAAGATGAAAAAAAGGATAATTTAAATCATATAAGTGATTAAGAAGATTAAAATGAAGAGAGAAGAAGAAGAAATTAAGATAATAATGCTAATCCAACTCTTAAAAAAACTAAATCATTAAAAACATTAATAACTTAAAATGAAATTGAATAATAACTCTAAGAACCTATAAAAGAATAGAATAGTAAAAAGAATCTGAAAGTAGCATTTTAAGAACCAGAATTTGAAAAAGAAGAGTAAGAGTAAACAGAATAAAAACCTCATAGAACTGATTATAAAGGAATTTTGTATCATCTTACTAAACATAAAAGAATTTTCTTAAGTAAAAAGACAAAACCATCAAATTTAGTATTTATTAAGAAGATGATTTCTAATTATAATAAAAGTTATTAAAGTCATGATAGAATTAAATTAATTTAAAATAATGATGGTAGTTATTGTTTATTTAAAATGAATGTATAAAAGTTTATAAAGAGATGTGATTCAAGAGATGAATCTTCAAGTGATCCTGATGATAAGTATTTATTTATTATTTAAAATATTATAGTGAATAATCTGTTGTTTAATAAGGAAAATCAGTTATGACTCTCTCTAACTTTCCTTTTAGTGAAAGAAGAGATTAATCAGATGGAGATTCTGTAAGATTTAGAAATGATGTAAATAGTGATGAAGAGGAAATTGAAAATGAAAACGAAAATGAAAATTCTGTTGAAGGTAATTTAAATAGATCTATTATTAGCATCTAGTTCTGATGAAGAAGAAGGTAATCTAGAAAAAGTTAAATTGAAAATGAATGATGATGAAGAAGATTATATTGAATTATAAAAAATTATTGAAGAAGATGAATAAATTAATGAATTAGATGAAATTATGGAAACTCCATTATAAGTTTAATTACTTGATTAATAAGATTATTAAGATTAATCCCCTTGATATTATACAAATTTTACTTATATAATAATTTTTATTTATATAATTGATTTATATTTGATATTCAATATATATATATTTTAATAGTATTATTATTTATGGAAAATAAATATCAATGTTTCTATTTCTATTAAAATTAACTAATTTTCTTAAATTCCAATACTATTTAAGTTCATATATCAAGTGTTAAATTGCATATATATATAATAATTGTATTCAATCTTAATTGATAAAACCAGTAAAATGTTGATAAAACCATTTGGTTATATCATCTTGAATATTTCTAGAAGAGTAAACACTTTAAAATGAAAATTAAATTTTTCTTAATTCTCATTAATAATATTAACTCAAATGATTCCTACAATTATTCATTTAGTGCAATTAATTGTGCACACATACTTTATGTATATCAATTTTGATTCAAAATCAATCGAAGAATTCTGGAACTAAATAAAGTACTTGACAAATATAAGCAATTTGTGCATGTACTCCTTCCTCATTCCACAGGTTATTGAAGACATCAAATTCATCCGTAGAAGAGGATGGCTTATCAATATTCCAAGACATCATACTTTCACTCACTATGCATACTAATGCATGAATCCAATTATATTCATAGTCATGACTATGTTTTGGACTATGTTTCTCATTGATCCAAAGTTGATCTTTGCTGATAGAGATATTAGTTAAATTGATATGGTCCTAATGTTTTATGTTCATGGAGGAAACTGGATCTTAATGTAAGAAATTTTTACTATTTTTAGGTAACTCAATCAATTTGAAAAATAACCTCATTTAAAGATGAGAATTAAAGGACTTATTTATTTTGTTTATGTTATACTATACTTTGGAATTTATGGTATATATATATATTATGTCTAAATAGGCATTCATTATTTGATTTATGAATAACATGTTTATGGCTTCTAAGCCTTACTTTCTAAGTTCGAACTTGTTTCTATGTACGCAATTTTATTTGCCACATTATTTGGATTGGATGTTCTTTACAATAAGGTGTTATTCAAGCCACGCCATAATTTTGTGTAAATCAAAAATCATTGACGTTCATTGACTAATTATAATATATCTTATAATATGTAATCATTATTAATAATTATATATTCAAATATCATTACAATAAATATATTAAATATTATTATAATATTTAAACTTATGAATAAAATTACATATAATTTTGTTTCACTCAATAGAGGATTTAAATGTATTATTTTAATTGAAAAAGAATTTAATCATATATAATATCAAAAATAATATTAAAAATCATAATAAAAAATAATTCTTTAATAAGGTAATTGTATTTAAAATGTATATTTATTAACTACTTATTATTTAAATACATAATCTAAACTTAATTTTCATTACTAAAAAATTTGAGATGACTAAAATAAAAAAATGGCTCTAAAATAATTCATATAAGTTTAAACTTTTAATGCTATATACAAATAAATATTTTATAAAAATAAGATCATATTTAATAGGATTATCAATTATATTTTAAATCTATAAATGTAAATAATCTTTTTTTTTTAAATAAAGTTCTATATTAATCTTATTTCTTTACTATACATTAAAATATTATGATGAAATTTATGTATGAAATAGGTAATAATTTCATTAAGTTTATACTATCTTAAATAGAATATGAAAATACTTTAAAAGTTTATAATATTAACTTAATATATAGTTATCAATATAATCAGTCTAAATTAAATTTCAATTTTCTAGTAACAGTGCGCTTATTCCTATCCTTATCCTTTTCTTCTAAAAGCTCTTTAGTTTTTGTAGTTTATATTGAAGGAGAATGAATCTTTGGTTATGGTGTTTGTAGCACATCAATTTATTCTATAATTTTTTATTCTTCTTTCATAATTGGTTTTTCAATTAATTTCTTATCTTAAATAGAGAAATTTTCAAATAATTTTTCAATCTCTCTCCATGCTTCATTTATATCAATCTTGTTTCTATTATTGAAGAATTATTTTTTTAATGTCTTTTCTTTTGTCTCACCTTCATCTTTAATATAAGATTGATTTTTGGAAACAGATTCTTTAATTAAGATTTCAACCTCTTATTCAAATTCTTAGTTACTTTTCATTATTTTATTTTATTGCTAGATAAATTTTTATTGACAAATTATTTAGCAGATAATTAATAGCTATTTATTTAATATTAAATTTACATAATTTATTTAATTATCAAAATATATTCACTAAATAGAATTTAATATTCAGAATTCAATAAAGTTTTAAATAGAGATTTAAATATTATTAGAATTTTAACTAGATTATATGATGATGATATTCAAATATCATATTCATTAAATTAATGAATATTTTATTTGATATAAATTTAGGATATTAGAATATTTATTAAAGAATTTGATTAATGAAATAGTTTAAACTTGATTATCAGATTTAATTGGAATTATCGAAATTATAAATTTAATTGAGGAAAAAAACTTGGAATTTGGGAATTCCAAATATTAATAAATAAATTAGATTTATGAAAGGAGCAACAATAGTACCTTCAACTGAAACTAATCAAACAAATCAAGTAACAGTCAGTTTTCAAAATCTTACCTATTAAGTGTTTATAAAGAATCCTAAAGGAGTGTCAGAATAAAGAACAATCCTTAACAACTTATCAGGAGTCTGTCATCCAGGTTAAGTAACAGCTATTTTGGGTGCATCTGGAGCAGGGAAAACATCTCTGTTGAATATTTTAGCAAAAAGAATATCTATAGCTAGGAATATTTCTTTGCAAGGTGAAATATAAGCAAATGGATAACCTTATAACAGCGATTAATTTGCATAGTTTTCATCCTATGTTATGTAGAATGATGTTCTATTTGGAACATTAACTGTTAGGGAAACATTTGAATTTGTAGCCAATTTGAAGTATGGGGATCCATAATAAAAGGTGGATAAAGTGGAATATGCAATTAAGACTCTAAAATTGGAGCGTTGTTAAAATACATTAGTAAAGATTTAAAATAATTTAATAAGATTGGTAACGCTCTTATAAAGGGTATATCTGGAGGAGAAAGGAAAAGAACATCAATTGGAGTAGAATTAGTTAGTGATCCATATTGTATTATGTTAGATGAACCAACTTCAGGTTTAGATTCATTTACAGCCTTTGTTATAATGTAGATATATATTTAATAATATTTAAATAGTAATTTACTTAAGAAACTGGCTCAAAGTTCAGGTAGAACTATAATATTTACTATTCATTAACCAAGTGCAGATATATATACATTATTTGATTAAGTTATGCTTTTAGTGTAAGGAAGATTTATTTATCAGGGGAGGAGAGATTAAATGGTTGATTATTTTAAAAGAATAGGTTTTGAATGTCCAGCTCATTCTAATCCTTTAGATTATTTGATGAGTGTGATGCATCATGAAGATCCTAATCATCCTCATTATCAAACATTATTTATAAATTACAATAATTAATTTGAGAATTAGATTTTAAATTAGATTCAGACTATTAAGAAATAATCAATACAAAGATAGACAATATAAACTACATTTGCATTTCAAGTGAAGGAAATCTTTAGAAGAGGAATGATAAATATGAAAAGAGATAAAGTGTTGGTTAGAGGTAGAATAGTAATGACTATATTTATTGGATTATTAATTGGAGGAATATTTTGGACTGCTGGTAGTGAACCTGGTTATAAAGGAATTTAAAGTACAATAGGAGTTTTATTCTTTTTGGTCATGAGCAGTTTTATGGGAGCATTAAATCCAGTTATTATATAATTTCCAGATGAAAGAGAAGTATTTTTAAGGGAAGAGAATTCTAAACTATATACAACTGCTGCTTATTTTACTGGTAAAAGTTCTGTTGAGATTCCTTTTTTATTAATTTTTCCTATAATTCAATAATTGATATGTTATTGGATGGTAGATTTGAATGATAAATCAGGAGATATTGTAATAATTAATATTATTATTTGTATACTTCTTGGTTTAAGTGGAAATAGTTTTGGTAATTATAAATTATTTATTATTTCTAGGATTAATGGCAGGATGTATGTTTACAGATGTTAAAGCTGCTTCAGGTTTTTTACCTGTTGTTTTAATGCCTTTGGTTATTTTCTCTGGATTTTATGCTAATTAATCTTAATATATGGATTGGATTGGATGGATTTAATACTTAAGTCCAATGAAATATGCATTTGAAGCATTAGTATGGAATGAATTTGATTCAAGAAGTGATGAATTTCTTGGTACAACTATTTAAAATAGTAATCCTATTGATACATATGACTTAACTCTAGGTTTATGGAAATGTTTAGTAATTTTAGTAGCTATTATTCTGTTTTTCAGAATTATGGCTATGATGTTTTTGTATTTATTAAGATAGAAATAACAATGATTTCTATTATATTCATATATTTTATATATTTGATACAAAAAGATGAAATAATATTTTGATCTATTATAATCTATATTTGTGATTATTCACTTCTTTTTGAGATATCCCGAAATAACTACTAGTTGTTGAATTTAAATTAATAAATATTGATGAACTAAGATAGAAAAGATGATAATCAAAATAAAGTTGAATTTATCTTAATCAATTGTAAAGTCAAATAATTATCAAAAAGTAATGGATTTTAAATATAAATTTTCATTAGTGATGATTCATAAACAATTATGACTAAAAAGAAATAAAAAGTAATGAATTAATAAATTTATATAAAATATTCATAAACAAAATAGAAATTTATGATTCTTATTTATTATTTGAAATGAATAGAATGTATTGATATAATATCATCATTTCAGTAAACCTTTCTTATTAATTAAGACACGTATTTTACCTTATGGTAATGTTTAACATGATCTAATAAGAACTGAACTTGGATTTGTGATTGAAAAGTATTAACCATCAATTTAGAAATATGTTCTTAATAGTTCATTCTATTTAAAATTCAATTTTAGTGGGCCTCCACTTTGACTTAATCTAGTAGCTTATCCAGGTATAAGTCTTTCTGAGCCTAATCCTAATATCGAGTTGAATGAGAGAATTTCCAATAATCCATCAGAAATAGAAGGAATATTGGAATATGATTTAACTTAATTTTATTAAGCATTGAGCCAAATATTTTTCAATCCTCCAGCATAAGAATTAATATTCAAACATAATAAATTAACTGGATTTCCAGGTACTACAATTTAATCTTTGGATTTTTATAACAATCCACTTTCTAAATAATCATCTTCATTTAAATTATGAATATTTTCAATAGATTAATTAACTTTTGGAGTTCTCAAAAACATTTTCTTAAATCCTTCCCAACAATAAACACATTTATTACAACATTAATTGGATGTTCTATTTTTATCAAATCCAAATCCAATACGTGCATCTACTCCAATACTAAAATAATTAATCATCTATTTATAATATCTTTAATCTTTTAATTACAATTTACTTTCACCTACTCCATTTTCATTTCTCTTAATCTCACTAATAAATCCACCCTTTATTATATAAACATATATAAATACTTATTATAGTCTAATATCCACATCCCAAACATCAAAATATGACTCTACTCCCTCAATCCATTCCTCAACAAAACCTTTCAACACAACGTTGTCCATCCCAATTACGTCATTAGGTACTGAAGTGCCCCATCCTAACGTATTTGCGAAATCATTTCCAGTTCCAAAAGGAAATGGAATTATAATGCAACTATGAATATTCACTTGATGTTATAATAATAATTCCACTATCCACATTATTGATCCATCCCCTCCAGCCATCACCACATGAATATTTTCTAATCTTTATTTCATTATCTACTACAATCCTACTTCTCTTGAGATACTATCACAAATATTGTAAAATTTCACTCGACAATTACTTTCCTTAATGTAGAAACTTAATTCTTTTTACTATCATATATTTGAATTTACATCAAGTTATAAGAATTGTTAACCTCTATTTCCACCACTACCTGAATTATAAAAAAGATAATAAGTGTATTCCATAATTAAATATATTTATATTCATAAATGTCTTCTAAGCAAACTATATTTATTGTTATTTACTTAAATAATTATTTTTAACTAATTAAAATTTCAATTACAAAAACATTCCTTTTTTATGAGCTACACTCAATTAACGGAAATTAGAGCATTCTATATAAAGAAATCAACAACCTTAAATTTAAATTATAGATTCAATTAATGAAATATAGTAGTAACATAATTAAAGTATGTAAATGTAAGAACAATATTTGAAATAATCATAAGAATTGTTGAATTAAAAATTGTAAAAGTTAAGAAAAATTAGTTCAATAAATCTGAATAACAATTCATAAGATCATTCAGATGAATAATTGAACATCTTTGCTTAATAATCTTAGATTGAGAGTAGATTAACTTTTATATGTTTGCAGAAAATTTGAATGCTCTAAATAACTATTTTAATAATTAGAAAATAAACAAATTCATTTATATATAATAATGAACAAAGAAATTTAGAAATCATAAACAATAAAGAGATCTAAATATTAGTTTAGACAAATAAAAACTATGATTTAAAAATTTGTTACTTTAAAATATTAACTAATGACTTATTTAAGGGAAGTATCATTTTATAAGAGGTTTACAAAGTAGATACTAGTAGATAGGAAATTTCATTTATAGATGATAAAAATGGAAGAATTTTGGAATTGGAGAATGAATGTTGGGATGAATAATCAAAGAATATTGTAATTTCTAAATTGTAAATTGAATACTTAGATATTATTCCTATTATTCCTTCTTATGTAGATAAATTATCATAATGATATGGTTATACTTTTTTTAATTTTAGCTTGGTTTAATTTCATTTTTTTTAAATATTCTATTTACTAATCCTAATTTTTTTATTTTTTCTATTACTAACATGATTGATAAATTAGTTTAAAATTATTTTAATTAACACCTATTCTATCATATACTTAAAATATGGCATTCTACTACAAAAAGAAGAGACAATTTCAGCATTATCTTTTTTACATTATAATTTTGTAAGAATAAAGTTTAAACTTATTTATTAATTCATATAAATAGATTCAAATGATTTGATCATATGCATAACTAGGACATCTAAAATAACAATAAGAAATTTGATAATCTCTATTGACTATAGCAATTAACATTTATCATCAAAAATATAGTTTTTTATAATATTCCTGCATTTATTTTGACATACTATTTTAAATATTATGAGTGATTGTCATGAAAAGGAGTTTAATAGTGATGATAGCAGTATATATTGTATTTCAATTCTTAGACATTTATGATGTAGAATTTGTGTATGGTAAAAAAATGTTCAAGAAAAAGATTTTTTATGCTGTTAAATGGCTGGGTTGGACAATATAGTAAATGTCATGGGAACCTATTTCTAATTTTACACTTATTTCAAGTTATCTAGTAAAGTAACTAGAATTTATTTATCTTATTAAGACGCTTAGAAACAAAGCTTTGTTATGCTTTGTATTACAAAAAGATTGCTCCTATTTCAAGTGGTATAAGAGTCCACATCAAAGGAAAATTTTGTTAAGTCTAATAAGTTTATACAAAGCCAAAACAAAAAACAATTATTTCTGAAAAATAAATTGTATCCCGCTCTATTGATGCCTCATATCCATGTAATAAAGCATAGAAGATTATTACATAAACGAAATAAAATTTTATGATCTCAAATAATAATAATAAGATCTATTAAAAAATCTAAAAGAAAGAAAACAAATCAAAAAAGCATTTTAGAAAAATTCTAAATTAATAAGATGAAAATGAAATAATATCTATAACAAGTCTATCTCCTATTCAATATGAAATACCATATCAAATCAAGAAAAGAAGGAGGTAAAATAAGAACAAAATAAGTGATTTTGAATTAGAAAAAGATATTTAATTATTAAAATAAAATGAATAATAAACAAAAAAATTCAAATAAAATGTAATTCAAATTTAATAGATTTAAATTTAAAAGGATAATTTAAAAAATAACAGAGATAAGAAAGAAATATAGTAATAAAATAGTAATAATCTAAATTTTTGTGAATGTTAAATTATTCTGAATGATTGTGATAATTCAGAATCAGTATAGCATTCTTCAAAAGATATTAAACTTAATAGGAATCAAGAAAATTCTATAATATAATAATAAAGGAACAGTAAATTTGCTCTTAAAAATTACACTCATTTAGAGTTTTCCAATATACAAAATTTATCTAATTTAAATGTTTAAGAAACACTAAGTCAACCTTAAGAGGAATCTTTTGAAATAGATTTATTATCAACAGAGAATAATGAATAGTAATAAAAACCTTAAAAATTAAATGATTAAGAAAAATCTAAAGATATCCATTAGTAAAATCTTGTTTCAGTATCAACTTATTAACCCAAAAATTAATTTTTAAAAGTAAGGGTTGTAAAATCTGTTCTTAATTCAAAAATAACTGAAAATATAACTTAAGAAAATTCTGATATCAATTTTAAGATTAAGAAATAATTCATATCTGAAATAATGGAGGAAGAACAAAAAAGACAAACTGAAATAATGGAGAAATTCCCCTTAAAATAATTTTTATATAAGGAAACAAAAGTTTAACCTATTGTTAAAACTAGTTAATAATTATAATAGGAGATATAAAAATTATAATTGGAGAAACTTGCATTAAATAGGACTAGCAGATGTAGTATTCTTGTAATACCAAAGTTCAAAGATGCTGAAATTTAATATATTCAAAATAACTTTCTGAATAATGATATAATTTAATATGATATGGATTTTCATGAAGTTATATTTAGGAAAATTATAGTTGAGAATATAGAATCACATAATTTTTTAATTGGAAAACTCCTTTTTAGATGTATATATGATAATGGGATGGAATATTATGTAGAATATGACATATTGAAAAGATACTGTCCAACATTATTATTAGATTACATGATAGTAAATTCAATATTAATATGATTTATGAATTCTTTCAATATAATTTCTAATTGCGTTGATTAAAATTGCAATCAAACTGAATTAATTTACTTTCATATCCACTAATTTATTTACAATGGTTCCTTACATACTATTATAATATAAAAATATAATAATAGTAAGGGATAAATAGATCATTACACTTAAGTATTTTCCACCTTCAACTTAAAGCTTTTCCTATTCCTTTGTTACATGCTCATATAGTCTTTTAACTCTATTCACTTTCTTTTGAATGATTGCATTACCAATATATAGTATCACGAAAAGAATATGCAATTAACAAATTATTAATGCATAAATTGATACTTGGATTTGATAATAATTACAAATAAATGAGAGTAAATCGAAAGGTGGTAAATTAAGAAAGATAGCATAGAATTCATAAAACACGCTTAAAAAGAAATATATTGTGACTGTTTTGATGTATAACTTCTTTGATAGATTTGCAAATTTCTTCCATTTTTATGCTCTTACTTCTGATTTTCTCAACATCATATTGCTTTTCATTATTAATCCCTCACTTTCTAAATCAGTATAATAATCATCATTCTATTCGATATGTTATTTAATTCCAACAACAAGAATAGTAGAACCTTAGTAAATTTATAGAAGTCCATGCACAGAAATGAAACAATATTATAAATCCTCATATGATTAATTTGTAAAGTAAAAAAGAGTCAAAACAATTATTGGTAATATTAGCTTTCTTCTATAATACCTAAAGAATATTGAAAATATTACCATAAAGAAGATTGTTTACTTTTTTAGGTTGAAAGTCCAAATCTCTTTCTAATTTATTCTTATTCTTCTAAATAATTAAATCTATTTAATCTTAAATGAAGAGTCTCTATTACAAGCTATTACCAAGTTGCTTATGCTAATAAAATTGAAATTAAGAATTCTTGACTCAATTTTAAACATACTGACACAACTACTAAAAATAATAAGATAGTATGCACAGCTATAGCAACTTTTGTGACTATACCTATTTATTTGTTTCTTAACTATCTCTACATAATAAATAATGATGATCCAATTAAGAATAATTTCATTAATTATAAAATTAAAGTTAAATACAATATAATGAATTTAATATTATATATGAAAGATCTTTTATTATTAAAAATTGTCTATTATATAAACATGATATTAAATATTTCATTAGTAAATAATTATTATATATATTGAAATATACAAGTAAATAATGATAACAATTATAATAATATAAAATTAATTTTACAATAATAATATATCATGGTTATTTACAAAGCTTCTTTTAAATTAAATCATTGAATTACAGTGGGTCTATCATTAGGTTATTAGGTAATAGGAATGGTGTATTCTTATTATTAAGTAATAACTCAAGAGAAATTTATGGTAAGAATTTGTATTGGTTCAGAAGTTACTATTATTATTATTGTTATTATAACTATTAGACTTAGATGTCTGGTTTAGTAGTTAAATAATTGTCTTTGACTTTTATTTCATCCTAACATTTATTATAGATATAATACTTTATTGAGATTAATAAGTAGTGATGTAAATTATTGAGGAGTCATTTAAGCTGTCATTTCATCTATTTAATCATCTAATTATTGTTAACAGATTCTAAGATCTTTTGATTTGCATTTCATTTATTTAATTAAACTAAAATTATATAATCCATATTACTAAGAAAAAGACCGCTTATGTTCTAGAATTCTCCTCACAATATGGGTTATCGTGTGTTACATTTTTTCTTCGCTACATCCAGTAATTTCTTTGAATTGTTTAACATATTCATGCAACTCTTCATCTTCTAGTAGTTGAACTGAATTAATCTTTTAAAAATTATACAATTTTTTGGAAGACAATTACTTCCAAATAGCAAAGTTCCATAATTACCATCCATTAATATTCTGGCTACATTTTAAAAGCAATATCTAATATATTGCTTTCTTTTTGAACCTGTGGCACTAAATTTTAATTTGTAAGAGTCTGTTAGCAATGCTTATATCTCTTATCCTTCTGTAGTCTCTGGATCTTTGCTTTGTAATTAATCAAATATTTATGCTTGTTCTATGATCATTCCTTTAAAACATGCATTATGTTCAATTATATTGTGAATATGCTTAAATGTTATCTCTGTTTATTATCTAAGTCCCTCTATTTATCCATTCAAATCTTCAACTTTCTTTTCCAATAAACCAATATATAATTTCTTCCTTTATCTCGAATTTCTTGCACTTTCCCTATTTTTTTGCATTTTTAAGTCTTCATTCTCAAATTATTTAGATGAGTTCGAAGAAACATTATCTTTTACTCTTTTTGAAGAGAGCAATTTTTCTTTATCGTCTTCCATATTAACATTAAGAAGAGAACTTATTTTCTTTATATATGCATTTTTCACATTTCCTTTTATATTTTGTAAACACAACACATCATCTTTTAAAGAAGCCTATGAATCATTCTTAATCATTTATCTATCCTCTTATTTTATTTCAGCAGAACTTCTTACTCGTTTTACTTAGTTCTCAAGATTAGAGATTACTCCATAAGGTAGAAAAGGCATAAAATTCTATTACTATACTGGTTTCTTCTGAATATAATATTAATAAATACCTCTTCAATATCAAGCATATAATGTTCTGGATATTCACAATCCACCTTATTATTAGAATTCATAATTATTTATAATACCCATTTATTACATAATGACGTCTAAGAATTAAAATATTCAATCATAATCAACCATAAAATTAATAGATAATATATACTACGGAATATGATTCAAAGACGTATTAATTATTTTAAATAATCAATAAAAATTGAAGAAATAACTTATTATTTTTCAACTTATAGATTCACTTAATAATCAAATAATATTTAACAAAAGAAATTTTTTTAAGTTTTCTATTCCAAATATTTCTATTCTTAAAAGAATGTTCTATATAATAAACAAAAAAAATCAATTAATTTTTGATTTTATATATTTGCAACTAGATTATCTATCTTGATGAAAATTTGGGTAATTGCAAAATATTTATGATATAAATATTCTTACATATTCATAATTAGATGTAGCCAATCTCAAAGAGAAATAAATAGTATTTTAAAGATAACTAAAGTTTATAGATATTTATTAGTCACAAAAAACTTAGAAAATGAGTTTATCAAATGAAAATGGGATAAACTTTATATGAATTTCTCAATTCTTTTAAATATTAATATTGAGTTAAAAAATAATTTATAATATAATAATTTGAATTCAAATTTATATATGAACAACTCACCTATAAGAAATCAGTCTTATTACTAAGATAAAATTAGATATCAGAGATCACCTTATTCAGATAAAGAAAATATAATGAGTGAAGTAAATTAGAGTCAATAGACACTTTAAAGAGAGGGCATAGAAATATTGAATGATGTAGCAGAGATATCAAAAATTGATGAGTCGGTTTTAGATAGTAATCTTACATTGTTTGAAAAGATTACTCATCATAAATGGTAGATAAGAAGATTAGTCTTAATGAATTTAACAGAAGAATATTAAAAAAACTAAACTGTTTATGAATTTTAATCTGCATGGCTTAAAAATATTATAAATGATAGCAATTAATTTGCTATGACAGAAGGCCTTAAATTTATTTAAGTGTTTGTTAAAAGTTAACAAATGAATTATCACATTTTACCATACTTTATTGGTGATCTTATTGAAAGAGGTTCATTTGTTAAATCTTAAATCCAAGATCTAGTAATTGAAATATTATTACAATGTTGTAAAACAACTTAAGATACTGGATTTATTTTATCAGAAATTCAAAAAAAGATAGAAGCTAAACATCCTAAAATAATGACATTATGTTTGACTTTTATTGAAAAGTTATTAGAACTATCCCCTAATCATTTTATAAAGTATATTTTTATTATTAATTAATTTTAGAGATTAAATAAGAGATTTCATTGAATTATGTGTGTCATTAGTTCAACATACTAATAAAGTTATAAGATAAAAGTCAATAAATATATTTTGCAAACTCTTTTAAATGATTTCAGAAAGTTTTGAATAAGTTAAGAAAACTTATTTAGATAAAAGATTAAGATAAATTTAAATTAAAGAATTAGAATAATTATGTAGCAAAATTACAAAAAGAACATAGAAAATAGAAATTTAATCAATATAACCAATTATTTAAATTATTGATTTACATACATTATTACCAGATAAATTCTTTGAAATGCCATATTATAAACACAATGAGAAAAAGAACATAACTGAATAATTTGCTAAGAATTTAGAAAAGTATGATGGAGATATTGATAATTCTAAAGATTATGGTAGTATTTATGCAATTATTATAACATTACTTGAAGAAAGCAATTATTTAATATATAGTTAAGGTATGAGATGTGTTAAAGGTTTGGTAAGATTATTGAGAAGAGGTATTCCTTAACCAGTTGCTAAACATTTCTTTATTTTAATATTGGATAAATTAAAAGGTTCTTTATCTAAACCTTTATAATCAGCTGTATTTAATCTTTTGGAAGATATTTTAATTTATGAAAATATTTCATGTGATTAATTTATGGAACTTATGATTAATTAATTAGAATCATCAAAAAATATTGGATTAAAAATAGCATGTGCAAGATGGTTTAAAGATGGTTGGTTAGCTTTAGCATTAGCTGTATAAACAGGTTCTTATGAATCTTCTGATTCTGAGGTACTTAAGAAATTTGCTTAATCTAATAGTGAGAAAATATAGAAATCTCTTCTAATTCTTTATAAAAAAGTATAAGGTATTTTGAAAAAAGAAAATAATTTAAATTATAAGAAAGTTTTATTAGATTTAATTAATTCAATGTAATGTGATGAATAAAATCTTTAAGTTACTGTTATTGAATCATAGATTGCTATTGTTAATCCTCAATTTGATTTTTAAGAATCAAGAATAACAGAGAAATAATCTAGAAAATAATAAATTAATTCTGTAAAAAGTAGATATTAAACTGATGAAGATTTATGTGAATTTGCTTAGATTGGAGAAGAAATGTAGAATTTTAATTAAGGTAATAGAAATAGATAAAGTATAGAATTACCTACTTCTTAATTAAATAGAGAATAAATAGAATTTATGAATAAATTTAGTAATGATCTCATTTAATTAAGAAAATTATCATAAAATAATTAAGATTAATAAATTTAAAATAAAATAGAAGAAATTTTACATTCATTTAAAAATCATTATTCAGATAAAAATATTACAAGTAATGATTTCTTATAATAAATGACTAATAATATTATAATGGAATTACTTCATTTCTGTAAAAAAGTTTAAGTTTAAAAAAAAACAATTGCTGATAAATTGTATGATTTTATTATTTCATTATTAATAAAAATGAATAAAATTTAAGTTACATTAGATTAAGAAATGCTTTATTAAGAATATAAAATATGTTTGATCTAATTAAATTAATTAGATATATAAAAATTGTTGCCACTTTTAGAAAGCTTATATATTTGTAATTCATTAGAAAGTATGATTAAAATTGGATATAGGATAACTAATAAATATCTATAAAAATAAACAAACAGTAATATAAAAATATTCTAAGCATTTATTAATTGGATTACATAAAAAATTAATGCTGCAACTTAATAATAATTAGATCCTTCATTTATAAGAACTTCTTACAAAACTTTTGAAACTACATTTAAAATGTTTCCATAAACTTAATTAGATGTAAGATTATTATTAAATTCTTTAAAAAGTCGCATAATAAATTAATAAGTGGAATAATTAGATTAATATTAAGATTTATTAAATTAATCATAAAGAAAGTCTAAATCTAAATCTTTTGGTTCATAATCTAGATTTTCTCCATATGAAACACCAAACAAAACTTAAAGTAAATTAGAGTTTTCTGACTCTGAAGAAAAAGAAAATTTAGAATCTTTATAATAAATTGAACAATAAGTTTCCACACATTTTACATTATAAGGATTGGAGAAATTTATCCATTATTTGAATCGTCATCGAGCATATCAACTTTGTAATTAATCATAACACACAGTATTTTTAAGTCCAAATTCTAATTCACCTGGTAAACATTGGAGAAGAGGAATTGGTAGAGATAACATGATTATAAGTTCTCCTAATAGATAATAATATGAAAGTTCAAAATTTGAAGATTTCACTAAGATTTTAGAAATTATTTGTTAGAATTTTAGTATTTAAATTTAGAATTAAGTATTCTAAGTATTTTATTTACTCAAACATATCTTTCCAAATAGTCAATAATGTCTAATTTATCTTATATTTGCTTATATTTGTCCTAAAACAGAATATACAGAAAATTTTGAAGTTTTTCTTAGTACATTTTTATAACTTGATAAAAGTGTTATGGCATATTAATATAGATAAGCTTTTAATATTTTATATTAAAAATCAGAAAATGAAAAAGTATTAATTAATTTAATACACACAGGTTTCAACTATCTATTTTAAAAAATATTTGAAAATGATTTACTTTCATTTATTCAATATTTCATCACTACATTAACTTATATGTTAACTTAAAATATGTTTTATTAAATAGCAAATGATTTATTAAGTAAATATTAATAATAAGCAAATAATTTTAATTAAATTGTAGAGACTGAATTAATTAATTATAAAAAATTATATGATACTTATTTAAATTGGTAATAAATTTAATAATAAACATTTGAAAAACCTTTGATTGATGTTTAAAAACTATATAAATAATAATAAAATGATATTTTGATTGTTGATCTTTAAGAAATTGATGAATGTGCATCAAAAAGAGAAGAAACTGTTAGAGAAAATGTAAATAATAGTTAATAAGACAATTTTATTCATATAAATAAAGAAGATTTTGAATTATTGGAAAGCACAACTAAAAATTTTAATTCTTAATAAACTTTAAGATTTACTGAAGAAGGATAATAATAATAACCAGATATATTAAATATCTAATAATTTATTAGTCCTCTATAATAAATAAGTTAAATTAGTAATTAAATGCATGACACTGTAATCTAAGATCTAGCAAAGAATCTATATTCTCATGATACACAAAGATTAAAAGAATTAGATATGATCAAATTACAGAATGAAACTTATAGATAACATAAAAGAGATAGTAATAAATAGGTTTAAGAGTCATATCCATAACCACCATTAAAAGATCCAATTAAATAAAAGATAGAGAAGATTTATGAAGAAGTTCAAAATGAATCTGTAAATGGAAATTTTAATGAAAAAAGTTTACTTGGAGATGTTTTAGCCCCAATTGAAACAACATCTTTATTTGATTAAGCTAGAAATTTAAAAAGAAATGAATGCATAAAGTAAATGTAAGAAATTTTATTAACATCAACTTCATTATATTTTGATGTAGCATCAACTTTGCTTCTTTAATATGAAAATTTAGATATGGCAGAAGATAAATTAGCATTTATAAATGATCTTAAACTATCTTTAGTCAATTAAACTTTATTAACAAATATTAATCAATAAAACTTTTCAGTTATAATAGCAATAGTCTTAAGATTATGTACAACTGTAATTTTTTATACTATATATTTATATAGCCTGCAACTTAATCTGAAATTTATAATAGTTCGTTAGGATATGATGATAACTTATTAACAAAGTCATTATAACAAATATTAGATGTTCTATTGCATTCAAAAGATACTGAATAAGTATTGATTTGTTTAATACATGTATTTAATGATCATTTACCTATGGATTTTACAAATGAAATTTCAAAAAGTATTACAATATATAGATTAGTTTTTTAGATGAAAAAATGATGTTAAGGCTAAATTTAAAATGTATTGAGAGATTAATATAAAATAGTGAAAAATTACATGTATTTGGTATTTTAATTGAAATATTTAAATTCTTTAAATGCCATCCCCCTGAAAATTTAATTGTAAATCATAAATACATTATATTTTAGGAAGGACTACCTTCAATTAAAGAACTTGAATTATATTTTAGATAAATTAAGTAAATTACTGATAGTTTATTGAATAATAATTTAAAAGAAGGAAAAGAATTTTTAGAATTTGTTTACAGAAAAAATAATAAAAGCATCTTTTTAGATTATGTCAAAAGTGTAATTGAAAAAAAATGATGTTTAATAATTAATTTGATTTTCTAAATATATTAGAAATTTACTTATTATTATATTGAATTTGGTTGATATTAAACATCTTTAAGATAACTTCAAATATTTTCTAAAATCTTATTTAGATTTGTTCAAAATAAAATAAGATTTATTAATTATATAATCAAATTTATATAGAAGTTATACATTTTTTCATTTGATTTATATAATTATATGTAATAAATGCTTTCTCTAAAAAAGGATACTTAAAGAGGATCATTCGTTGCTAACACACCTTTATCTCCAAGAAGCTAGACTTCAAGGAAAAGCTCTGTACTTAATAAACAATCATTTGAATAATAAGAACTTTATTCTTCAAGAAGGATTGGATTAAATCTAAAAGACCCTTAAGTACTGAACTACTGTTTATATGATAGAAAGTCGAAGAAATGATAAAAGTCAGATAGCAAAGATTGCCTAAAAAAGAAGCAACAAAAGATGGAGAAAAAGATCTTCGAGAAATATCAAAGGCATATGATGTATTAAAAAATGCTTTGCCTGAAATAAACAACAATTATGGAGTGATAAAAGATCAAGAACTGCTTTAGTTTTATAAATAATAGATAGTTATAAACTAAAATCCACGAAAGAATTTTTTTGAGTTCAACACATACTTTTATAAGAATTATTAAGCAAACAACAATGGTCCTTGTACAACTCTACCTTAATTGTTAATAAAAAAAGTAGAATCATTTTAAAACAAATTGGAATAACTTATTAAGGATAGATGAAAGCAAGGTTAGAATCTAAAAAAGATTTATTTATTATGTATATTTCTATATGGTTATGTTATATTTTGTTTTTTATTATTTGTTTTATTGAATAGATCACACCAGACTTAAATTACTAACTGATGCTGTATCCCAACTTGTATGTCTATCTGTTCTTTTGAGACTAATTAATTTTCTTAAACAAGCCTTATAAACAAATCTTTCCTCTTCACATTCCCATAAATAATGCTTGATTTTTTTTGTTAATGGTCGCATACTAACAGTATAAGAATAAATAAATACTATGTATAATGTGTTGAGCTATCTTAATGCATGGGTGTATGTCCAAAATCCTAGAATATAAGTAGAAATAATTACAATAGACTTGCCATCAGTAAGCATTCTAGGCCACATTGAAGGCCAACTTGGATGAATGATTTCCATTTATTTAGTATTTGATCTATTAGAAATAATTGAAATATTTACTCAAAAGCACAGTCTTCATAATCATGCATTTGTTTTAAACATGGAGTTGTGTCTAAATAGGATAGATATCATACCAAAGACAGGTGGCACTGAAGAAGGGAGTGTACCAAAAAATAGATAACTCATATTAAATAAATTAATCAAATATCTGGTTCTTTAGATTAAGGATTTCTGGATTATTTTTGTTCGATTTATTCAAATACTTCAACAGGATTGTTCTTTTTACGTTGATAGTCTTGTAAAATTTATTTGGCTGCAGCTCTTCTCATATCTGTCTTAGCATCAATCGAAATATTTGGTGATTTGCTTGAATTAAGAACTTAAGAAGCTAACTAAAATAAACCATTAGAATACTTCATCGTCTATTTTAGGAGAGATTTCAACAATATTATTTAATTCATAACCTGAATTTATCAAAATATTCATACCTAGATATCCAAATATTGCAGCTATACCACCATAAGTAGCAATATTTCCAACTAAACCATACCTGAACATTTTATAACCAAAATTAATAATTATTAATTCATTTATATTATTTCATTAGTTTTCTATAATCTCCGAAATTAGATTTCATTGCCATTCTCTTCTTTACTAATGGAACTTAATCACTTTCTAATAATTCAATCATCGACATAGATATTTTTACTAATCAAAAAATTTCATATTTTATTACTCTCTTCAGGTGTCAATTTTTATGTCAATCCCAATTTTATTTGCTTAATACACCATGCTATTTCAAGATCTGATTATTCAGCATCACTTAAATTCAATTTTGCTTTTATTTCTTCCTCAACTTACTAAATTATTTCCTGATTCTATTCTTTTAACTTTTTCTTCTTTTCTTTTTTTTTCTGATTCCTCTTTTAGTTTTTACTTACTTAATCACCTTATTTTTCAACCTATTCTTCAATTTCTTCCTCCTTCTTTTCCTGTTGCAATTTCTCTTATTAATTATCCATTAATTAATATTATAAATCAAATTATTTAACTAATCCTGTATACTTTTAACTTATTGAATTATATTTATATATAAATTAGATAATCTGTTTAAAATTAATAATAATACAATCTAATATAAATATTCTCTACATGCATATTCATAGATATTTAATATTTAATAATTTTCAATTAAATATTAAATATCTACAAAATTTTGATGTTTTCATTTCAATTTAATAGAAATCAATATTTAAAAATCAATTTTTAATTAGAATAATTTATCTTTATTACTTAAAATTGAACAACTTTTAGAGAAGATTTAGAAACAATTTAAGTCAATAATAATAGAGTAGATCTTTGGCTCATAATTAAAATATATGTTTTAGGATATTTTAATAGTTTATGAAAAAATACTCAAACAATTAATGGTTTTATTAAAATTTGTGGTTTATCTGCTTTTAATACACATAATAATTTATTAAAAATTAAGTTTCAACATGAAATTAATGTATTAAAGATATAATAGAATATTGAAGAAGGTGAGAAAATAATCTAAAATATTAAATCAATCTTCAATTAAATGGATTTTATTGATATTCATCATAGTAAATACTACCAGAATCTCTTCTAAAAATTGACGGTTTCATTGAAGAATAAATTCAAGAGTTTCATATTAACGAATAGAAAATTATGATTTATGATGAAATTTGAAATATTTTTAATACTTCAAAGCCCAATCATTAAAGTAGAATAGATGCTTAAATTATAATAATTAAATAATTTATATATTAATGTCATCATAATCTCAATAAGAATACGATTAGGATTAGGAAAACAAAGAAGAATTTTAAGGTGATGATCAAGAATTATCATCGAAATAATAGGAAAGCGAAAAATAAGTTAAGAGTAGTATTAAAAAAGTAAGAAATTATTAAAAAGTTCCTGAACATCTAAAATCATAATTACTTAAATTAGTAATTTAATAGGGAGTTAAAATAAATCAAGTACATTAGATGCTTAAATTATAAGGCAGCTCAATAATTGAATCTAAAATATGCAACAGCTAAAACAATAGTCTTTACATATAGAGCTTAATCAAAACCTAAGAAATCTAAAAATAAAAAAAAAAAAACTGCTACAAAAGTCGAATTTGTACCAATTTAAAATAATATTGTCTATCCTATTCATGTAGAAATATCGATTGGAGGAAATATTTAAAATAAATTTACACTTTAATGAATAATTATAGAAATGTTGTGTTATATAATTGGAAATATATAATCAATCGAATAATTTTTCTAAAAAGGATTTTTCTTTATTAGGCTTTTAAGGAACACCTTATTATTATTGTTATTATTGTTATTATGGTTATTATTATTATTATGGTTATTATTATTAATATTATTATTATTATTATTGTTAATATGGTCTTGTTCTACCCAGATCCTATTGAATAGGTTATTATTAAGGAACAGACTATGCAAACTTAATTTATAATTTTAATATTTACTTAATTAGGACTAACAGTCTACTATAGTTATGGATTTTATTATGTAGTAGTTTAAGTCAATTATTATTAAGGCTTAGTTTATAGAGTTGGCTATTGTTATTAAACTGATTAATTAATTGTTTATTAACCATAAATTGAATATTATTAGGGAATTGATTAAGCTTGAACAGAATATCCTTATGGTATGGTTGTTGCAGTAATTGGTTATTTAGGAGGTGATTAAATTTAAGGTGATTAAAATTATTATCCATAATTTAATGGGACAGTCTATATTTACATAAAATAAAAGTATACTTATTATATTTAATATTAGGGTTATTGAATTGCAATAGGACTAGTATATTGTTAATATTGAGTTGTCATATATTATGCTTAAGTAGTTGGTTATTTTAATGGGACTGATTGTTAAACTGGAAGTTATTAAATATATTGCTATTATTGTGTGGCTGGATATTAAATGACATCTCTTGTTTAGACTTGAGTTTATTGAAATTATGGATCATAAACAATTGCTGGTTGAAGTTAATTTATTTGATTATATTAAAATTGTTCAGACAAATAATTTGTTTGTACTTAAGACTATGAATATCCAATTGGCTATTAGTATATAATTATATTTACTTGTTATATGACATTTTACTTTTCAATGGTATAATATTCAGTCCTTTCTGCAACTCTCTCAACTGGTACATACTCAATTTGTTTTTCTTGAATCACTTAAGGAATGTATTCAATATCATATTAGACTGCATAATAATCGGTGACTTATTTAGTAATTGGAACTTGGACTTATCTTCTTACTTCTTCATATTCTGTAATTGTTCTTTCATATGGAATGTATTCTATTCTTGACTAACCTTTTACAACATTTCCTTCTTATGGTTGTTAGACAACTTATTATATTTAGGATTAACCAAAAATAGGTTATTATAGACCAAGCTAAGTTGGTTAAAGTTAGGTTTAAAGAGGTTATTATAATGGTTAACTAGAGTAGGGTTATTGGATAATCTATTGTGGCAAGTATTGTAAGCCTATATCAGGCGTAATTTAGATAGGCAAATTAGATTAAGGAGACTGTTATTATCCTAAAGTTGGTTATTAATATGTTGATGGATCTCTATTATTAGATGGAAGATTAGAAGATTATGTATATTGTTAGGGAGGTAAATTAGCCATGGAAAAGATATTAAATAATTAAATTTTATTTTTTTATTCGTATATAAATCAACTTATCGTTAAAAATTAATTATATTATTATGAACTTAATTATGTAAAATGATAATGCTTATCAAATAAAAAGGAAATTAGGGAATGGTTCATTTGGTAGTGTATACTTAGTATGTGATATTAAAAGTAATTAAGAATTTGCTTGCAAAATTGTAATATACATAATATTTATTCTTAGGTGTCTAAATCTATGCTGAGTAAATATTAGGCTGAGGGGATGGTGAGGTAGGAGATTTAAATTCAATCAAGCATCAACCACAGAAATGTAGTAAAAGTGTTTAATTCATTTGAAGATACTAAAAACATCTACATCATTTTAGAATACTGTAAGTAGGGTCAATTACAAATCCCCTCACAACCTTATACAAATAAACAAATAATTTAATTCCTCAATCAAATGCTCAATGCTCTTGATTCTATTCATCAAATGAATCTTGTGCATAGAGATATAAAAGTAAGTAACATCTCCCCAATTCCAGTTAGACAACATCCTTGTTCATGAGGATGGAACTTACAAACTTTCAGACTTCGGATGGGCTACCAAAATATCTCAAATTAAACCTATTTTATGTGGTACTACAGAGTATATGCCTCCAGAAGTTGTTAATAACTAGTTTCATGATTAAAAGGTAGACTCTTGGTCATTAGGAATTGTACTATATGTATATTAATATAATATATTTTAGATTCTGACCCATTGTAGAAAACCTTTCACTTCTAAAACAGATCGAGAATTAATTTAATAAATTTCAGAAAATGAAATTAAAATTGATTCTACATTGGATGAAAATCTATAAATACTAATTCAAGCATTACTAACTAAGGATCCTACTTATAGACCCAATATATAATAACTTTATTTTAGTAAATGGATCAAATTCTAAATGAAATATCATAATATATTCAATAGATACGAACATGAAAAATTAAAGAATAAATTTATCAATTAAAAGATTGAAATCAAATCTGTTGATAATTGGTAATGAATTGTTTAATTTTTAGTGCTATTTAATTGAGAAAGAAGAAGACAATAATTTAAGATTGTTCTCTATCTCATAGCATAAGTACTTAATTGAGTAATTGTGATATGAATGAATCAGTAATAATAGAGAAATAGAAATAAGAAAAACTTTGAGTTATATATATATTATTATTATTATTAGTCATATATTTTATTAAGTAATAAATAAAGTTTAACTGTTTACTTAATTAACTGTTTTCCATGTTATTATTATTATAATATAGAACATTAAATATAGCCTATATTGTAGAGGATATAGTATTAATAAAAATGATATATTGATTAAATATTATTAATGAATTATTGAGAGTAGTCTTTATAAATATTTTTGCATCATAAGGTTATTCATTTATATGAAAATATACAATTTGCTATTATGTGATATTTATGACATAAATAAAAGGGATATATAATTTAGAAACAAGAATTTACAAACCTGAATGTTACCTCAATTCATATTATTTGTTATATATTGATGTTCTACTTGAATTTAGTGGTTTTGATGGAGAAATAAGGATGGATTTGATATTATATTATTTGTTTTTAAGGAAATATTGTTCTGTTTTAGTTGTATCTTGAGAGAGATAGTAATATAAATCTCATTTTATGAGGGGAAAATTTAAAAAGAAAAAAACATTTTTAATTATAGATATGGCCTAGCATCTGTAGGATTGTGAACTATTAACAGCAAAACCTATCATTCACAATGGATAGGATCTGGTTATTTAGGGTTTGGGTGCACAAGAACAATGTGATTCTAGCTTTTCATCCCAACATTTATGTTCTGTAAATAAATCAGACTTAACTTGATTAGAGTTAATAGAGTAGTCATAGGAACATCAATCTTAGTTAGAGTTCATTTAAGAAGATCAGCAAGAGTAGTTCAGATCTTTAGAACTTCACAAACAAACATGCCCATATTTGTGCCCATTATAATTTCCTTGGGAGATGTCCTTTGGAACATTGCAAGTAAAATTATTAAATTAATATTCATAGAAAGAGACACATTTTTGTATCAGAAGATGATGGTTTAAGTGAACTAATATCAGACAATATTGATTTAATAGATAACCTCACAAGTAGTGGAAACAAACTTAAATTGCCTTAATCTACTTATGGAACTTAGTTATCTAAATATAGAAAATGTAAATCTAATACTAAGGAGTTTTGTGAGAAATTGGAACATAAGTTCATAAGTTAGGAATAAATACATTTTGGAGATTTTCCTATATAAAATTTTTGGAATTGGAATGCATTTGCTTTACAATCCTTTTCCATTAAGTCCTAACCTGATTTGGGCAATAATCAACAAGAGAATAAATATTTTAGTCAATTAATCAAACCAAAACCTCTTGTGGATTATAAATAGGCCTCTGAAATTTTAGAGAATTCTTCATCAGCTCTAAACATTTCAAATGAGATTAAAAAAAATCTAATGTCCAAACTCAAATCTGATATTGATAAGATGTAACAAAAAATAAAAACAATTTCAATGCTGAAGAAATGGATAAATAATTAGTAAGTGGATTAGAATGAATACAAAAACTTATATTCTTCTCTTTCCTAAATTTAATAGATCCATTATACTAATTTTCTTAGGATAACTAATATTTCAATATCAAGTATTAATACATTAATATAATTAGATTAAGCAAAATTCAACAATTAGTTTCAAAATATCGAATACTTATAATAATGAATTTAATCATTATTACATGTATAGAGTTATGTGAATAATAAAATATTTAAAATAATAAATGTTCTAATTTTCTTTATTTTTTTTCTGGAAAAACTTAATTCTCCTTGTAAAAATTTTAATCTTATTGAATCATTTCATTAAAATATTCTTAAGAATATGATAAAATCCCTATTACAATTACCTATCTATTAAAATATAATAGTAGTTTAACTTAGAAATAATAATAAACATTATTGATATAAATATTTAGATTAAAATAATTAAATGAATCAATAAATTTTTTATTCAAAATAATAAATAGCCTTTAAATTAAAGTAGATAAAACAAATAATCAAATTTTTCATTATTAATACTTTTATAGATATTGTAATATATAAAATTTTGATCTAACATCTTTATTAATCAATTTTTTAAAAGAATATTATAATTATTATCTGTATTTTTAACTTAAATAAAGATATTATTATTTTATATAGACTTCAAGAATTCTATTCTATCTACATTAAATTAAAAAATGGAATAATATTATTTAATTTTGATTCAATATGCTTAAATTATCATATTTTTTCTTAGAATGTGCTGTCTGATTTAGTTACTTTCTTGTAATCAGCTTATTAATAAATGTTATAGGATGTTCCTTTAGGATACCAATTTTCATCTATATAACAGTTACAATAATAAATCTACCTTCCATTTCTAATTATTCTTAGATATCATCCTATGATTTCCATAATTCTCTTCTACAATTTGGGTTTTTTGGTGAAGGAAAAACTCTGTCACTCTCAGGAATGTTAAATTGATCTTCAATACCTACCATTTCACCTCCCCCTAGAAAAAATCAATATTTAATTTTACATTCGCATTCATATTCAAACCAAGTATTAGGCACACCCAAATCTAAATCACCTGTTGGTTTAATCATTGGATCTGACCACAAGAAAATTTCCCAATGATAATCTATTAATTCCCTCACTGGTGCAAATCCAACAGGTAATTTAGCCAAATCTTCTAAGACTTAAACATTCCAAAGGATTTCAACCTTCTCACCTTTTGAATTTGTCACAACTTATCTTGCAACATAAACACTGTTTGGTGTATAATCAACATCAAAACCACAATTATAAACTAGATATGCAAAATCCACTTATTCTTATGGTGTTAAACCCATATTCAAAATCTTTTCAACCTCTCTTCTTGTTATTCCTAATCATTTTTAATGATTGAAAATACCTGGTACTCTTCTCATAATTTCATCTGGATCCATTTAACAACTCCATGTTCCTTATCTACCAATTGAAGTATTTTGCCATACAGCTCTTACATCTTCCATACTATTTAAAATTATTTTGAGGATAAAAATACGTGTATGGACCATCATAGGGAGGTAATGGACCTGATTATCTGACTGGATTGACATGTCTAACATTACGCACTTAGTATAATCAATATTAATATATACCTGGAAGAGGTACTTATTATGATTTAGCAATATCAGCAATTTCCTTATTGGATTAGAAAAAGTTTGGATTCAAATAATGTCTATATCTATTTGGATTGTATGGCCCATCTATGGCATATTAGCATTTATTTTACTTCTCGATGAGAAAGTATATTGAGGCAATGCTTTACGGAAACCAATGTTAATTGCACGATTAAGCATATCTATATAAAAAATATTAATAAATCTATACAAAAGAATTATTAAAATAAATTTAGAGCACTAGCAATTCATTAATACTCTTTCAAGTATTTATCTATTGTTAATGTTTGTAAACACAGTAATTATATGAAACAATCTATAAAAGTTAAGGAGAACAAAAACAATTTTAGAAATTAATCATAAAAAATTATTGAAAATTTTAATTGAATTTACTTAATCTTAATGATTTATAATCATCTTAATATAAACAACTTAATTATATTGAATATTATATTGAAAAAATCAACTTAATAAAGCTAATAAATATTCTAAGTATAAATTTGTTATAATATGAAACCACTTTCCTTAAATTTTTTGGTTCTTTTGACAATAATATATGGAGTGTTCTAATAATTTACTTAAAGAATTAATATAAGAATCTTAGTTATTTTATATAAATTATTTAAGATTCTTTTGTTGAATTTGATTACAAGACATGAATTAAAATAAATTATAAATTGAAAGTTGCTATAAATATACTTAATGTTTAACATGATTTAATATAAGTAGAATTAAAAATACAATTAATCTTATTAAATTTTGAATATTATAATATATATATTAATCTCTTTTAAGTACTATATATTTAAACTTTGAATTAGGAATAAAAGATCAAAAATAACCTTAATTGGCTAATTATAAAAAATAATAATTATATATCCAATAATTTGATTAAATAAATTACAGAATTGAGTAGATAAATATTTATTCATCTTGAATTTAAATGATAGAATATTTTGTTATCAATATATAATTTTTATCATGTTAATCTATTATGATTGATTTAATAGTATTCAAATTTATAATAAACTATATCTTTTTTATATTGTTAAAACATAAACAACAATATAATTTATATAATAATGTCATTAATTTGTAATCATGAGAGTTGTATAAAATCATCTCTCCTTGGTTTAAGATAAGGTATATATTATGGAGGAAAGATAAGATTCTTTCATGCTTTAGTTATGACTTTTCTTTTTAGACCTGGTTCAATAAAATCAAAATTCATCACTGTTATCCAGTTAACTTATTAACATGCAAAAAATTTGGGCATTTTTGTTTTCCTTTATAAATCAATAGTTTGTATTCTAAATAACATCAGAAAGAAATAGACAAAACTACATAATTTAATAAGTGGAGCCATTTGTGGATATCTAGTTTTTGGAAGAAATAAATCAGCAGTCAATTAATAAATTGTTCTTTATGTTATGAGTAGAGTAATTATCGGTTTGGCTTCAAACATTTAAAGAAGAAAACTATTACCTTAATCATGGGATGCATTCCCACTTTAAGCAGCTATAGTTTGGGGATTAGTAATGTTACTATTTGAAGATGATAAGGGATGCTTATAGAATTCTTTAACTTCTAGCATGACATTTTTATATAAAGATAGTGATAGATCTTATTCAAGTTGGGCTGAACTAATACCATTCGAAATGCCAGACTTTTTATCATTTCTATGGAAATGATTAAATTATAGTCTAACTTGATTATAAATATATTTATATTAAAACACTTATTTTTTTATTAATTGTCGATGGACAAAAAGATTATAAATTATTATCCTATATATACTAAAGAAATTTGAATTCAAGGTATTTAATTATAATATGATAAAAAAATGTATTAAATTTCAAATTATCTTATAAGATTAAAATTAATAGAGATCTATTATACTATAATATTGTTTATAAAATGTATATGATAGAAATATTCATTAAAAGATCTAATTAGAATAACTTTTATTATCTAATATTTATAGATTAACTTTAAATAATGAGAGAAATGAGACAAGCTTTAATTTATCTTATTAATTATAAAATTGGCATTGATATTTTATAGAGTTCAGTATATAATAATATTTAATAAAGAGAGTATAGTTTACTATAATTATATATAATACAGCATGAAATTATCAATATTTGGAATTCTTTTTCCCTACTACTACAAGAGTTGATTAGATATTATTAATTTGAGGAGGTATATAACTTTCAGAAAATTTAGGTTATGAAGATTCTCCAAATTGATTTGGTGGAATATATTTAGGATCTTCAAATTGATTTGGAGGAACATATTCATTAACATATTTTGATTCTTAATTAATTGGATTACTTTGATTTTGGATTATATTATTTTAAATGTTTGAATAAATAGGTGGAAATTTGGATTAATATGGTGATAAAGGTTTTTAGTAAGGACTAGTTTCTGAATGATGAATATCTTCTTTTGAAGGAATTTGTTGTCTTTAAGTATCTGGTTCAGATACATACAATTTCTCTTTCTTTTATTTAAAACACCAATGGAACATTTATACTATAAACATCATAACTAAGATGAATTCACTAATGGCTATAATTATTATTGAAATTGTAATGAGTGATACATAAGTATTGACATCTGCTGGAAAGAGATTTGGAAAATTGGCAAATACATTATAAATTTGATCAGATATATAACAATTTGCTATAGATTTAAAATAGAGTTCTGCATCAATTCTAAGTTTTTCCTAATATAATATTAAACCACCTTCAATGAGTATGAATGACATTTAACATACTAATAGTATTTTTAATATGACTGTAATTATTCTTATATCATTAACAATTCTGAATTTAAGAATATAAATTTCTATGATTAAAATAATTCCTATTAATCCAGTAAATATTTATTTAATAACTACATAAATTAAACCAATTTCTTAAATTGATTATTCACAATTTTCAGTTTCATTAATCATATTATTATCAATTTATGTGCAACTATCTTCAGCTTTTGATGCAATTTTATTCTTTTTTTTAATATAATATAATATATACTCTTGCTGTCAAATAAGTAATTGCTGAACCAATTACAGATGAAGGTACACCATTAAAAGATAATGCCTCTAAACCTTACTTTGAAAATTCTGAAAGTGTTGTTTATTCTATTTTCACACTATTATCTGTATCAAAATCAGAGCCTTCACAATTTTCAGGATCTATATAATCACTATTATTAGTTAATCCTGCTGTTATATAAATTAAAGGATTCAAACAAGGATATCCCCTTATTACAACTTGAATTTTAAATATTCCATAAGATGAATTCTCCCTTTAAATATATAGATCCCTATTACTCTCCAAATTTTAATCTGCATCTTCATCAACAATCTCATTTTATATTATTGTTAATTTTGAAATAGGACATTAAGAACCTTCACTTGTTTATATACAATAAGGTCCACAATTATATTCAGTCTCTGTACATTCAGTTGATAATCTTATATCTTAAAATCTAGTAACACAAATCAATTATGAGAACCATCTAGTAATATTATATTCTGCAAATGGAAATAATTATTAAATTTCTTCAGATGTATCACAATCTAAATCTCTAAAATATACTCTAATTATAATTAAGTATTTGATACTATTTAATTGGTTTGTAAATGAGATTATCAGAAATATATCCAATTGTAGCATTTTAAGCTTTGTATTAATATTCATTTGAATAAAAATCAACTACACCATGCACTATATCTAGTCCTATACTGATCAATAAAGAGATTATCATAAAAAAAAGAGTTAAAGATTTAACAACCTTATCATAAACAGAACTATGAATTTGCTCTATTGGATGCTTTTTCATATAATTTTATATTTATTAAGAAATGTATATATAAAACATAAACAATAAATATTTTTACTCATTAATTATTCCTTACAATTCCACCTGGTAATATAATCTATTTCTTTATTTAAAATTAATCATCTTTTGTAAAACCTAATTACGAAAGTCTTCTATTGAAATTGGTTCTAATTATAGCCTCATCCAAATATAAATTCATCAATTATATATCCTTTGTATATTCATTATACTACAATTTTTATTCATCCTTATTACACATATTTATAATTCTCTTTGATTTCAAATTAAATTAACTAAGCATTATACTCTTTTCTTTCTTCTTATCCAATAATTCCTATATCATTTATGACTTCCTATTTTCTGAACCCAAAGTATGTACATTACTCTCTGTTCTGTATTTTGATTTATGATTAGGATATTATTTTGATATATTATTGAACAATTATTATTCAAATAAAGTACTTATTTTTTTCTTTTATGGTTTAATTTGATATTTATATTTCAATTGATCTTCTTCTATATGATGATTATATCTCACTTTAGCTTCATTTATTTTTTACTTTATCAATTCATTAGCTTATTATTTGAATGCTGTATAAATATCCTCTTCCAATTATTCAGTAGAATTCAAATCAATTCCATATTGCAATACTATTTTATAAAGCTCTTTATCATAATCTATTTATGTTATCTTCTATTACTAAATCTACATCCCACACTTTCCATCTCCTGACTAAGTTCTACATTTTGTAGATTTACCTATTTTCTATATAATTTTTTCTGTTTCCTCCCTTTCTTTCTTTATTTATTCTATTTAATCTTCAACATGATAATAAAATAGATTTTAATCATACTAAGATTTTGTTACTTAATCTCTTATTGACATTTATTCACAAGTACTTTAAAATTAACTTATTGCTCTCCTCCCATAGTCTTATAATCTCTCTTTAGATAACATCTTAGATTTATTATTTGGTACTTTAACCAAACCTAAATCTAAAAAACAATCACTATCTAAAAATGCTTTATCAAATTCTGTTTCAAACTTTACTTCATATTATTCATACATCTTTTCTAATTCTGCTTCCTATTAACCCAACTATCTTGCTATTTTCCTTCTTATTAGATAATTCTTTACTGATTCTAATAAATCTCTATTGTTTATAATATTCAGCTTCTTTAACTTTGTTTTTGTATCAATAAATGTATCAAGTATTTTAAATTATTATAATTATCGATTAAATCTAATGTTATTTAAACTACTTTACTTATTATCATTTGTATTATTTATTAATTTGAACTTTGCCTTAACTTTATTTACTAATTTTCTTACTCTTTCTGTACTACAACTATCTTTATAATCCTATTATAACTTAGTATTCTGAGATAACTAAATATTTGAAAAAGCATCATTCAATTTTTAGAATTTAAGATGTATTGTCATTCAGTTCTATCTCTTATAAATTAAATTTATCATATCACATTTTTTAATAAATTTTATTTATTATTAATAAATGTATAATGGCATTTCTATAGAATAGATAAGTATAATTAAGTAGAGTTATTATTCATACTCTATTTTAACTTATAAGAAACATAATAAATATATAAATTTCGTTTGTTTAATTTTAGAACGAGCTCAGCTTCCGGAATAGGAGCCTTGCCCGCAACCTATTAAATAGGTTTAAACTTGGATAGGTTTTGTTTCAATTTGATTGAACCCGTGAAGGATTAAGATTTATATAAAATTTTATTTTCTTAAATACTTAAGTATTAATTTTAATATTATGGGTTTATTAAATATATATAATTAACGACTATATTTTTATATTAAAATTATATTAATTTTTTATATTCTCACAATCATAATAATTAGATATTGATTAATATTAGCATTACATATATAGATATATTAAAGAAAAAGATCATCAATTTTATTCTTCTAAAAATTAGAAAATATTTATATATATAAATTTTGTATTTCTAGATTGCTAATATTATATAGTTTTACATTTAGATATATGAATATAGTTAAGTCTTGTATTATACAAAATTCCTCTTTATTGAATATAAATCAAAATATTACTTTATTATTAATATAATGATATTATATTTATGATATCTAATCTCAATAAGTTAAAGATATTATATCTATAATCAAGAATTTTATCACTACTAAAAATAATAATTTCAATAAAACTATATTTTATTATTTATTAATTTTCACTCAATAAAAGATATTATTAATTATGTTAAATATATTTAAGAATGTCTTCTCTAAAAAATAGAAACAAGATTCTCAAATTATTTAATTTGAACAATTTGATCAAAACTAATTAGAAGAACATTAAATTGAAAATGATTTTCCTCATGATTTTCAAATTATTGATGAACAAGCTATGAAAATTATTGAATAAGAATATGATATTAAATAGTAAGTTCAACCAGAATACTAAGAAGACCAATAATTTAAAGAAGATCTTATGGATTATGAAGTTTAAGTAGACGATTCATTATATGGAATGGCAATCAAATTTAGTGTTTGTGAAGATTACCTTATGAAAATCAATAATTTGTCAAGTGATTTAATATTCCAAGGTTAAATAATAAAAGTACCTAAGAAAAATGAGTAGACATTCTCTGTTGTTCACATTCAAGAATAAAAATAATAAATAGAATATTTATGGATACCTGATGCTAATTCTTAAAGATGTAATTGTTAATCATAATTATTATTAGTTGATGTTATATATTGTAACAATATATAAAATGTTTAAGGATAATTAACTCTAAGTTCAGATTTANTAATTAAGTAGAGTTATTATTCATACTCTATTTTAACTTATAAGAAACATAATAAATATATAAATTTCGTTTGTTTAATTTTAGAACGAGCTCAGCTTCCGGAATAGGAGCCTTGCCCGCAACCTATTAAATAGGTTTAAACTTGGATAGGTTTTGTTTCAATTTGATTGAACCCGTGAAGGATTAAGATTTATATAAAATTTTATTTTCTTAAATACTTAAGTATTAATTTTAATATTATGGGTTTATTAAATATATATAATTAACGACTATATTTTTATATTAAAATTATATTAATTTTTTATATTCTCACAATCATAATAATTAGATATTGATTAATATTAGCATTACATATATAGATATATTAAAGAAAAAGATCATCAATTTTATTCTTCTAAAAATTAGAAAATATTTATATATATAAATTTTGTATTTCTAGATTGCTAATATTATATAGTTTTACATTTAGATATATGAATATAGTTAAGTCTTGTATTATACAAAATTCCTCTTTATTGAATATAAATCAAAATATTACTTTATTATTAATATAATGATATTATATTTATGATATCTAATCTCAATAAGTTAAAGATATTATATCTATAATCAAGAATTTTATCACTACTAAAAATAATAATTTCAATAAAACTATATTTTATTATTTATTAATTTTCACTCAATAAAAGATATTATTAATTATGTTAAATATATTTAAGAATGTCTTCTCTAAAAAATAGAAACAAGATTCTCAAATTATTTAATTTGAACAATTTGATCAAAACTAATTAGAAGAACATTAAATTGAAAATGATTTTCCTCATGATTTTCAAATTATTGATGAACAAGCTATGAAAATTATTGAATAAGAATATGATATTAAATAGTAAGTTCAACCAGAATACTAAGAAGACCAATAATTTAAAGAAGATCTTATGGATTATGAAGTTTAAGTAGACGATTCATTATATGGAATGGCAATCAAATTTAGTGTTTGTGAAGATTACCTTATGAAAATCAATAATTTGTCAAGTGATTTAATATTCCAAGGTTAAATAATAAAAGTACCTAAGAAAAATGAGTAGACATTCTCTGTTGTTCACATTCAAGAATAAAAATAATAAATAGAATATTTATGGATACCTGATGCTAATTCTTAAAGATGTAATTGTTAATCATAATTATTATTAGTTGATGTTATATATTGTAACAATATATAAAATGTTTAAGGATAATTAACTCTAAGTTCAGATTTAATTCTTTTTAATCCATTTTAATAAGATTATATTGAAAATACTCATTAGAAATTAAGATTATAAGCTAGTATCTCAATGAAGGATATTAATGAAGCTGTATATTACATCTTACCTAATAAAAATGGGCATTTAGATTATATAGTTTAGATATTATTATCAGGGATAGGCAAGCCAAATTTTGAGTAAAAATACAGAAAACAATTAGACAGACTTAAAGAATAGAAGTAAAGTATAGCAACAGTGTTTTTTAGAGTAAGTAACTGAAATATTTTATAATTAGCATGCTGAAAGAGACAATACAGGGAAATTATATACAGAAGAGATCAAAAAAGATAATTGTATTATCATGGCTAGATTTATCACTGAAGCTTGTTCAAATTATACAGCTGTTGTTGAATTAACTTAATTACCATTTATAGATTATATTTAGGATACTACATAAAAATAGAATTTAGATATAGATTTAGATGAAATCTAAGATGTTGTTGGTGAACCTATGGGAAGTAATCTTATAAAAAATAAATAGATTTATGGGCTAGTTTGGAATATGTTCCAATTTTAAAAGAAAAATCAAATTGTTTTACTGATACTACATTTAAATATGTCATATAATCTATTCCTGCCATTTATAGATTAGCAAATTGGAATAAGCTTTATGATATTGATATTGATGGATCCAGTTATTAAAACATGCTTCAATAAATTAGATAAATATTTCCAATGTTATTAATAATCAAAGATTTTGATCTTAATATTTTTGGTGTATACATTTCAAGTGAAATTCATAAATATTTTGAAGGTTTCAAAGGTAATGGTGAAACCTTTCTTTTCAACATAGATACAATAGTAAAAATTATTATTATTCTTCTTAGAAAAATTAAATTAAGTAATTTGTATGGACTGAAAAGAATAAAGATTTTATTTTCTGTGATGAATCTGGAATAGGTATAGGATGTGGAGATAAGTTTGGACTTTTTATTGATTAAAGTCTTTCATTTGGATATTCTAATCCTTGTTCTACTTTTGACAACCCAAGATTTACCAAAGATGAAAAATTTGGGATTAAGAATTTAGAAATATGGGCAATTGAACAATAATGAAATAAAATACTTAAAGAATTTTATTATTCTTATATTCAATAATTTTATAAATGATATGATTCATTAAAATAATATTAAATATTTAATAGTTCTCTTTTAAGTAAATGAAAATATTAAAATTGGAATAAAATTTAATAAAAAAAAAGAATTAAATTCTATATTTAAATATTACTTTACATTAAAAACTTATTATCATTATTATTATTATTATCATTATTATTATTATTATAGATTATTTATTAAGGTATTTACAACAATATTTAATAATTATTTAACAAAATTTTCTTGAAATTTTATTATTTAGTTCTATTATTATGAGTATTATCATGATAAATTTAAGGACTCATTTTATTTATAGTATCATTTATTAATTATGTTCTAATCTTTTAATTTAACCAAAAAACTTCAAATCAACGATGACTCCCCTCAACATTGTAGAACTCCTAGATCTATTTTTCATTCTTAAAGAAATATTATCATTCCATCACAATTTCAAAAACTTAAACTAAAACCTATATAAGACTTTTAAACTCAAACTTAGAATAACAATAATTTAATGAGATCCTCATTAAAAAATAACAATTTATTCACTTTTAAAGACTAGATGGATTTGCTGAATTAATAGCGATAAAGACATAATAAGAAGTAGGTTAGTTTTAGTGAAAAGATTTTAATCATAGAACCTAAGAAAGGAATCATGATTAGAGAAAGAATTCCTGAATTATATGAACAAGTGAATATAATAAGAACTAGAAAAAGAAAAAATTGTATTTTAATTCATAATCAAATAAGAACATTAGAAACTTGTTAATCTACTTTCATTGATTAGCTTTGACTCTTATTATAATATTTTCAATATGGATATAAATATTAATTTTATTAAAAATAAAATGGCTTAAGATTAGAGATCTCCATTTGAATTGAGAATATGGCATTTCTATACTGAAGAAGAGAAATCCATTACACTACTTAATGCATACAAACAAAGAGTATTGTTCTCAGAAGATATCAAATCTTTTCTTCTAAAGGATAGATTAAATACTTGGTCTTATTGGGGATTCCCAGCTGCATGTTATGCACTCTTTCACTATACTGGAGCATTATAACCATATATAGCAACAAAATACTCAGTAGGTGCCTAAAGAATGATTCCTGCAGCAATATCTGGATTACTTTGGCTTGGTTGGGTCCATTTCAATCCATTTTACACTTCTTTATAAAGGTAACAAAATTTCTTATTACTCCATTAGTGAAAAGTTGAGTTTACTTAATTTGATTGAGAGAAGAGTAGGTTTGAATATGAAGGCACTCAATGAGTAAGTACCTCGTACTTGGACAACATAAGAGATTCATAGATAAATGAGAGAAGCCTATAATAATAGACATGGATTTTTCACAAACATATTATATCCAAGCGAGGAAAGAGCCTCCCCATTATAGGATATTTCATCATATCCATTCAAATACAGAAGAGATAAAATTGTTAAATGATAAATTCCAACATATCATTTAGAATAAAATCATATTAAATTCCATTATTTTTAACATATCCATAGTTTCTAAATATAAAGAGGTTTATATAATTTATAAAGAATTCTTATAGTACTTAATAAGATTATTATTATAATTTGATTGTCATGCATATTCATTTTTTAATTTAAGTTTCTATTCAGTTTATGACAATAAGTTAGATTCTTTTTAATTATTTCTTAGAGTTTATAATTTTCTAGCCTTTTCTCTTTCCTAAATAATTAATTATTTTCTATTATGCTTTAAATATAAAAAATAAATTCTTACTTCATTATATTAAGCCCACATTTTTTCATCTTCTTTTTCTTATTATCTTTTTTATTCATTTTATTCTCTCTATTTTGCTTAATCATTTCTTATTTCTTATCTCTATTGTTCTGACATTCCTTTATAATGATAAGGTATAACTCTATGAGGAGCTAAAGCACTTTGACAAGTTGCAGTACTACATTATAATAATTTATAATTAACTTCTCTGTCCAAACATCATTGTTCATTATTTCTTCCATATGTTATTTCTTTTCAAGTTAAGCCTATCTAGCCATATATTCTTCTCTATCTTATTTTTCTTTTGCCAATTAATTATTTATTTGTTAATTGGCAATTTCCATCTCAACTCTTCTCCTCTATTATTCTTACTCTAATTCTTTTAGACTCTAATTAATTTATAATGTCTGCTGATCATATTATTATTATATTTATTTGTTTAATTGTTTCTTCTATTGATTCTCCTAAGTTTATTATTATACCCAGTCTTTCATTTACAGTTACTACAATTTTCTTCTATCTCCAGCAGCTAAGATAGAATATTTATATGAAAATACTTAAGTCTTCTCCATCAAGCATTTTTAAATTAGAAACTCCTACTTGATTTTTCATTTATGCATGATTGTATGTTGGATTTTGATAATGACTCATTAAATTTAATATACTTTATATTTTAATATTCAAGCGTTATATACTCCAATTACAATAGCATGGTCTCTTTCATATGGTTCTAGAGTGAGTTATTCTTAAGGTGTAAGTCCTTCATCCTAAAATATTTATTTAAACATACTTTTAGACGTTACACTTCATGTTAAAATACAACTTCAGCACGATTGGTAGAATCAATACAATTAGCTTTAATTGATATCATAAAATGTCCTCCCTTTTTAAGGAAATATTATGAATTTAATCCTACAATTCTAGCCTAATCAGGTTGTGCAACATCTGCAAATACAACATCTACCATTCCTACAAGCATCCTATATTCCAATGGCTTTCTTGCATCAGCTATTATAGGCACAATATTTGTTCTTTTCTTTGCCATATTTACTAGATCTCTTCCAGATCTGTGAGAAAATTCAACAGCATATACAACACCTAAAGTATTTCATTATAAATCATACCTTCTGATCCTATTACATCAGAAACATGAGATACTGTTGTTCCTGATGCAGCACCCAAATATAATACTTTAGCACCTGGCTTTATGAAAATATCGCTAACTCCACCAATTATACCAGCAGCAATCTTTGATCTAAATGGGTTCCAAACTCTATATTCAACTTTCTCTCCTGTTTATTTGTCTTCCACTGAAATTCTCTTTTCATTATACACTGATTCTCCAGGCACCATATTCTTTGTCACCAAAGCTTCTTATTATCCTTTGGCTACAAAAACTCCTGCTAATCTTGGATGTGGAACCACAAAGGCCTTAGGAGCTCCTCCCATTCGACCTCCTCTACCTCCTCTGGCACCACCCCTACCTCTTGGGGCTCCTCTGCCTCTGTCTCCTCCTCTACTGCCTCCTCTGCTATCTCCTCTTCCACCTCTGAAGTCTTTACCCATAAATTATATTTTTAATATATTTAATTAGTAGTATGTAAGAATATTGATACTTTCTATCATTTTCATTTGTAACTTAAGTAATATTAAAAACAACTCTTTTACATTTAGATCATTCTTTCGATTCATTCAAAACATTCTTAAAATTACAATAAACTGTAATGAATTACTTGAATATGTATAGTTGTTTATAAATTTATTTATTAACTTTCTTCTTTTTGAATTCTATAAAATTTTCAGAATATATTTATAATTTAATGAAAAAAGAAAGATTTCTTTAACATTTCCTTAATTTTCTTTTATTTAAATAAAAATTGTTATAAATTTATATAAATTAATGTTCTTTATAATTTTTTTATTTCATATTTACTCCTCTTTTTGTAGGTTTATTAAACGAGATTTTTGAGGAACTTTTCATCTCATTTAAATTAAGTAATTATAAAAATTATTTAATTTCCAATCATTATTAGGATAACTTATATTCAAATTAAGTAATTTTAATTCAATTTTTAGGTTTGTAAAATGAATTTATGAGAATATAAAGTATGGTTTATTCTGATTTGAATTAAATATTATAATAAATTTTCTAATATTTTATGATTCAAGTTTTTAATTAACTTTATGTACTTATTTAATATTTTCAATATTAAAATTATAAATCAATTAAATTGAATTAAATACTTGATAAATATTTTGTTTTGGATTACTTATTTTTACTAACTATTTCAATTTAATAATATAAAATTAGTGGCATAAAAGGGAAATGACAATTACTATAATTATTTAAAATCGCTTTTCTAATATATTCAGTTAGAATGATTTTAATAGTTAAAGTATTATCTTAATATGTATTTTTGAATTTAGATTTATGATACATAGATACATAGATATACAAGTATTAAATACATCTTAAAATATAATAAATTGAATTATTTAATATTATGGGCCTGTGTTAATCTAATAGAAATGAAAGGAAATCTTTTGTTGCTAAAAAATTACACACTTTAAGTGACACATAAATCTAAAATAAATTAAAAGCAAAAGATACTCCAATTAGACCAAAGACATAGCCTACATTGAATACAATAGCAAAAGACCATTTCTCAACTATTAAAACTCCTACTGCAATTAGAACTAGTAGGAGGATGATAAGAGAAGCATTGGCCAAAACTTATTCTGTTCTAAATTAGGATTTTGGGTGTTCAAGTAACCTTATTATATTTATTTCAGATCAAGACAATATAGGATTAATATAACATAATGTGACTGGATAAGTTAGAACTGCTAAGACAATTCTAAAAGAAGATGAGTCAATTAATGACATGGAATAATACATTAATAATATTAGAGAAAATAACTTAGTAGTTTATATTAATATTACAAAAGTCTTCACCACATTTTAATAATGCAATAGAGCTTTTTGAAGATTTTAAATGTTATTATGTGATCTAATAATATTGTAGTGGAGGCAAGCTTTCGAATTTATGTAGTAAGATAGAAGAGGATAATGCTATTTATATTATATCTTAAATATTAGATACTCTTAAAGAGATTCATAATTAAAATAATTATCATGGAAATTTAAGTATTTAAAGTTTTGCTCTTACAGATTAATCAAATAATCATTATGTAAAAATGATAGATATCTATCCTGTATTTTAAATTAAGGAGAAAAATGAGATTTAAAGGAATTAACAATTAGACATAAAAGCAGTTGGACTTATTTTATTTTAATTGATTACAAATAAACAAATAACAAAACAAACAACTGAAATGATCTTAAAGAAACCAAAAGATTCAACATATAAATCATCTTTTTGGTTTTAATTAGTTTTATAATTTCTAGAATCAAAAAATTTATAAATTTATGAAAATTTGTAATCAAATTCAATATACTAAACTATTATATAGAAATATTAATCTCGATATGCTGAATCTATATTTAAAAGAATATTGTTTAAAAAGGCTTCATATCTTTAATAATAAATAATATTAGTAATGAATAAGATTTTTTTTTAAGAAAGACAAAATTAAATATAAAGAATATTTTTAAAGAATGATACTAATCATAATGGTACTTTATAAAAAGAGGAATTATAAAAAGCATTAGGAGTTGAAGAAGACATAGATGAAATATTTGATTAAATTGACATAGATGGAAATGGAAAAATAGATATGAATGAATTTATCTTTAATTCTTGTGATAGAGGAGCTTTATTAAATGAATTCAATTTAAATGTTGCCTTTTATGAATTGTAAAGAAAAGGATTTGTTATTCCATCATAATTTTCTAAATTTATAAGTTGTGATGAGGATAAAATTGAAAATGAAATTGCAATCAAATTTAATTCAAAAAAAGTAATTATTATATATATATATATTCTTAGTTAAATAAACAAGATTTCATTAAACTGATGATGGAGCTTCTCTGAATAATCTTATTAGTTTTAATTATAAAATATAAAAATATATATTATTAAATAAATACTTTTTATATAATTATAGATGATACATCTTTATTATTAAGGTAAATAATTATCTTTAATAAATCAATTACTATATCAAATAATATATTATATAATTGATATCAATCTTTTTAAGAGTTTAGTGAATTGGAAGTTTTAATCATAAATAATTATATTATTATGATTTCATCAATTTTTTGAGAAAATGAAAATAATAGAATTAAAAATACTAAAAAAAATCATAATAAATTTTTTATTTTTTTAACATTATTATATTTTCATAATGAAATCACAAAAACAATTTTATTAAAGACCATAAAGTCATAATCCTGAATCAAAGAAATAAGAACATAGTAATTAAATATAAAATGAAAAATTTTTAAGTTCTATTATTAAACTTCAAAATTAAATAGAAGAGCTGAAATATAATTAACAAATTGTATCAGAAAGTCTGACGAATAATTTAACTAATATCAATAATAAAATAAATACAATGGAATCCTTAATTAATGAATTATCTTATCAACCTTAAAATACTTTAATTGATTATCTCAAACAAAGTAATGAAATGCTTAAGTAATCATAAACCTAAAACAACATAAATATGAATACTTCTTCAACTGCTGGTTTATTTTTGGAGTAACAACAAAAGAACATAGAATCAAAATTTTCTTCGATGAGGGTTTGGAGTCACTAATCAATTTAACCAGATAATAAAAAAATTAATAGACTAGTTCCAAATATCAAGAGCGATCAAAATAATTAATAAAAATAAAAAAATCAGGGTATAATCAAAAATTTATATTAATTAAATTAATGTATTTTATGTAAAGAAAAAGATCATTAATTAATTGAAACTCCATGTAATCATTTTTTTCATAAAAAATGCTTACAATAATTATTTGATTAATAACTAATGGATTATGAACATAAAAAATAATTTAAATGCATCTGTAAGTAAGAATTACATTCAAAATTATTTATAAGACATTTATAAATTGATAAAGAAATGTTGTTCGAAAAATAAATAAATATTATCTACCAAAATAATAAGAAGATAATAAATTAATGTTAAAATTGTAATATAATTTGGATATATGATATTTTTTAAAAAACTAATGAACGTTGTTTCAAATGTGGAAAAGTTTAGATGTTTTGAATTGATATTAATTATATTATTATTAAATATATAACAATTATCTTTAGTCTCAAATATTTGATATTTTTATATAAAATTGGTCAATATTTATAGAACCATCAAAAATATTATTATTTACATTTAATGACTTGAATAAATTTATTCATTAAATATAAATAGATTTAAGAATTAATTATTAATAAATAAATAAGAAACATATAAAGAGTGAATAACAAAATTAATTCATTATGATAAAAAATTGCTATTGTTTTTAAAATAAAATAATTAAAGTTTGAATAAACAATCTAAAGTTTAAATAGGATTAGATAATTAGTAAATGTTCAAATAATTATGAACTTATTGTAAAATCAATAATTTATCTTAAATTGGATTTATATTTTTATTAAAATATTAACATTAAAAAATTTGTTATTTTTATAATAAAGAATTACTTTATAAAATTATTCAATTTTAACCTTTTTCTTAACATTTACAATAATATAAAGTATTATTCTTATTATATTTATCCATAACCCAAAAAAAATCACACTGTTAACACTTTCTAAATTTCGTTTAATTACTTTAATATATGAATTTTAGTTATTTTTAAATTAATTTTTATTATTATTCTTCATAAAAAGATTTATCAATAAAGGGGAGCTTATGGATTTTACTTTTACATAAGCATGTAATCTATGGATTTTATAAAAAATTATTTATTTATCCGATAATTAATTCCTTCAAACAATTCATGTGATATGTATGTTAACAATTCAAAACATATTAATTTTCATAAGATGATTATCGACATTAATAGCAATCAAATACTTTTGTTTTAATTTCAGTTTCAAATAAATTAAGTTATGGTTCTTTATTTATTAGTGAATGTTAATTTATTTGTGAATGTTAATTTATTTGTGAATGTTTATTTATTAGTGACTCTGAAACACTATTTATTTAATTACTTTATTAAACGTAGCTAATTTAGGAATTTTTGGTTTAGTATTATTATTTTTGTTTTTATTATTATTCACTTTTTATTTCATTACATGTTATTGTCTATGCTTAATTTACCCTATTAGGATAGTAGGATATCTACTATATTGGTAGTCCTTTTTCTTAAATACTTATAATTTTTATCTTGGGTTAAGGTTTACCATTATCATTTTAATGGGATAAATTTTAATATTAAATATTCTACACCGGTTTTTCTCCATATTCAGAAATACTTCTCATTTTGATTCCTATTTATCTAGTTTCTTCTTTGTTTAAGCTAGAGTTTTTATTTTATATAGTTTTTGGTTCATAATAGGTTTTATTAATATCTGTAATTTCTTCCTTATTTTTTATATAAGTAATTTATTTTCCATCTTATAATCTTGAAAATTAATTACAATTGCTTCTTACTTGCCTTAGATTATTATTTAAATCATACATACATTCTCTTCGAGATTAATCATTTTAAAATTAATTTATTTATTAAGGGACTTGGAATTGATAGTTATAAGTCTATTTCAATATTTTAGTTTGAAAGTTTTCGTAATTAGGGCTCCCTTTAGTGTGTTAACTAATTGATCTTTAATTGTAATTTATAGAATTATTGTTCATTAATAAAATAAATATATATTATTATCTAGAATTTTTGTATATATAAAAACACTAAATGCCAAAAAATAATTAATACAAAATTGTGAATAGTTATTATTTCATCTTTTACTAATAAAAATTCCTCCTAATTTATCAATAATATAAATATATCAAAATATCAAAAAAATTCTACAAAAGTCATACATTTAGAATTTCAAAAATTTTAGACTTTACTTTGTGAGATTAAGACTATTTTTTAAATAAAAAATAATAAATTCAATTTTAAAGATATTCTGGATAGTCCAATATATTATTGATAAGAATTATTTTAGAGAGAGTAAATTATGAATTAAGAATATAATTGAATATATTTAAATTTCTTTTAAGCAAAATAATTTTATTAATGGTCAAGCGTCTCATAATTAAGTTGATAATTGAGGTCGGTTCCACTGTAGCCAAGTCTTTTATGAAAGCCTACTAATAGACTGCAAAATGTAAGAAGTTAACAATTAGATTAGAATCAGGAGGAAAAGCAGGAAATCCATTTACAGAATTTCTGAATCAAACTATGTAAGCGGCAAATCTGACTCATAAACCGATGACAAGAGAGGAAGCATTTAAGATACTACAATTAGTTCCAGAGAAAGCTAGTCCAGAGGATATTATCAGAGTAAATAGAAGGATGATAATTTTTAGGTTTATTGGAGATAATTCCATAAGAATGATCCTGTGAAGGGAGGATCATTTTATCTTCAATCTATGTTACACAATGCAAAATGTGAGTTAATGAAGGACTTTGCAGATGTTAATGAGAAGGAAATCTTAGAGAAGATCAAAAAAGAAGGAGAGAGTTAGAAAGGAGATGAAGCAGAGTAGAAGGATGAAGCAAAGGTGGAGGAGAAGAATGAAGAAAAGAAGGAAAATTGAATTCTTAAGTACTTATTTTGAGGATTGAAATTGATATATAAATTTAATTATGTTATAGAGATTGTCTGCAGTAATAAGAAGACCAATATTCTGGCATGGCACACATCATCATCATGATAGTAATGATGCTACAAAGAGACTATTTGACACTGTTTCAAGTACAGTTAAAGGCATATAATAAATAAATTATGTGGTTGAACATAATCCAAAACTCACAGCTGAAGAGAAGTCTAAAATGAAGCAATTTTTGATTTATAGATATGATCCAGCTGTATAATTTAATTTATTGATTTTAGGATGAGAATGACTTTCCAAAATATGTGAGTTACTATGTTGACTTGAAGAAGATACCCCCTATGTATTTGGATGCATTATTGTACATCAAAGACAATTATGATTCATCTCTCTCATTACGTCGTTCATGCAGAGAGGGTATCTGTGGATCTTGTTCTATGAATTGCAATGGTCTCCATAAATTAGCATGTATCCATGCAATAGACACTGATTTAACTTAACCAGCCTACATCACTCCTTTAGGTCATATGTTTGTAGTAAAAGACCTTGTTGTTGACATGACCAACTTTTACACTCAATACAAAACAATTGATCCTTATTTGAAGAGAAAGACTCCAAAGGTATGAGAATCTAAATTTATCATTATAGGAAGGAAATAAAGAATACATTCAATCAGTTGAAGATAGAAAGTTATTAGATGGTCTCTATGAATGTGTGTTGTGTGCATGTTGCTCAACCTCATGTCCATCATATTGGTGGCATCCAGATAGATATCTTGGTCCAGCTGTATTGATGTAGGCTTATAGATGGATTGTAGATTCTAGAGATGAGTATACAGATGAAAGATTAGAAAAATTAGGTATTCTTATATTTCTATATTAATAGCTGAGGATGTTAAGGTAGAGGATTGTTAAAATATTGGTATGTGTTCTTTTACATGTCCAAAGGGACTTGATCCATAAAGATCTATGAATCATTTAATGAAATTGATAGAAGAATATAAAGAAAGAAAGATTGCATCAGCCACATTATGAAATTATCATAACATAAATAAAAATATCATAGAATACTTGTTAATTAAGTGTTTCTATAATCACTAATTTTTGATCTGCATTTTGGACAACTAAAGTTGATTATTAACCAAGCCTTTATACAATGCATATGAAAATGATGTTATTAATTACAAGGGAGGATTAATAATTCTTCATTTCTACTATATACTTATAAGCAAATTCCACATTCCTAATCACCTTATACATTTTCACATTAATAAATCACTTTTGCATTCTATATAAGTTCATTCAAAATTTATTAATTTATGTAGTTTTGTTTTTATTACTTTAATTTTTTCCATAATATCATTAATAAAATAAATGGTAATGATATCAATACTATTAAGCATAATATGTACATTTCCCAATATTAATACAATGATATTATTAAAAATATCATCTAAAAAGTGATTAAATTTCTATAACAATTATCTATAGGTTCCATTTTGGTTTATATATAAATTGCCCAAATGATAAGTATTTAATTAGTCAAAGCATTAAAGATTTAAAAATAACGGATGGTTCTATTTCTTAATGCAACTTCAGATTTTATTTGTTCTGTAAGAATGAGTTATCTTCTTTCTGTTTCCTCTTAATTTAAATAGATATATGAGTCTTGATTTGAAGTCACTACAAATTCAAAAGGGTGATCTCCTTAAGGTTCTGGTTGATAATGCCTTCCTTCAAATTATATAGCATGATTTAAATTTTCTGCTATTTCTATTACAACTCCCTAGAATGCTTATTTACATTACTATGTCATTCAAAAATTGATATAATTTGGTGTAATAGAAATATGCTCCAATGGAATGCAGTGTCAATATTATTAACCAATACATAATACTATCAGATTAACAATTCAAATTAAAACTCAAAATCAATGCTATTACAAATTTCAAAATACTATAAAACCTATTCAAAATTATGAATTTTTTTGCATTTTACAAGCATCTATAAAACATAAAAGTAAATCTCTTATTTATTAACATTTTATTATATATATATATATTAATAATAAATTAAACTTATTGTTTTATTTTTAATAATCAGTATCTTATTTCTCTTAAATAATGAATTAAATATTCTAATTTTATATAATAAAATCAGAAGAATTCTATTAGATGATCATATTAATTATTTATTGAATATATAAATCACTATTATAATTATTATTATTATTATTATTCTGGTTCTTCTTCAGGTGGTATCTATTCAATAAATGGGCAAATCTCTTACCAAATTCTTATCATTCCATTGGAACCTTAATATATTGATTATTATTATTTACTTGCAGTAATCAATAATCTACCAATAATAAAAACACCTCTAATTTCTTCTTTAGTCAATTCATATGTCTTTATTAACAATCCTTTATCAAAATTCCAAATACTCAATCTACCATCTGAACCACCAGTTATAAGATGTTTAAAATATAATAAACTGCATAAAATTGATCCAGTATGACCATCCTTTAATGTTCTAAATATATTTAATTAATTTACTTTAATTTTGTTCCTTATTCTACATTCATTAAATCACTTACTTTATCCATCCCTCCGACAAATAATAGATTATTGTTAATCATGTACAAATGTTATACTTTTACTGTAACAACTGTTCTTAAAGTTTTCAATATAATTTTTGGACCTGTTTTTTCCTAAAATCATATAGAAAACATCAAATTTACTCTTTTGTATGTTTTGACTCTTCCATCAGGAAATCCAGCTGCAAATACATCTTTATTATAAGTAACCAATGATATTACAAATGTTCTATCTACTGGTTCTACATGTTCTAAAGCACCTGATACAAAATTGACTAATTGAATCTTTCTATCTTCTGAGGCTGTTACAATACTTCCATCAACATATAAAATAGAATAAACTCCTTTTTCATGATGTTTGAATTTGATATCCATTTACCAAATACCATCATGTTATTTCCATCCAATTACAGTTCCTTCTTTATTACCTGCTAACAACATTCCATTATGTACATAAACACTCAAGACTTCAGCTTCATGATATAATACTTTATTGATTTAGAAAGTTTAAGCATTCCATATAATAACTTATTTATCTTCTCCTGCAGTGATAAACTCATCTTTATAAAGGAAGACTATTTGATTGATTTTACCTTCATGTTTACTCATTTCTAAACTTGGGAATTTACCAACTATTTAAGAATCAGTATAAAGTGAAGTAGATTTTAATGTATCTACATGAGGAATTAAGGTACCAATCAACCAATGATAAGCTTATTTTTTACTAATAGGAATTTATTAAGGAAAATTTAATACTTAATATCCATGTGAAGATATAAAGTATATTTTAGGTTATTTTGATCTAATTAGTTCAGTATTTTATAAATATGCTCCCAATCTCCATAAACCTTATTATTATGTTTAATCTATTTCCATATAAAAATATGTGTCTTCTCTTTCGAATTTAATTAATTTAGTTGAATCTTTAATGATTTCACCATTTTCTTTAATTAAATAAATACTGAAATTTTCTTTAGAGATTTTAGCATCTACTAATAGATATTATCTATCAATAGGTTTTAATTTATGAGGAAATTCAGTATCTAATAAAAAGTTACTTATATCAGGAAAGAGTTTATCTTATAAAGACCAAACAACTAATCTACCTTATTTAGTAAAAGTAAGTAATCTCTTTTCATAAGTGACACATTCTCCTTGATATACCATAACTGGAGATTGAAAATATTTTTAATTAGTAATTTTGAGTTCATTGATAGTTTCTAGACCATATACAAAACTTATATGATTGCCTTAAGCAATAAGAACTCCATCTTCATTTTATAAAACACTATTAACTTATTGATTAGAATGAAGACTAATGTTTGGACCTCTTTCTAATGAATCAATACTTAAAGTATGTAATACACCATCAAGACCTCCAAAAATTAAGTAACGTTAATCTATAGAAATAATCTATAGTATTGGTTATCCACCACTAAGATAGCCTTTGATAATCACTTATTTAATAAGTGTTCCACTCAAAGGTTTATCTAATGACTTTTCAATCTTATAGATGAAAATGGATTTATTATTATCACATAAAAAAGCAATTTGATCATTAGTAATAGAAACCATTTTATTGATAGGATCAACAGTTTATGTTGAAGATTCAACTTAAATGGTAGTATCAATAAATAATTACAATTATCTTAAATCTACTTTGATTAATATTAATTCTCCATCATTTGTACCCAAAGCTAAACCTTCAGCTCCTACTTTACACATTGAATTAGTTTTTTTATTGATGGCCAATGTATATACTAGAATGAATTATTATGTATCATCATCTTTTTTTAACCAGACTACCAAACCAGAATTATCAGATATCATAACATTATCATCATCCCAAATTATAATAGTATTAACATGATCAGAAAATTTACAATTAATTGTACTATCTATTAAATAACTATCCAAATTCCATATACTAACACTACCATTTTGATTTGCAGCAACAATTAGATTTGGTGATTAAAATGCACATTATGCAACTTCTTAAGGATTGTTATGTGATTTAGTAAGATTAGGATAAGTTTTTAATTGAGATGTGTTGATTATTTAATTAACCACATCAAATGCTTCATATGGTTCTTTTAATGATCCTAAAATCCAAAAGTATGGATATAATGTTCCTTATTCTTATGGCAATTAAGGTAATTAATAACGTTCAATTGAATTTGGTGTCAAGACACACATTTCTTCAATAAAATCCATTTTTAATTTAGGTAGACAGGCAACCAACTATAAAATATCTCTTTTATTCTATAGATTAGAAAAACTGATTAACTGAATTCCATCTTTTGGATTTTAATATTGTTGAATATCTGAATCAGATTAAATTACTTATTTATCTAAATAATTATTATATGTGTAAATTACTTTCCAATATTATATAGAAATTCAAGAAACCTTAATTTGGTTTATTAACAAGTAAAACAACTAATTGAGACTATTATGGCTTATGTATTATATGATAATGATTTATAGAAGTTGTAGACAATGGATGTTATTCATTAATTTCTTTAATTTCTTCATAATATTCAACATGTTGTATAAATATTCTACCTTTGATAACTAATTTATTATAGCAAATATAAAATACTGTTGGTTTGTAATAATGCTTTGCATATACCATTCTCATTGGAACGATAACTATATAATTTATTATTATTTTCATCATGAACTTTAATGTATACATTAGGTACTGGATATTTACTAACTAAATCTATAAATTAAAATTAAATAAGATTGATTTTATCTTAATGTACTGATGGAGGTTACAAATATTTAGGTTTCTTTATCATTAAATCACTTGATGGTTTTATAGCATGTTTTTTATCTAATGCATCTTACACAGGATCATATCCCTCTTCTTACGTATTAGCTTTCTTTAATTCAAATGTTTATTCATATACTCCAGCCTTTGGAGATATTTGACCCTTATATACAATATATCCTATTTTCTTAAAAAATATATTGAATTGATCAGGTTCAACTACAATTTCATACTTTCCACTTCCTGGAGGTGACTCTTTCAAAATAGCATCCTTTCCACCTCTCATTGGAACAATCTCTACTTTACATTCTGTTACTGGTGCCATTTGACAAACTGCAGTTACTACTATACAAGAATGTGTTTGTTTCTCTAAATTAATTACTTAATCAAGTGGCTAATCGTCAGCATTTAATTAAAATAAATTTATTTACTATTAACTATAATAAATGAATTTTACTTGAGTTTTCCTTAGAAAATCATTGGTTTCCTCTATAATAACCTCATAAACATCTAAAGGTACATTTTTTAAAGAGATTCTACCATCTTAATTTGTTCTTTCAATCTTATATGAAGGATTCTCAACTGGTTCTTTTAAACTTCTTTAAGATTATCCTGAAATATTAGAATAAGCTGACTTTGGTCTAGTCTATGCACTTTGAGGTCTCAACATTCTGTTTGATCTGGATGTTACTAAATTGTATAATAAAAGTATATAATTACACATAATGCTTTGAGATCTTGATTGAACAGGTCTATAGGGTTGTATTTTAACATCAATGTTTTTTAATTTCTAATCAGAATCAGCAAATTTTAAATCTATATTGAATGAAACTTTCTTAAAATATTAAGGCAACTTATTTATAATCACTGAAGTCTATGGCCATGCTTTAGTATTAAGTTTAGATCCAATTACAGCTTATTTGATTTATCCTTTTTATTTAGACATCACTTAAACTTCAAAACATCCTTAAAGTGAATTCTATTGAAAGAATACCTAATCGACGTTATAAAAACATGGTGTCTATACTATGATCTAAATGATCATATATTAATGGTTTGAGAATCACTTTAACAATTGGAAATCGTTAGATAATCTCATTCTTAAGGGCTTAGGCATATGTAAGATAACGTGCTTCATCATGTTTTGTAGATCCCATATGTTCATGACAATTAGTACTGCAATTAATTTACTCTTTTACCAATATTCAATTGTAACAATCACATCTTCTTCAGAAATATCTTTGAATTCTCTAAATTCCCTAAAGCCTTAATGTTATTCACTCTTATTATGAATCTCTTCATTCTTTTCCCATAACTCTTAAAATGTTCGTAACTTCTTAATTTTAACATTTGTGTACGACAGTCCAGCATCTGAGTGTTCGTATTTGATCATCCGACTACACTTAATAACATTCATATAAGTACTCATATCGAAATATTCCTAAAGAAATCCACGGTTTCTCATGTATGTCTTTATCAAAATGATTGTCACACAGTCTACTCTCAAAATTCAAATTACCTTGACATCAACATTAATGATTAATTCTATGTATACTTCTAAGATCTCTTTGTTGGTTATGAAAGTTGTGATAATCTGTCTGATTCATAGTATCTCTACATTAATTTGTATTTATATATATATATATTAATAGATAATAATAAGTTTCAAAATGAATGGCGTTTATAATGAGGATTTTATAATTCTTCTTGATCATCTTACTCTTAATCATCATCATCATCATCTTCTTCATAACCCATATTTTAAACAGCTTCAAATCCTCCCATTTATTCTATTTATTCCATCTATTCTTCTGTTAATCCATATTATTTAGCTATAATATAAATATACATATATACCTATTGCATCTTTTTATAATTTTTCAAGTAACTTAGGATCTAAATTATCTATATCAATTTAATCATCATATTCTCCATCTATTTCTTATCCATCATATTCTCTCAAAGATTATTCTGCTTATTCTCCTACTTAATCTACACCTTCTGGATCTTATTAAGATATTCTTTCTGACTCTTCTACATCTTATTCACCAATAGGATTCATATAATCAAATTACTCTTATTATTCTTATTCTTCTTAAGGTTATTATTGACTTTTAGCTGCTTCTACTTCCATCAATAAAGGTCTCTAATAAACTCTAACAAAGATCTCCTTCATCATATTATTGAAATCTTCCTCTTCTTGTCTCCTCTTTTAATATTATTCAATAAACTTTTATTATTATCTTTCATATTAAACTTAATTATGATCTTGAATAGCCCAAGATTAATGTACTCTTGGTCTAAATAGTTATTTTTTATCCTCTCTTTAATTTTATTCCTCTTAATTTTATTAATCAAGAGCAAGTTGATTTTATTTCATAGTAAATATGTAATCAACATAAGCATTAAATTTATCAGTTGATCTTGGTTAGATCTTAGGTTTTGTTGAAATAGCTTTCTTAGCTTTTTTCAATGGATCCTCCTTTTATATTGATTTCTCATCCAAATAATCTCGTTAAGCTTTCTTTTTACTTTCATGAAATGTAGGTCCAATAGGTATAGTAGTTTTTATTTTCTTTTTCTTTTTATCTAATTATTTTTAGAATTGATCATGCAATTTATTAAAATTTGGTATTGATTTTGCTCTGACTTTTCTAGATGATTCATGATAAGATTTTATTAATAATTCTTATTATTTTTCTTATTCTTTTAATTTCATCTTTTCAATCCATTCCTACATACGAGGTGGTAATTTTGAATTCTCTTATAACCAAAACTTTCTAATTTTCTTTCTATTCTCACTTTTAATCTTCTACTCTTGAATATTACGTTCATATAATTTCAATGAACAATACCAAGGAATAGGATTAGCTCTAAATTTATATGGTTCCTCTTAATCTTCAGGTAATTTAATAGGTTATTCTCTTTTTCTATCTTCAAAATTAAATGGTTTCTGCATAGATTAAGTCTTTTCTTTGCATCTCTCCTTCAATTCTCTTCTTCTTATTTCTTCTCTCTCCAACAATTCATTATAATAATTCTTATCCTTCACCTTATATGGTATTGCCTTAGCCTTAAATGGTCTAAATTTATAAGCTTCTTCAATTTCTTCTTATTTTTATCTTACCTACTCCATAACCCATTTTTCCCTTATACTAGGCTACTTATTAACATCTCTTTTCTCCTATCCTGTTTTCTTGGGTATTGTAAATTACATCCTATCCACATTAATCTCTTAAAAGGGTTTTCTTGGAACTGATTGTTTTTTAACTTTCTTTTTCTCAGTTTCAGGTGGTGGAGGTATCTAATATTTTGCAGTCATTTTATAGAAATAATCATCTGATGATTCAGATGAAATAGATTCTTCTTATTATTATTATGGTAATTGTTCTTCATCTTAATCATTTGGAAGATTATCAAAGAAATACATAAATTAATTCCATGATATCTATTCATCAGGATTATTCAGATATCCAATCTCTATTTATTATAATACACTTTCTAAGAGTAAATTCAATCCAAAAACAACAACATGAACAGCATATACAAACAATTCACAATTTTAACGAATAGATTTTATAGCTTCATCAACTGTTGCCAAACCATTTTCACTTACTAAATCAAAAGCTTCCTATATTTTTGAAATATCTTCTAACAATAAGATACGAGGATTATTCTCAAAAAGATTAACTTATTTATGAATTGGATCAAATAAATGAACATACTCTCGAAATCCTTTCTCTGGTTTAACCTTTTAATACTTCTACAAAAATTATATGAATTCATCTTGTTTTAAATGAAATCTCTCCTTAACTGGAAAAGAATCTAATGCCAACTAAAGTGATTATCTATCAAATTAAAAGAGTGTCATTATTAATGGATTCTCATACATAAAGTTTTTAAGCTAAAGATGATGTACTTATCCTTTACGATGTGGATCTATTTAAGTGTAAAAGAAATCAAACATGTCTAAATCATTTGGATCTTTAGTGACCCATTTTTATAGAGCCTCTGTCTATTAATCTAATAACTTAAGAAGTTTGAATTCTTATTCTCTCTATAATCGTTCTCTTTAGTAAATTGAATAAAATCATACCTTTTTCTACGCAAATACATTTTGAATTAGAATATATAATGTCTTCTTTACAAGACTTCCTCATTATATTTGCTTTCATATGGTTTTTTTAATTCAGGTATGTTGCCATCTAATGATTCTTCACTTTCTTCAGTTTATAACTTTGGCCTTTTACTTTGAACCCTTCTCAGAATTTCACATATCTTATCTCTGGAACGTTGCTAATTGTATCAATTTAATATATACTATTTTAGCATTGATAGTGTTATCTTTGATACTTCTTTATAAATCATACTCAGTTTTCAATTCTCCTACTTTCTGCTACAATTAACCGACAAATAGTTAATCTGTCATTTTATTTTTATTTATGCAAAAACTAAACACCTACGAGGCAACTCCTTGGGTAGCAGGATATCAATGTTGCATAGTGATATATACTTTCATAAGTTTTGGACTTATTTTGGTTTCTGTATTCAATTAATCAATACTCATGGATTCTGTATATTAAAATGATATATTATCAAGGCACCACAATTTTACTCAGATTGGGATAATAAGTTTATAGAAGATTTAAAGATCTAAAATACTTGTGATGAAGGTTATATTAATATGTTAAATTTCACATGGCCTGGTACAGAACTTGGATGTGATTGTACATAATCAAATGGAACAGGAAAATACAAATATACAAAGTAAAAATTTAAAAAATAAAAAAGTTATTATTATATGGAATGCAGTGAGTTTATGCTAGCTGAAAATTGTTAACCTGTAGAACCAATATATGAAAAATAATTCTAACATTGGCCTTTTATTGATCAAACTTCAGTTAAATGTGATTTATTTTGATTTAACTTAAGCTTTCAAATTATGTGCAAAGTAAAGTACTTCTACAGCAATTGAATCATTTTAAATTGGTGAGGCTAATGAAGGATACAAAAAATGTGGTAACGTTTTCCAAGTTCCATCTAATGAATTATGTCCAATCAATGATTTTACCATTTCAACAGATTAAAATGGAGAGGCAATAGGAACTACTGGGTTATATTTGAAAATTTTGAGAGTTCAATAAGATGAATTACCATTAACAGGATTTACTATAGGATTTAGTAATTATATTATTCAACTTATAATAGATTCAATATGTTATTCAATTTCAGATATTTATTAGTTTTAGTATTTAGATAAGATGATAAATTATCATTGTTATGATAATGATGAAAGATATGTACGTTTAACAAATGATATGTCATATAGTGATTTATTAATGGTAAATGAAGTATAAGAAGAGTATAATTAATTATATAAAAATACAGTTATTGAAAATAGAAGTAATTTTTAAAATAATTGTAGATGTTAATTTATTTTACAGATACCTAACTCAATTTTATTATAATTCATCAGAATTATGTTAGACTGAAGATCTAGAATTTATTTATGATTTAAATTAATACATCAATGATAATGTGATGGATGTTTAATTAGCTGCTTAAGTGATTGTAGGTATTCAAGCAGGAGTGTTTGGATTCTTAATTCCATTAATATCAGCAATATCTTTGGTGGGATGTAATTTTAAATATGCAAGTTTAAATAGAAAAAGTTCACTTTATAAAGATTTATTTGGATTTTGGTTAGGAGTCAAGATGATAGGTGAGATCCTGTGCACTATTATCTTGGCTGCTGATATGGGATACTAATAATAAATGATGGATCACTTTTATGATTTTATAAATGCTGATTGTTCTGATAAATTCTCTTTATAAGAAATGAGTGATTTCTATAACGAATATGAAATCAAAGTTTACAATTATGTTCTTTTAAATTTCATCCTCTGTATTATTACTAATGTTCTTGATTTTTATGCCACTTATCTTATGTGTAGAGACAAACATAATGATGGAATCTTTTTAAAGAAGAGTACAAGTTCTCACATTAAAAATATCACTTCAACTCATCCTGAAGAATTACTTAATAGAACAAAGGTTCAACCATAATCAGAAATTAAACAATAGAATTAATAAAATAGATAATTTGATGATGTTGAAATACCAGGGGATGATATGCCTAGACCACATAAACCTGAAAATTGAATAAAAATAATAATATCATTTTAATCAAGTATCATATTTTTCTAAACACATTTCATTTGTTAAATTACTATTTAATTATTTACGTAATCTATTTAATCTATCAGTTATTCTATCTTAAATATTATCACCCTATTATTACAAAGATTGTCGTATAATATTATCTATAACATCAGATTCACATTTTACCATTTTTTTCTACTTCATAATCCCAATTCTTAATTAAATCAACTGAAACTTTTTATTCATTTTATTATTAATATATTTTTTCTGTCATTGTTAATTTCTTTGATCTAACTTCTCTCATTAATTTTTGTGATATTTTCTTATTTTCTCTGTTATTCTACTATACTTATTATTCCACTTCTTTAATAGGAGTCTATTATTTTAAAGGTCTTTCAGGTCTTTTAAGAGGATCATATTTAACTTATCCTTCTTTAATGATTGGTTTGATTTACAGTTGTTTCTCTTTTTTCTATTTTGCTATAATCTCATCTTTTAACATTAATTCAAATGCTTCTTTTTCTGCAATTGTATTAGATATCTTTTCCATAAAATAATACTTTGCAGGATTACTTACAGTATCAAAGAATTCTACACACATAGCATACATATTGAGTAATTCTAAAATTTATTCCATTGATTCAATTTTAGTACTAAACTTAATTAAAGAATGTATTTTACTTTCCTTTCTGTTTCTAATAATTAAATGAAAAATTTCTTTCCTATGGCATTTTTATTATCATCTTCATCAGATGAATCACAATGCATTCAATTTTTAAATAAATAAATAATATTAATTTTTAAACTAACTAATATTCTTAATTAGGTGATCAATTTTATATACTAAATGTTTATAATATAGGGAAGTATATATTGACAATTGAAAAAAAAAAGTGTTAAGAAAAAAAAAACATTTAAATTGTATTTCTGTAAGTTTTTTCTATTTGTATTGTATTATTAAGTGAATAAATTTGATTGAACCTTTTGTGACTAATATTAGTTGTATAAGTTGTTATTAGTTGATAATTGATAATGAAACACTCATCTAAACATTCTACTTTGTATTTATAAAAGTATGAATACAATATGAATAAGAATCTGATTCAAATGGAATTGATTTCAATAGATCAAGTACTTTATTGAATATAAATATGATATAGTGTACAAATTAATAACTATGAAGAATTGAATAGTGTAATTGATGTATTTAAAATTGTAGATTGTGATTAATGAGAGAATATAGTATGATTTGTTTGGATTAGACAATGATCTCTTAGAGAATTTTAAGTAGACTCAAAAGAGATGGTAAGAAGGGAGTTTATTTGATATTGGATTAATAAATTTAGAGATAGATGAAAATTTAGACTATTTGAAGGTTTTGCACATTGATTTAAGAGAATGTGTTATTGATTGTAATTATAATTAATAGGAAATTGGGTTGTTTTTATGGCTGAAGAACATAGAAATACAATCATTGGAAATGATTAAGAAGAATGGGGATAATTAAATATATATATAAATGGAATGAAAATAAAGATATTTATTTTTTTAATTTAAAATGTCTGTGGACAACAGCTTCGACAATTTTGAGTAGCTGATGTTTCCTTCCTATGATGATATGTAAAACAGAGAAAAGATTGAGGAGTAATACGTTCTAGATCCTATTCCTTAAGAATAGGAAGACAAACCAATCCACTAAAATCCAGCTAATAATGGGAAAACTTATCAATAATTGTTTGAAATAGTTTAACGATTAAATGACATTAACTGGGTGGAACCATCATCAAAAATCACTCCTATCAAGTACTTGACTCCAATTACTTACTGGTTTATTATATGTTCCCAATACTTTCAAAACAATGTTGATCCTAAAATCATAAAGTACTCAATAATCTTTACTCTTTAGAATCAATTAAGAATGCCACCAAATTCAAGAAGAAACTACTCGTCCATATACTTATTTTGATGATTGGTTCATTATGGAGATGAGAAACATAGTAAACTATAATCTAAGATAGATGGTTAAAAGAATTATCACCCAAAAATGATTTGGAATTATTGTAGACAGAATTAGAACAACAATTACTTGATACCTAACTCCAAGTCAATACTCAAATAGATGCAATACAAATAGAAAAGTCTACTTTAAATATCTAAAATCCTCCAGATTACATTCTCAAAGATCTAGTTGGCCTAACTGATATTGAAAATCAATATTTGACATATCTTGAAAGTTAATAAAAGTAATCTAATAATAATATATATATTTTAGATACTATGATGAATAAATTATAAATTAAACTAAATCATCTAATTTAGCAGGAACAGCTAGAAAATTATAAAATGTTTATAATAATTGTTAGATTTGTAATCAAGGGGTTAGATCTGAAGATCCTTTGATTTCTTGTTAAAAATGTTAAATTGTAGTTCATTAAAAATGTTATGGTTTAGAAAATGCAGTAAATAATTGGATTTGTGATGTTTGTTTGAATTTTGGTAATAAAGGGAGATATTTGAAATGTCCTCTCTGTCCAAAATTAGGAGGAGCTATGAGACCTACATTAATGTCAATGAAAGATTCTATATTTGAATTAATCAATCCTACTTTTCATACATATGCTATCAATTATAAAGTTGATAGATAAAGTAATTAATTTATTTATTTTAGAACCTCCTCCAGATGGTGAAGAAAATTACAATTTTATGATACTTTAATATCAACTTGAAAATATGACTGATGAACCACCAAAAGCTGAAAAGATTTGGACTCATGTTTCTTGTTCACTATGGTTAGATTTTGATTTAGCGAAGGTGGATAAAAGGAAATTTAATAGTTTATGTAGTATATGTAAATAGAAGAAAAATGGAGCATGTGTATCCTGTTCAAAATCTAAATGTACTATATCATTTCATCCTGAATGTGCTAGAAGATCATAAATTTATATGGAATCAGATAATATTTATTGTTTTAAACATTAACCTTTAAAAATCAAAAGAATATTTGAGGATTAACATAATTAATGGAAGGAAGAGATTTATTCATTTTTTAAATAATATGAAAAATTAGAATAATTATTAGCACATAGACCTAAAAATAATGATATTGAATTTTAGAAATTTGAACTTAAAGCATAATAAGAAGAAATTGAAGCAGATATTAAATAAGAAAATGAATTATTATTTTAAAGAATAGCTGAAATACTAGAAAAAGATGAAAAATTCATTATAACTTTCTAATAAAATTAAGTTGTAGATATATAATTACCTTTAAAGAGATAATCTATATATGATATTGAAGAAAATGATAGAATTTGGTAATAATTGGCTAATGAAAAATGTTCATCTGAATAGGTTTATATTCTATATCAGAGAGCAATTAGAATGAGAAAAAAGAAAAAGTAAGGTAATGCAATAATATAATTGTAAATGCCTTCAATATAGGAATTACCCAATAGAAATAGACATTCAGTATATTCTAGACCAAAATTCTTTAAATATCATAAAAAATAAAAATAAAATGGAGTATCTAATAATAATATATCTCTAAAAATAAAAATACCAAAAGAAGCTATCAATATTTAATAATAATATTGTATATGCAAATAATAAAATGATGAAGAAATGATGTGTATTATATTTATTTATTATTTTAGAATGTGAAATTTGTTCAGAATGGTATCATCTTAAATGTTTAGGATTTTTGAGTACTCTTGAAGATGCATAGAATTTGTATTTTTATTGTTTTAGATGCGAATAGAAATTAAATAGAGAATAAACAAAATATATCAAAAGATATAAATAATATTTTATAGATGCTACATTTCGAGATTTAAAATTGAAAATAGGAATGTCACCACATGAATTAAGAGCTCATGAAAAAAAGAATTATAAATAATTGTCTAAATGATCAAATTCATAAAATAATTACATAAATATATATATATATTATAGATAATCTTATAAATTCTATTGATAATAATTATAAATAAGATTAATATATTAATTAAATATTTCAATCTCTTGATTTTTGTTTAATAAATTCAAGTAATGATTTTGAATAACATTGAAATGATAGAAACTCTTCATAATTTGACTATTATTTATTAATTAAAGAATACTTCTAAAGGTGTATTTGATAAATGTACTACTCCAGGAGGTGTATCATAATTAATATTGAGCTCATAGAAGCCAACAACATATTATATGGCTGGAAGAATATCTTATAAGGCAAATCCAAAGGTAGTTTATACAAATTATCCAAAAATTATATTAAATTAATTATCTTCTAAATTATAAATATTTTATTATACTATTTAATAGAAACATTGAAGTTTATGACATTGTTTCAAGCATATCTTAATCATATACATTAAGTTAAAAAGAAATGATTAAGTACATAAATGATGCTACTATAGTTCTTGGCATATATTGTAAAGTTTAAATATCCATCAATGTGCAATCTACTAATTAACATAGCTTTCTAAACACTTTTAATTAAAATTGAATTACATTGATAAGATTCTTCATTTGGTTTTCTAAATTAAATATTTAAACCATAATCTTCTGCATAAATATCCCATTAATCTGTAAACCAATTAATCCAATAAGTATAAGAAGGTGGATTTACATGCCATTTCAAAGTCTATAAAATTAATAATTTATATTTACAAATAGAATGTTTAATTCCATATTTAATATTTCATCCTTTGTATAACCATAATTAGCAGCCTTTTCAAATTATTATACTCCAATAGGAATAACTTCTTCAACTTTATTAGCTATCAATAAACTAGTTAAACCAATAAGTTATAAATTTTATTTATTAGCTTATTTTTTTGATAAAAATGAATCAAGGTAAAAGATAGATAAATGAAAAGTTTATCTTTTTAATCTAAATTCCATTGCTACTTCCATCATCCAATCAAATAAAATAGCTCTCATAAGTTAATTGATTTCACTTTATTCAGTTAAATAATATGGATCTGTTAGATATTCTCTTTCTAATTATATTAAAGGATCAGGTTCTGTTTTGATTCTGTCTTCTATATTGATATTATTTATAACTATCTCATTCTCATCACAAGTCAAATCCAATTCTTTAGGATTTGAATTAGCCTAAGTTGAACCAAAAAATCTAGATTCTTTGTGATCTATAGAAGAAGATCTAGATTTTGAAAATGGACTTTTGGATATCATTTATATATCTGCAGATACACATCTTTAAGAACTTTTTCTAAAATGAGATTCTTAATTTTTTAAATTGTCTTTGATTTCATTCAATAAATTTTGAGATTCCTATGAACAACGATACATATCTTCAATAACTCCATTGAATTCTAATTTATAATTATTTTAAATTTATGTTGTTTGAGCAATGGATAGTATTTTCTAAGTTAATTTTTCATTTTAATCACATTAATTCAAATACATACTATCCTTAATTCTTGTTCTACTGTTTGTATTACTAAGAAGAACCGTATTTGGAAAACTGATTTATCTAACTTTTTAAGAAGGCTTATTAATATTATTAAATGAATTTTCCTTATTCTGTTTATTGTTATTTCTAAACTCTTGTAATAATTAATGAAATGTTGTTGACATATCTCTACTTTCTGTTGCTCTTGATGTAATTTAAGGTTGATTAATTTAAATAGACTTTAATTTTTCAATAGGTTTATACTATCTTTCAGTATGTCTATCTTTAGAGCTTTTAATCAATTAAGTAATTTATTTAATCATTTATGGTTCAATAGGTTTTTATTAATATTTTGGAGATCTACTTTGAGTAAGACATTTTGGATGACTAACTTGCTTATGATATTATACATACTTTAATCCATTGATCTAAAGCTGCTTCTTTTGCATATATATATAGTTATATTAATTCAAATTTAATTTATGAAATATTATTAATAAATGAAATCAATTTTAGTATGTTTAAACTTATTAAAATAAATGCATAAATATAAAATTGATACATTATTTATTTACTTATAAAAAAGAGTGAATATATTACATAAATTTGCCACTAATTTGCTTTATAATCAAATATTTGATTGTAAATATAAATTATTTTATATGAAATCTATTAATCAGATTTAAGTAACATATTATGAAATTATTAGAGTTGAAAAAAAGAGAGATATTAGGATTGTAAATTATTATTAAATTACATAAATATTCTACTTTGATTAATATACATTATGATTATATATATACATTCACAATGGTAAAAAGGTTTTTTTTAAGAATATTCCTTTTAGTTGATTCTTTAATAAATTGAATGCAGCATGCATACCTGTTTTTCCTCCAGGAAATAGTGATACTGTCAAATATATTAATGATGCAATCTTAATTTAATGGAGATTTTTACTTGAAGTGATAATAATCCTAGAGTGTAAAAATATCCCATATAGAACATTCCTGTATATAAACAAGCTATTAGAGATACAAGATAAAGCAATGTAGCAGCAGAGGAAGAAATTTTATTAAATAGCGTTTTGAGTTCAATGATTTAAAGCATGGATAATAAAATAATAAAGGAGCCAGCTGAAAAGAGTAAACAAAAGGGTTTAGGATTGAGTATTAGAAAGGAGGCAAATGGTATAGATATTATGATTAGAATAAGTCCAGACATAAATAAGATTGCAAATATTCCCCAATTCTTTTATGTTTCAGCTTTTCTATACTAAATATTATTTAATACTTTGGTTATAAGCTAGATACAATTGATCCTAATAAGGTTTCTTCCTCTGCAAAAAATTACATGATTAATAATCCTAATCTAATTTAATTTTTAAATAATAGATGAGTGAAAAACAAAGTGTAAAGCAATACATCTAAGGGAAATTAGATCTTCTTGAATTTATGATTGCAGAGAAATAAGCTAATGTTAAGAGATAAGAGGCATAGAGAAATGAGTTAAATAGTTTGGGTAATTTTGAAATATGTATTTTGAGTAAGGTAAGTAAAGGAGGAATTGTAAGCCATGTAAGAGCCTCATTCTTATGTTGGTGATGTTGTTAAATAGATGGGAAAAGATAAAGTATTAGTTAAAGTGAATCCAGAAGGGAAATATGTTGTTACTTTAGATAAGAGTATTAAAATTGAAGATTGTAAACCTAATACTAGAGTTGCCTTGAAGAGTGATTCATATGTTTTACATAAAATTCTACCAACAAAAGTGGATCCTTTAGTTTCATTAATGAAAGTAGAAAAAGTGCCAGATTCAACTTATGATATGATTGGTGGTTTAGATTAATAAGTTAAGGAAGTAAAAGAAGTGATTGAATTACCTATCAAACATCCAGAAATATTTGAGAGTTTAGGTATTGCTTAACCAAAAGGTGTTTTATTATATGGACCACCAGGAACAGGGAAAACATTATTAGCTAGAGCAATAGCACATCATACAGTATTATTAAATAATATTAATTAATAGGATTGTACATTTATTAGAGTAAGTGGATCTGAATTAGTATAAAAATATATTGGAGAAGGAGCAAGAATGGTAAGAGAATTGTTTGTTATGGCTCGTTAACATTCTCCATGTTTAATCTTTATAGATGAAGTAGATTCAATAGGAGGTGCTAGAATGGAAGGTGAAAGAGGTGGAGATTCAGAAGTATAAAGAACTATGTTAGAATTATTAAATTAAGTAATATTATATATTTATTTATATAGCTTGATGGTTTTGAATCTACATAGACAATAAAAATTATTATGGCTACTAATAGAATTGATATATTAGATTCAGCTTTATTAAGACCTGGAAGAATAGATAGAAAAGTTGAATTTCCTAATCCTGGAGTTGATGCTAGATTAGAGATTTTAAAAATTCATTCTAAAAAGATGAATTTAATGAGAGGAATTGATTTAAGAAAGATTGCAGAAGTGATGCCTGGTGCTTCTGGTGCTGAATCTAAAGCAGTTTGTACAGAAGCTGGTATGTTTGCTTTAAGAGAAAGAAGGATTCATGTTACTTAAGAAGATTTTGAGATGTCTGTAGCTAAGGTTATGAAAAAGGATATTGAAAAGAATATGGCTATCAATAAAATGCTTAAGTGATTTATTTTATTCAAAATTATAATTATATATATATATATTTAATGATTCAACCTAAAGTCTTGACATAATTATTAACTTAATGTTAGAATGAATTTAAGGTGTAATCTATTTTTGTAGCAGCTTCAATTGATGGATAAATGATTGCTTAAGTAGGTTAAACATAACATTAATTACCTCAATTTTCTACATTGAGTATATTTTTTGATGATTGTAAACAAATTGGAGGCATTTAATTATGTATTCTTATATTTATATATTTAAAAGCTTAAAACATTAAATTGAATTATGTATTTGTAGAAATTGAAGATCAAAGTATTGTATTGTCCAACTTTAAGAATTTATTTACATTAGGAATAGCATCATCATAAAATGTAGGATTGTTAGTTTTGTATATGAATAAATTGCATCAACAATTAGAAAAGATTATTAAATGATTGTCTTTTATATGTTATTATCAAGAAATTTGATGATTATTTATTTTTTATATTTTCAATATTGTTGTTTATTCATTTCAATCAACTTTTATTAATAATTATTATTTCTTTATTAATATTTATATATTAAAATCTTCTAATAGTGTATAATTCTCTTTTCTATACATTCTATAATTTATATGAAATAGTAAATTATAAATAATAGCCTATGTTTATTTCTCTTTAATTCTTAAATTATAATAAATATATAAAGAATTCTTATTTAATATTATGATTTTCTTTGATTTTGTTAAAATGTCATCAAATAATTATTTAAAAAAAAGTATAAAAAGTTTTTTATGAAAGAAACATCACATCTTTTCTCGAAATATTAATTAGAATACATACAAAAAATAGGTGAAGGAGCTTTTGGAAAAGTATATAAAGCATTCGACTAAACTACCAAAAAAATAGTAGCTGTAAAAGTAATTGTTACAATTATATTAAAGGTTTTAAACACAGATGAAGAATAAGAATTACTCTCATCATTAAATCATAATAACATTGTCAAACACATTAGAGGGTAATAATTTAAGTTCTTATTGTATAGATCTACTTAATTATTAGTAATGGAATACATGGAAGGAGGATCATTAAAAAATTATATGAATGAAAATCCAAATTTAAATGAAGAATAATGTATATAGATTATGAAATCTATACTCTCTGGTTTAACTTATTTACATCAACATAATGTTATTCATAGAGACATCAAACCTGGTTATTATTTTTTATATATATCTCTTTAGATAATATCTTATTAACTAAAGACCTAGTACCAAAAATAGCTGATTTTGGTTTAAGCATATAATTTGAAAACTTTGACTATTCTACTTGTAAATGTGGTACTTACATTTATATGGCTCCTGAAATCCTATAAAGCAAACTTTATTCTAAAGTATCATCTACTATTAATTAAATTAGCCAGTGGATGTTTGGGCAACTGGAATTATTATGTATTAACTATTGCAAGGAGTTCATCCCTTCTATAAATAGGATTCAACAAAATAATAATATCTTCAAAACATCTTAGAAAAACCTTTACAATTCAAAAAGCCAATATCTCAATAAGCAAAAGATTTACTTATTCGTCTATTGAAAATTGATATTTCTGATCGTTATACAGCTAATCAAGCTTTATAACATCCTTGGCTTACTAAATAAGATAGTTTGCCCTTAAGTTTATTTGAATAATTTAAATTGTTTGATTGCAAAAACAAATTCATCAATGTAATTATATCATAAAATTAAGATTATCAAATTGTTGATCTTTATTCAATAATTAAAAATACCAAAATTTTCATATGGATATATATTAGGTCAACAAGGTTTTCATATAAAATAAGTCTAATATATTGTTGGATAAATATAGTCTCCACTCAAAATAGAATCTCCAACTATTTCAAGTTCCACTACTTTAAAAAAACTAGGTAAAATTGACTATTCAGAAGAAAACACACCAATTAGTCTTCAAAATGCTACATTCTATTAAAAAAATAAAAAATTGCAAGTAAATATTATAAATAAATTTAGAAATTATCCAATTTTTATGAATAAGCATATAAATCTAATGAAAATTCTCTTGCTTAATTAAGTCCTCAGAAACCTAAAAGAAGTACCATGAACTTTTCTCAAGCTTCTCGAGAGTATGCAGAAATAATGTTAGGGTACACTGCAATGAAAGAAAAACGAAAACCATCTTAAATTAAATTGGAACCTTTAGATAGAAGAGCTAAAAGAACATCTTCTGTTGTAGTAATTTCCTATAAACAATGAAATGTTTAATTAGTTAAAATAAAATATATTTATTTATAATTTATGTCACATTCCCTTTTTATTTAATTATTATTTACTTTATATTAATAAATAATTTTAATCTTTTTAATAACATTATCATAAATATAGAATAAATCATATATGTATTAATAAGATCTTAATCATAATAATATATTAAATAATAAATAAAACAAATTTCAATAATTCTAATTGAAAAAAAAAACATAGAAAAATAAAATAAAATGATAATAATAAGGAGTTATCGAACTAAAATAATATAAAAATCACATTTTTCTTTTTCCACATCCTGATCTTTGACCAGATCTTTAACCAGATCTACATCCTGATCTACTTGACCTTGATTTGTATTTTTTCTTATTAGTTTTATGTTCTCCTTCTTCATTAACCTTATCTTATTTTTCTCCTTCTTCATCATCATCATCTTCTTTTTCTGACATTTTAGATTTCTTTTATTTAGATTACCAGCTTTTATTTTTATGTTCTTCTTCTTTTTCATCATCATCTTCACATTCTTCCTTGTCTTCATGTTTATCACTTTTCATATCATGTGTTTTTTTTTTATTATGTTATTTTTCTTCATTAATTTTCATATGTTAAACACTTTTCTTAACATCTTCCATTTCATCATCTTCATCTTCCTTTTCTTATTTTTGATGACTTTTATGTGACTTTTTTGATTTATCTTATTTTTCTTTTTCTTTTTTTTCTTTTTATAAATGTTATCTAATTTCTTCTTCTTTTTCTTAAAATTCTTTCTTTTCTTCTGATGATAATTTATTCCATTATTGAATTATTTTTTCTTATTATTCAAGACTCTTTTTTTTATGAGCAGATTAGAAAAGTTATTCATTTAAATATGCATTAAAGCCACTGCATTTTTATTCATCACTCATTGTATTTAATTGATATTTTAAGAGCTCAGAGGGTTCCATAATAAACTAGTTATTTATATAAAATACTATTTTGAATTTAATAATTACAAATCTGTTAAACTTATGAAACTTAAAAATAGAAAAATTAATCAAAAATAATTAAATGATCATTATTATTTAAACTAAAATGATCTTCTACATTATATTAATTTCTCTAGAGTAGACTCTTTATAATCTGAATCTTAATCTGTAGTTAACGAATTCTCTGATCGATCACTATTTTTTTTATAACCTTTCTACCAATTTTAAACATTTTCTTTATTTCTTTATGTATCTAATTCTTTTAATTTTTATTCATATTCAATTAAATATTACTATTTCTTTTTTAAATCTTCTTCTCTTTATTATAGCAATAAAGAATTTTCTTTTAATCTTTTCTCTCTTAAACGAATTGAAATTCTTGGTAAATTTAATAAATCATCTACACTTGGTCTCTAATCTTGATTTACACTCAAACACCAACTTATTACACGTTTCATTTCAGTTGTATATTATTATGGAATATTCTCATATTAAGCCTATTTAATTTTCATTGCTAATGCTAAATAATTTTATGCTTAGAAAGGTGGTTAAAGAGAACACATCTCATATAATAAACAACCACAAGCCCATATATCAGATTTTTCATTATATTTATGATCTTCTATTAATTCTGGACTCATATAATAAGGTGTTCCAACTTATGTATGAGCAAATTCACTATTTATATTTAACATTCTTGCCAAACCAAAATCTCCAAGTTTTACAGTTTTATCTAAAAATATATTTGCTGGTTTAATGTCTCTATGTAATATTTTATTTTATCTTTTATGTATTTCACATAAAGCTTATACTATTTAAGAGAATATTTTCCAAACAGATTCTTCTGGTAAGTATTCTTTATCCTTTTTTAATTTTTTTAGAAATTATGCCAAATCACCTCCTTCACAATATTCCATTATTATATATAACTTTTATGTCTATTTATCAACAATACGATCATAATATTTGATTATGTTTGGATGTTTGAGTTCTCTCAAAATATTAACTTCATTTACCTATTTTGAAATTTAAATTTAAAATACTAATTGTTATTTTTCTTTCTCACCCATCCTACCATATTCCATCTCTTTAGCAACAAATACCTTTTGATCTGCCTTTCTTAAAACTTTGTAAACTTTTGCAAATGATCCTTTTCCAATATTGTCCAAAAATTAATATGCTTCCATTTTATATTTTTATGATAAATTTTATAAGAATAATTAAAACAATTAAACTACGACATGAAATATATAATAATAATACATAATTCATCCTTAAAATCAATTAATTTCTTGTTAGTAAATATATTGATTATATAAAAATGTTAAAAATCATTAAAAATAATTAGTTTTAATATAATATATATAAATACTTAATTGAATTAGTATACTTTTCTCATCATTTTTAAATACCTCATTTTTTTATATATAGATTAAATAAAAAAATGAATCTTAATATTTAATTAATACTAATATAAATTAAAATTAAGACATATTTATTTAGAAATTTAATAACAAAAATTAGATTATTGAAATTAAATAATCATTATTAAAAAAATGTATTTTATATAATAATAATAAATAATGACTTCAACTTGAATATTTTATTGTCAATAGAATACTACAAATTGCTATCATAATAACGAGTATTATAATGCATCGTTTTGCTAATGGAGAGTTTTAGTATTCTTCAGCCTATTTAATAATAATAAAAATATACTTTTTTTAATTCTTAATTTGCTTTCTTTACATTGAATACTGCTTAATCAATATTGTAATCAATTCTATCTAAAATAGTACCTTAATCAATAACCAATTAATTTAATGATTTAAACACTTCAGCCAATTCATTAATCATAGTAACAAGTTTATTGATTTCTTAATCTCTAAATTAATATATATATATTTAAATGAAACCTCTCACAAATGATATCATCATACATCTACTCTTCTGCTTAAGTAAGTTCATCATCAGCAACTTTCATTTCTTATTATTTTTGTTCACTCAATTTTAAAAAATTACCTTATTTTTAATACATATAAATACCTCCATCATCTTTATTTATTTATTTTATCATTGTAACCATTCTTTTTTATTAATTTCTTAATGCATTAGTTAATTCCTAAATTTATTATGCTAATGCTCTATTGATATTCATTCGAACTATTCATTATTAATTTATTTTACTTCTTTAATCACTTGGTGTTTCCTTATCACTACTATAATTGGCTATGAATTCAGTATTTTTTTCACATTCCATAATTTTCTAATTTATAAAAGAATAATACTTATGTTGCTTTCTAATTGTTCTCATAAATCAATTTCTCTAAAGCTGTAGCATCTCCAAATTACATCTTCAATCTTTTAGATCCAAGAATTTAAAGTTCCTTAACTTTTTGTATGTTAGATTTAATTATATACGTATCTCCTAAACTTATTTGATTTTATCTAAACAATCTTCATAATGACTAGCCCATTCAGATGGTAATCCCTTATTATGAGCTTACATTTCAATTGAAAAATTGCTGGCTGTAGATTCACCAGAACTATCTAACAACAATGTATTTGGTTCTATATGGGATAAATTAATTATAAACTTGATGTATGAATATTATTAGTTTTCTTAAATCTATTAGCTTACTATTTCTATTCTTCTTTATATTTAAATAATAAATGTGTTTTATTTCTCATCACTCCAACACTTTGTCTCATTATTATATTTTAATTATTGAATAAATGTTTCAAACCCTATAAAAATTAAGGGTGATATGCTTTATGTTTGCTACAACTGCTGAACGAAAAGTTCCACCTACTCCTTCGAATATTCCTTTCACACTCAATAATCTTTGGGATAATCCAGGAGCCAAGAAAATACAAAAGAGATGGGGAAGAAGTGGTACAAGAGGAAATGCTTGTGGAAGAGGGTAAAGAGGACAAGGAGCCCGTTCAGGTGCAGGAGTACCTCCTAAATTTGAAGGAGGTTAAACACCCTTAACTAGAAGACTTCCTAAATGGGGTGCTAAACCAAGGTATAACAATATTAAGAAATCATAGTTTGGAAATTTATCGAGAAGTCAATATCTGTTAAATAATAGATAGAATCAAATAAGGAAGAATTGATGCTACTTAACCTATCTAAATTAAGGACATGTTAGAATCAAGAATTTTTAGTAAATGCAAATATGGAGTTAAATTATTGGCAAGAGGAGCTGAAAGATTAAGTGAATTGAATACTCCTTTAACTATTGAAGTATCGGATGCTTCAAAAACTGCTATTGAGGTAATAAAGAAAAATGGAGGTGAAGTAAAAGTTGTTTACTTTACACCACTATTATTAAGATAACATTTATTCCCAGATAAATATCCATTAGAATTAAGACCAGCACTCCCTCCTTCAAGAGCAGTAGAAGCTATCTAAAGAAGTGAAGAAAGAGGAGCTGTGGCTGATTATATCAAACCTAAGTGGGTTATTGAAGATGAAATTGAGAAGAAGAAATTAGAAGAGATGGCTAAACTTGAAGTAGATACTCTAAAAGTTCAATTGTCAGGAGCTGAAACTGTTGAGACTGTAAAGAAAGATAAAAAGAAGAAGGTTTTAAAATATAATGATAAATATAGAAATAAAAATAATAAGAAGAAAAATAAGTTAGCACTCTGGATTTAACAAACTTTAAATATCCAGCCACTAGAGAACCTGGATGTGGTAAAGATAAAATCAAATAGCGTAAACCAGTAGTTTATAAAAAGATATCATTAAACTTGGATTGAGTTATTCATCATATATATAATAATATCATAGTAAATAAAATGCATATTATTATTAACAAGTGAGTGCATGTTTTATAGGTTAAAGTGTGTTTTATAATATATGAAGAGTCTCTTAATGTTTTTTATCTGTGAAATATTTATCTTCTTATCTATTACGAAAAAAATTAATATTTCTCATAATTTGATCTCCAATTATATAATACATTCCTGTTATTTTATTTGTTGAACGACTTTTAATATATTCAATTACACAATCTCTCAAACTAATTATTAAAAAATATTATACTTTTCTGCTCTATCTTCAGGAGATTCAATAGAGATTTGATCTTTTTTAAATTGTAATTTCAATTTCTTCTTTATATCTCCTACTTTTTAAAGATAATTTAATTTAGTTTAAATTTATAGACAATTTTCTGAACATTCTTGCAGTATTTCTTTGAGATTTAATTATATCAAATCCTATTATTCATATTTTAATAGATGACATAAAGCATAATATAATTTTTAGAGATTTGGTTTATCTTTTTATAGAAATAAATGAATCATTTTACAATTTCCAGAATATAATATTTTATTTTTTAATTCTTCAATACCTAAAATGTTATTATCGTTAAAAATTTCATCTATCATAATAATTTATTATGGTTATTTATATATTTGTATTAAATGATTAACATTTATCCAAATCTAATTCATATTTCTTTAGAAACTCAAAACATCTTTAGGAGAAATATGAGGTGGTTAAATTATGCAATCATATTATTCATCTATTTATGATAAATTGTTAGTTAATAACACTAGAATGCATTCAGATTTAATTTTTTGAATTAACTATTTATTAAGAGATATAGATTATCCAATTATTGCTATTTTTTAAAGATGAGATGTTTCTCTATGTCCTTTATATAATATTTTTGGTTCAGCTATTTGTAATTAATAAATATCAATCATTTCATATTTAATATCTGCAAACTTTGGTTTCCTTATTAATATATTATTCTTACATGATTAAACTTGGTTGAGTTTATAAACCAATTAATCTTCTTGAAGATTTCTTCTTATTTTACATTTTGTTAACTGAGAGTTATTTTTCTTTTAAAGGCTCACCATGTAAATTTGTATCATGAACTGATATAGTTCTACTAGTCAATTATTATGATTATTAATTTTAATTAGTTTGTAATCTTCTAACAAATTATGAGTGTTTCGATGAACGAGTTGCTATTTTAGATATTAACATATAATACATATAGAAAGTTAACGGATAGGAGTATTCTTGGCTATAAGTAAAGTGCTGAAATCATTTTCTGATGGAGGTTTCATATTGATTCTCTTAGTCAATCTCGTTATATTTAATCTCATCATTTATTAATTATTAAATTGCGGAATCAAATAATATTATTTTAATTTCAATATTACAATATATATATATTAATAATAACAGACTTTACAAACTAATATAAAGTATATTTAATCATAAAACACCAAATTTCTTCATAACTTTTTTAAGATCATCCATATTTAATGGTTTATCTAGATGATCATCTGCTCCACATTTTTAGGATCTAAGTTTATCATCAGATCCTGAAAAGGCTGTTACAATTACGATTAATGATTAAGATAGTTATTGGATTTACTCAAACTTTCTTATCTCTAATGTACATTGATAACCATCCATTTCTGGCATATTAACATCCATAAAGATTATATTCATTTATTCTTTGGAATATAATTCGAAAGCTTATTTTCCATTGAAGGCTTTAAACAATTTACAATTATTCATAACTTAATTCAACATTGCACTTAAGGCAATAATATTAAATGGAGTGTCATCTACAATAAGTATTTTAAATGAATCATCAGGTGTAGTTTCTAATTTATAATATGTTTGAGCTTTTTTGATTTCATTTCTTTTCTTTTTTATATAATTAAGATTTTTATATGATGGAAATCGAGGGACAATTTACTTTTAATGTAAATCTTATTCTTGTAAAGAATTCTCAAGTGATTATTACAAAATTCTATAAATCTTAAATTTAAATGTAGATCCCTTACCTACTTATGATTTGAGTTCTATTTTATCTGATGGACCCAAAAGACAAACTAATTATTAACTTATTGTTAATCCTAAACCTACTCCATGTCTATTATTTTTACCTATATCATAGGTACTATATAATCTAAATAGATTTTTTTAGATTTCTTCTGGTATTCCATATCCAGTATCTGAAACAGATAATTCTATTAAATCAGTTTATAGATCATAAGTAGCCACAATTAAGATTTCACCCTACATTGTGAATTTAATAGCATTAGCTACTAAATTGATAAGAACTTATTTCAATCTTGTTTCATCTGTTAATAATAGACTGTTTTTATCATCAATTGTATTTTACCATATTAATTTAACTCCTTTTTCTATTGATTGTCTATTTAACAATTAATTTATAAATTTAAATGTATCATTTATATTAAAAGGTTTTTGTATTAATCTTAATTAACCTTTATTAATTTGACTATAATCCAATAAATCATTTATCATAGATAATAATAATTAACCAGATTAATGAAATTCATCCAAATGTATACATAATTATTCAATATTAGTAGGTGTAATAGCTGTTTTCTATTATAATATATGATTCATTATATCAATATCAATCATCATTCCATTTAAAGGAGTCTTTAAATCATGAGATACTGTAGCTAATAATCGATCTTTATATTAATCCATCTCTTTTAAATGTTTTAATTTAATCTTTTCAGATATATCATTCATAATTACTAAAATTGAATGTTTATTTTCCCATATACAATGTAAAATACGTATTTCAAAATGTGATTTTATTTTTACTTAAGATTTAGAAGATAAAGCTACTTTACATTAAGAATCTAATTTGAAACATAAAAAGTAATCACTAACATCAGAAATATCATATTCATTCTTTATTACAAATGATCTATCACTTTAAGTTTATTAAAATTATTCTTCTACTTAAACTAATTTTTATTGAATTATATCATAAATACTTATACAACTATTATATGTTTCTTATTCTGATTCCTATTCAGTTTATATAAATATTCCTTTTAATTTTCTAATTATTTCATTTTCATCTGAAACTTAAAGATATTTTATTGCAAAATCATTTGTATAAATCAATTTCATTTCTTTACTTGAAATTGTAGAATCTTAGAGATCATCATTTTATCCAGTCAATATCAAAATTGAATTTGGAACTGTTTTATCAAATATATTCTTGCATGCCTTTAAATTTGATGTTTGTTAACATATAGTATAAAAATCTATTCGTTTGTAGTATTCTAAAGAACGAAAGAAAATAAATAACATGATCAATAACACATAAAAAGTCCAATATATTGAATGAATTATTCCAACTAATCCTACTAATAAAATTATAGCTGCTACTAAAATTAATCCCTAACAAAACCATAAAGGACATACTGTCAAATAGCTAATTATTATTATTCCAGTCTATATTCCACTACTTAAAGCTTAGGCTGTAGTTTATTAATTGCATTGTTTATTTAATAATTAAGCCTATATATAAACATTTGTAATTAATATTGTCGAAAAGGCACTTATTATCTCCAATATAGATATAAAGTATTTATATTGTATTTTTTATATGTTTGCTTATGATATTATGCAAATTAAATGCCAAAAACTAAATCCTATTCTTAAATATGCCACTGTCTAATTTTTCAATACAAACTGATTATTTATAAAGTAGATAAAATTGATAAAGAAATGTATCAAGTATGATATCCTAAAAAGAACAATTATTCTTTATTTCTCCTTATTTGTATATTTTTCTTCTATTTCTGAATTTCTAAATTATAATGTCCATAAATTCATTATTTTTTTTGGCTCCAAATCATTTGACACTTCTTCTGGATGTAAAAAGAACTTGACAATGAATTAATAAATTTTTAACATTAATATTAAATACCAAGGGATCTAAGTTCCATTTAATTCAAATTATAAAAAATGAGAGAAATTACATATCTAACATTTAAACATTAAATAATTGGATTTAATTTGCAATTAGGAACCTTACAAGAAAATAAGAATTAATTTAAAGTTAATTAAAAATGTTATGGTAAATAAAACTTATTTTGAATAATATCATTTTTATAAACATAAATCAAATGATGAAATAAATAATTAAATTTTTATTTATCCTTCATAATTTATTATACATTTCTATTTTTCTCATCCTTAAACTAAACTAATAATATTAAATGTAATCTAATTTCATTTTGATGCTTCAGTTATAATTAATTTAAATCCTTAAAAGACAATATCCCATGATATTTTTCATCTATTTATCTTCTTTATTATTATTTTAACACATTAATCTTAAATTCTAAACAATTTTAATAAAAGATATGTTACATTATAATCATTATTTCATAGTAGAAATATTCAAATATTCAAATATAGAAATACTAAAAATTTCATCTTTTATTGTTTTTATATAACTCAAACAATAATAATAGAATTAAAATAATGCAATTGTTTTTAACTTCAAAAATCAATTATTATACTATATATTTTTGAGAACCTACATAGAAATTTGCTATTGATCTATTTGATAGAAGAAATTTTTATGTAGATTATTATTATAATAGTAGATGATTTTTTATTATGGATTTGTTATAAATTATTCAACAATCATCTTTAAATTATTATAAGAGTTTAAATACTTTGGTTATTAGATTATTCAAAATTAAAATGTTTCTAAATCTTTAAAAACAATTTAATATAAAATTTGAATCATTATATTATAAGGATTTATCAGTATACTAAGTATATTATAATTGGGGGGGGAAGCTTAAGAACGATTCAGAAATTACCACATTTGAATGGCAATAGAATATCATATTAAATTAAAGAGTAATAGAGTTGAATATATGTTAAAAAGGATATATCTTTATGAATTAAATTTAAAAATTAAGGTTGTTAATGTATGATATGGAGTGCTATGTTAATATGAGAATATTGATTAGAGTTATAAGAGTGAATGGAATTAAAGAAAGGTGTATATTGAGGATAGAAATATATCAAATAAATTAATATAAATAATGTCCAAATTTTAATAAGATGGTATAACCATCTGTTCACTGGGAGGGTTCCAGAAGTGGCCTTCCAGTGCCCAACATTCCTTCACTCCTCATAAATGTGGATTAAGGGTATAAAATTTGTCATGACTATTTTCAAGATTGTTAAATAATTTACGTCGCATTATAAGGATTATTTATAGAAATTCAATGGCAAACCTATTTAAATGCCTGTGAGGATTCTTACTTCTCCAAAAGAAGGTAATAATTAATTAAAATTCTATAGGAAAATATAATGATGGTTATGACAATGAAAATCATGATCTCATAATCAGATAATATGACAAATTATACAACAGCAAAAAGAATATGTAAGTTATGTGAGATCTATTGTTAAGAACATATATTTGTGAGGCTCTCCTAGGTTCAGGAACATTTGGCTAAGTGATCAAATGTAGCATAGAAGGAACAAAACAATAAGTTGCAATAAAGGTATTAAATTAGAAGGATAATTAGATCATAAAAAATTAATGTGCATTTCATCAATAATAAAAAATAGAAATTCGTGTATTAAGAACTCTCTAAACATTCTCAAAAGAATAAAATATTTAAAAAAATTGTATAATCTAACTAAATGATTAATTTTTACACAAAAAACATGCTTGCCTAGTTTTCCCTTTGATGGCATAAAATTTACTTGAAGTGATGAAAACAAATAAATATGAAGGATTTAGCGTGTCGCTAGTCCGAAAATTTCTCAATCAAATAGTAACAGGACTTACAGTTGCTGAACTATGTGGAGTTGTTCATGCTGATCTGAAACCAGAGAATATAATGATAGAATAAAAATAACCTATATTAGATGATTGTAATCTTTAAATAATTGATTTTGGATCCAGTTGTTTTTTGAATGAGAAACATCCATATATTTATATTCAAAGTAGATTTTATAGAGCTCCTGAAATTATTTTAGAGAATCGTAATTATACAAGTAAATAAAATTGGAATATTAATTTTTAGCTAAAATTGATATATGGAGTTTAGGTTGCATTGCAGTAGAACTATTATTAGGTAGTCCACTTTTTCCATGTTGGGACTAATACTCTTGTTTAGAAAGAATTATACAAGTAACTAGTCCTATTATAAGTAACATAAACATATACTATATTTTAGCTAAACAGGGATATGTTAAAAATGCACCTGCATCATTAAAATACTTTAATTAACTTTAAAATGATACTTTTTAATTAAAATCTAGAGAATAATTCACAGCTGAATATCCTTAAATCTAAACCAAAGAAGGGTATAATTCAACTCATCCAATTAAGAAATTAACAGATCTAGCATAATATTATAATTAATAATCTACAAAAGGTATATATGAATATCATAATTGATTAGATTAGCCTACATTCAATTAATTTATAGACTTCGTGTAGAAATGTCTTGAATGGGAACCAAATGCTAGAATGTCCGCTTAGGATGCTAGTTAACACCCATTTTTGACTGGATAAAACTAAGGATTTGAAATCAATATTGATTTAGAGGACTTGTTTGCAAAATTGGATACTTAATCTAATTAAAGTAGTACTTCCTCTTTTTATGAAGACCAACCAGAGTTCTGAGATATTTCCATTCCTCAGATTAAAATGCTCATTCAAATAAACAATAAGTAAAAAAAAAATAAAATTTCCATTTGAATGATGATGTTTTAATCATTAAGAGGCAATTAATTAAAACAAATAATAATTTTTCACAATATATAACTTAATTAAGACTAATCGATTCAGTAAATTAATTCCTACTATATAATTGAAGTAATTGTTGGATTTCTATTCATTATTAAATTATAATAAACTCAAATGGGTCTTTGCCAATCTACCTAATCTACTCTTAAACTCCCTCGTACAACTGCCTAAAAACACATACAGATCAATTTTGATAAGATTAAGCAATACGAAATCCAATACACTAAATAAGAAAGATTTCAAAAAAAACAATCTACTGAAGGATTCTCACCTTTAAATAATGTGGATAAATGAATCTGAAACATGATTTCTCTTTTTTTCATCATCTTCAATCTATCATATGCTATATTTTCTAAACTTCATTATTATCTTCCCCTTTCAAATCATCTAATGTCATAAATAAACTTAGCAGTTTATCAATTATTTAAAGATCATTAATATCAAATGCTTTCTACATTAATATCACTATCGCTTAAAATAATGAAATTTCTAGAAATTATTATTGAAATACTTCTATCTATACTTTAATATAGAAAATCATTAGGATTCATAATTAATATTAGCATAATAAACATTTAATATATATAAGTACTGGTTTGTTATTTATTTAACAACTATTATATAAATCATAAAATAATTCAATTAAAACATAATAGTTGATTACATAAAAATTATGACTAATTTAGAACTATTTACTATCTAATTAATATATATATTATTTATATTATATTTATTAGATAAAATGGATTAGAATAAATAATTGATAAAAAATGAACTATTGAATTTGAGTTTTTCAGAAGAATAAATTGCTTAAGTATTACCAAGTGCTGATAGCTTAGAATAAGCTGTAGAATTACTATTAGCATTATAAGAAGGGTAATAAACATAAAAATAAAATATTGGATTATTTACAAATATTGATGCTATTCCATTTGATATTAATTTTGATAACATAAAACCACCAGGAGAATAATTTGATAAGAGATATAAAATGGTATGTGTTGTTAGAATGGATTTAAAAATGGGAATTGGTAAAATAGCAGCATAAACAGGACATGCAGGTATATTTTTAAATATTAAAATGAATAGTATTAGGAGCATATAAATAATTATTAAATAACAAATATGATTTATTATAAAAATGGGAAGGAAGTGGTTAAGCAAAAGTAGTAGTGAAATGTGACAGTCAATAAGAATTACATAATATAGAAGCAAAAGCAAGATAGAATGGATTAATTACATATATAGTAACAGATGCAGGTAGAACATAAGTAAGAATGAATTCGCGAGTCTTAGGTTGAGCCTGGAAGCCAAACGGTATGTGCAATTGGACCTGCTGATTGTGATCTAATTGATTAAGTGACTGGTCATTTGAAATTATTATGATATCATTAATAATTTAAATAGTAAAAAAAAATAATATCAATTAGTTGATCGAAAATTCTTTCCTATCTTTTTTAGATCTAATTGGTTAACAAGTGGAGTTGTTTATTCTTGTTATTTTTCTTCATTTCTTTAAACAGATTCATTATTAAAATCCTTCATAAGATGTTAAGTTTCTTCTATCATTTTTAATTGTAACATCTATTACTTTTTAGATTGAACAGTTTTCCATAAACTAGATCTCGATCTTTATTTAATTAAAGGCATAGGAGCAAATGATTTAATACCTTTGAATGATAATAATTCAATCTATTCTCTAAGTTTGAGGAGTCTTTCTTATTCATCTTATACTTTTTATTTCTCTTTCATTTTTTCATGTTTTGTAGTATCCATATTTGATAATTTTTCTCTTTATGTTTTAATCTATATACTCTAATCAAGTTCTAACCAAATGATATCAGCTTTAACAAAACCATTTTCATTATAACCTCCAAAGATTAATAATCTATTCTCATCTTAAGCAGCACAATGACCTGCACGACCATCTCTATATTCCATTTATATATTACACCAAGTTTAAGAATCTACTTTGAATATGTGACAATCATTTAAGAATATTGAATCAATATTAATTCCACCAAAGATAACAATAAGTTATTATTTGTCAAAATAATTACAAGTATGTTTATATCTAGCACAAGGAGGAACACCTTTGGCTTTGACTTCACTCCAATACATAGGTCTTTGATATGTATTTAACAAATATAAACCAGAATATAATTAACCCTATTTATTCTCTCCACCAAATAAATAGACTCCTTCAACTTTCTACTTCATTTCTTTCAAATCTTCAGCATCTAAATTAGATTTATAAAGTTGAATTAATCTATTAGTATTATAAACAGAAACTATAGTATGAAATGCTATTCCATTCTAAAAATAATTGCAAGTATCAATATTAGCAGGTGCTTATTTTGCTGTTGTTACATCAAAATGAAATGCATCTGATAAATATTTTCCTTTTGTATTTATGCCTCCCATTATTAATATATGTTTCCCTACAAATGTACTTGCCTAACCTCTTCTTACTTCTACACCTTCTCCACTATTTCTAACAATTTTGAATTCATTAGTTTCAGTATTGAATACTCTAAAATCATTCAAACTTTCTCTAATTTTCTATGCATTATCATATGGCTTTTCTCCACCAAAATAAAATATTTATCTTCTATATACTGCAGCTATATGATTTGTTCTTCCAAAAGGAGGTTTATCTATTATTTCAATTTAAGACCATTCATTTCCATTCCAAACATTCATATCATTAAATGGAGTTGCACTTATTCCACCATATAAATAAAACTTATTTTAAATTACACTCAATGTTGCTCCTTCTCTCATAGCAGGTTTCCATTTACCATAAAATTTCTCAACCCAATTTAAATAATAATTTGGAATAGTAGCATCTTAAACAATTTCTATTACTTTTGGTTAATGTTTATTTTTTATCTAACCATCTTCATTTAATCTAGATGGATAACACTTAATTCTTGGTAATCTTCCTACTGATTGACTCTTACTTATAGAATATTTTTCAATTAATTAAGACATTTATTCATTCTAATGTTTTATTTATGCTTTATTATGATCTAATTAGAATGCAATTTCATCCAAAGGACCATAACCTGTATATATTTTACTAGAACTTTTATCATTTAGACTCCTCAAACTATGTTAAGAATTGTTTTTAAAAAGTCTGGCTCTATAAGGTTGCCATTTTTATTCCTTCTCTAATTTATCTACTAATGTTTTATCTACTTAGAGTAATTCTTATGAACTTACAAATTTACTTTGTTTATTCTTATTATTCTACAATGGTAATGGTGGATGAATCTACATTATTCAATTGTTTATACCATTTATAATCCTCTTTAAACTAAGTATTTATATTTAGTCATAGAGAGATCACTAATTCCTTAATTCTAATATTCTTTTACTAAATGATCCATAGCTTCATCTTCATCATTAAAATTCAATATAGGTTAAAGTGGAGAAGGTGAATCATAATTACTCATATTATTAAATGTAAAAATATATTTCTGAAATAAATATTTATTATTTTTATTCTCAAAATAAATAAATAATTAATAACAACAACTTTGATATAACATATATAAATATTTTTATTATTTGGCTAGATATCCAATCCATAATTAGTTATTAAAGATATTAAATTTAATGAATCTCTTTAGATTAATTAAATTTAATTCATTATTTCACAAAAGATAATAATTTTTTAATGATTATATTTCAAATAAATTATCTGAGTCTCAATTTTATACTAAAAAATTGAGTAAATTTAAAAGACAATCACAGAGATAGTAATAATAATAGACATTTAAGAATATATAAGATAGAGAGAGTTATAGGAATCACTAATTAAAATGCTTATAGATAATCAAAGGTAAAGAATATTGTGTATGTATTTTTTTATATTAAAAATTTATATGTTAAATTAAGCAAAACTAGACTTATTTTCAGTGAATGTTAAATTATATTGGAAATGGAGCCAAAATTGATTAATATTTGTTATGACAACAGAGAATTGTAATTCATTTATTAGATTTGCTCTTGATCTAATAAGGGCTGAAGATTGTGATACAACTACACCTCCAAAAAAAGAATTAATGAAACCTAAATTAAGATTATTTGATATAGATGAGAATCCCAAATTCTTTTCTCCTATCAAACCTTTTCCTATCTAATAAAAAATAACAAAAATGAAATAAATTGATAAACCCATTCTCAATACTATAACAAAATGTAAATGTATGAAATCAAAATGTCAAAAATCTTATTGTGAATGTTTTGCCGCGGGAAAGGCATGCAATATTGATTGTAATTGTTTAGGATGTAATAATACAATTTGTTCTTAATCAATAAAGAAACTATAGACTGGAGGATGTAATTGTAAGAAAACAGGTTGTTTGAAAAAATATTGTGAATGTTATCTAAAAAAATAAAGATGCACATTTTTATGTAATTGTATTGATTGCTGTAATCAAGAAGATTCAGAATCAGAAAAAGAAAATGAACAATAATAATAATAATAATAATAAATTATTGATTGTGGATAAACAATTACTAATTAAATAACCAAATAATGAATAACATTTTATAAAATAATTTAAACTCATATAAATAATTAAAATATTCTTCTCAATCTATAAGGAATATGTAAATAAAAATTATTTAAGTTAATCTTTAATACTATATTAATCTATTAATCTTTTAAACAAATTTAAAATTATATTATCAATAAATTTAATTTATCAATATCATAATTGTTAATATTTTATTGCAATGAAATCAAATTCGTATTATTAATTATCATATAAAATATCAGGGTCTTATCTAACCATGATATAAGACTAGACTTATTATATCATGATAAAATTTTAATTCTATTTTCTTATTAAAATTAAATATATCTTTTTAAAGATAACATATTCCATAAATAAAAAATTTATAATTTAAATACATTTCACTAACACTTATTATTGATTAATTGACTTTACTGTTTCAAATTGCATACTACTATACTTCGTTTATCAAATCTAATCTTTTTATATATACAGGATCTAATATTGGAAGAATGTAATTATAACTTTCTTATAAACATGCTATTTTTTAAAAAGGAGAAAAATAAAATAAATTAAATTAGATTAAGAAAAAAACAAAAACAAGTTTTAGATAGCATATTAATAGATTTGAGTGATACTTTATTTAAATATAGATTTTCCCTAAAGGATTAATTGACATGTAAATTTCAACTAAAAGTATCCAATTTTTAGAATGATCTAATTAATTACTTTTAATTTGATTTTATAGTATATATTTTGTCTAATAATCTAAGTTTTTGATTTCCAAAATAATATTTTTTATGATTACTAATATACAATCTTTTATCAAATGATTGAATACTTTAATATTAATAATAATTTTCAATATTTAAATATCATATATCTCTATATTCTTTTTTCTAATAATAAATAAAATGAAAATAAATTTGGAATAATTTAAGATTTTTAGAATAGAAAATACCATCTATCTTAGAACAGATATAATTATAATTTAATACTTAATTTATCATCTAATTTTTGTTTTCATAAATAATTCCTTCAAAAATAAGTACTTGTCACTTTAAAAAAATAAGTAATGAGGATCAAAAAGAATTTATTATAAAAATATTGATTAGAAAATAATGCTAAAGGTCTTGATTGTAATAATGAAAATTGATTTGTATAATTTTATATTTATATTCATAAAATATTATGAAAAATAGATTTGAGAATTCCTAAGATCATGATTTAGATATGTGTGGCATATCAAGATCATACTCATAAACAAAATTATCTGGTCTTAAGAATCAAAATAAAGATAAATTAAAAAATGAGTTTGTATAATATATTTTAAAGATAAGGTCGATAAACATCTATTATAAAGAAAGGATTAGGAAGATCTTGGAGGTTCAATTTAACTTAATGATTTAAATATTTTGGGATTGAAAGATTATTACTCAGGAGCATGTGATAACAATATGGAAATTTAACCCAAGAAGTAGGAAGAAACCATTGATCGTATTTAAATTGAAACTCAATAAAATGAACCATTCAATAATACTCTAGATTAATTTGGTCAAAAATTGAATGAAGTGATTGGACAATATCTCTGTGAACTTACTTCTTAATCTAGATTATCCTTAGACTCATTCTCCCTTCAGAATAGTGAAAATCTAGATGAAGAACAACAGTAATAAATTCTAGATCTTGAATTAAATGTTATTAGATAGCGTATATATAAGGTAAGATATGTGTTTAATTTAGCAAATCGTGGATAAGATCAACCTTTCTGTAATTCAATCAGTTTAATCTATTGGAACTTCGAGTTAACTTACATCTTAATCTAATTATATTTCGACTTGTGTTTCGAAAGAACTCTTGAATAACAGCGTTACTTAATTTTCATAGATTTCATAAAAATCACCTCCTAAATCGCTTACTCATTCTCTATTAGATTTACAATCACAACTTTAATAAAGTGTGCAATAAGCATAAGCTAGGCCTAATAAAAAAAATGATGAATTGCCATTTAATATTGTAGATTGTGAAGGAACAAAGGAGGAATTATAAAATAAACTAAAGATTTCCATTTAATTAAATTATTAATAATCTCAAATAAATAGTCAATTAAGAGAAGAATTATAAAAATATGAAGTATGGTAATTAGATTATGAATTTAGAAAATGAATTAACCATTTGATTCAATATAAGAGGACGAAATACATACATTATAATAAGAGATCCAAAATTTAAGACATGAAAATGCCAAACTAAAGGAGATTTAATCAAATAAACTATGCGAAAAATGTAAAGATAATATTAAATGATTTTATATAATCAAACTAAATATATATTTTGAAAAATCCATTGATTTTTTACATTTGTTTTCTTATAAAATTAGAATTATTTAATAACCTAACTATTATTAAATATTAATAAATTATTCAACATCTTAATAAAACACAATGATTATAAATTAATTAATCACTAATTAAATAGACTATATATGACTTATTGAAATATTTATTAACACTATAATTGTCATTTATTATTTTTTTATTATTTTATTAGTGGAAGTATTTTATCCAAAACTTATTAATATTATAAAATAATATTTTTTATTTTTTATTCCTCCTTCTATGGTTACTGCAAACTCTTATGTCTTTTGTATCCCTAATTTTAAAATTTGTAATTTCCAATAGGCTTAACATTTAAACTCTTTTCTTAATTATTTTATTGTTTTGATATAGGTTTTGCAACTCTGGGACTAGTTTTGCAATTAGATTTATCAAATGTAGATGTACTTGATTAATATACAATAATTACATTTATTATAATTTAATTTGCATTCTAGCATTTTCTTTTTTTCTATTTTCTTTTAATTCTATTGATCTTTTCGAATTACAAGAACTTACACTACGAATGGATTATCTTGAATACAAATATATTTTTAGTTAAAATTACAGATTTTTGAAAAGTAGATTCAACATTGTTTAATTTATGTAGTAGTTTTTTGTTTTATTTCATAATTCCTTCCCATCTATTAATTTCTTATTTTCTGGCAGCTATATATCTATTTTATTTATAAGAATCAATTGTTTTATCTAATTTTGGAAGGGAACTCTTTCTTTATTAAATATCACTTAGTCTCCTCTTATGAATCAAATAAGTTCTAAGAGAATAATTCATTATTTATACTGCTTATTCTATTGTTAGATGTATCTCTACATATACTTTCTAACTAATAAATATATATATAAATATATAAAATATATAAAAAAATAATCAAACTATTTTGGAAGTAACTTAGACAAACTTTTTGAGATTTATTTATTTTTTACTCAATAAATAGATTGCTGCAGCCACACAAAATCCAGTAGTAATGCTCCATTTCCAATACTACTCTTTTTTCTTTTTGTTTTGATTCTTATCTATTTATCATGTATTGTTACCGCTTAGGCTTATGTCTTGATTATTTCAATTTCTTTGAGCACCTTTTATCTCCTTTGTCTAACTCTATTCATGTCATAGAAAGTAACAACCTTAATCTATATTATTATTTACCTTATCTGTTATACATTCAGTCTTTTATTAATTGTTTACTTCTCTAAAATGACTGAATAAGGAGAGTTTACTTATAAAATATACTTTAATTTTCAATGCAAATTGTTTTCTATTGATAGTTATTTAATTCATCTGGAGAATTTTAGAGAAATCTAGATTCACATCTCCATTATATAATATTATTAACACAATTGTTGGATATTTATACTCATCTAAATATGGTATATATTCTGATCTTATAATCTGATGTTACCTAGTCTTCAAATTAATTTTTAGTTTACAGTTGATTTAAATAGGTTGTCTATTTTCTATTTAATTTCATAACACAATTGTTTGGCCTTATTAGCTGAATATTTAATTCTGGTCTCTAATATCACTATTTCTCCTTAAAGTATTTCTCCTTGATCTTTAGCTAATTTATTTGAATATAACTCATAGAAGTTGTGCTATTACTAATCTTACTTGTCTTAATTAAATGAGTTAGATGGATTATGTACAAATTGATGTCTTCGATTGGCTTAGTCTTGTCTACTCTATTATTTGAATTATACGTAGTTCTAATTGATCTAAAATATTCTTCCTTAGTATAAACGTTAGTGTTTTCTAATTTCTAATCAAACATTAAAGAAAATGAATTAAAAGTAAAATTCCTTAATGCAAAAAATACTTAACTCTCTGTATTTTGATTCTACATTAAAAAAACTGCAAATTACATTAATTTATTATGTCTTATAATTTATCAATTGTTCACAACTAACTTTTTTTGAATCCAATATATGTAGCATATGTACAAAAGATGGAGTAAGAAATGAATCAAACTCATCCCCAATTAAATAATGTGCATACCGTTATAAAAATTGACTCTCTATTTTTGAATGAATGTCTTAAGCAGAAGCCTATGATTTTCCAGTATGCGCAATATCGTTCATGTTAACAAAAAAACAATATTAAAAATATTAATTATTTTTATATTTCAAAATAATAATAGTACATCAAACTACTAGATTCTATTTATCTATAATAAATATATCTATTTATATTTTATACGTACTTACAATAATAATTGAAAACCTAAACAATTTCATATATATTTATTTCATAGATTTATGTTCAATCAATATGTACTTAAATGTTATTCTACAAATGATTTTAATATATGTTAAATATCAGATGGATATTTTAATATATTATTACACCTTTCTAGTTGAAATAATTATGTTAAACATAGATTTATTTATAAAAAATCCTAAATTATTATTAACAATTCACAAATTTCCTAATTAATCAATAATCTTAATTTATTTATTCATATAGACATGGCTCTAATTCTAAATTTAATAATGTTATCACTAAGTATAAATTAACAATCAATAATCATATATTAATTTGAAGATTTCATAAAAATGATTATTATTATTCCATTATTTAATAAGGCTTACTTGTCAATTTCAATAATAATACTATGTATTTTTAACTCTGTGAATCATGGAAATAAAACTAATAAACTAAATCATTTTAAATATAAGAATAAATTAATTTAGAAAGATATAATTAAAGATATTATAGAAATATTATATTAATATAATTTAAAATATGTAAATAATTCTTAAATTTAATAAATAGTTTAACTAATTTATAAATGAAAAATAATTTATATGTCAAACTTTTATATTTAAGAATCTAACATATCAAAAACATTTAAACCTTAATCTTTAAAGAGTTCCAATAATTCTAATTGAACTTTATGGTATTAAAATTGTTTTAAAAATGACTTATTTAGCGATCGGAACAATTTCCTTGCTCTTAAAACTAAGATGCTAATCAAAATATTTTGAGTTTAAAGCATCTTCTTATCATTTTGATTAAGAATTTTGAGAATACTAATTTTCTTGTAAGTAGCAATTACAATACACATGTTGTGGCCTATAAATCAATATTAGTATCATAGGCATTCCAATTATAATTTAATGATCTAGAAAATATCTACTCACAGTGAAAGTAATACCAAAATCACAGAGTTTCAATAACTTTTTATTAGCTAATATTATCATTTAATATGAATATAATTATCTCGAATAAAAATAAATAAGAAAATTATTTATAAGTAGATTGATATAAATAATTTATAAGTTTTTATAATATTTAAATCATCATCATTTTTTAATTTATCATACTTATCTAAAATAGTATTTTATCTTTATAAATTTTTGTTTCAATTTTTTAAACAATTCTTACCTTATCTGTCTTCTTCTCTAAAATATAGCTTCTTTATCTCAAATTATCATTATTAAATTCATAATTTTATTTGATTTTTATTGCTAATCTATAATCTTCTAACTCTATTCTTTTCACTTGACTCTTTTTTTTATATTTTTTTATTTTTATTATCCTTCTCTTATTCATTCCTTCTTTCTGCTTTTCATCTTTGCTTTTATGTTTTTAGAATGACGTATCTTAATCCAATTCATGTGTTACAATTTTATAGTTTTATCAATTTCATATTTTTCTTTAATTATTTTTATTTATGTCTAAAACATAAGAAGATTTTTCAAATTTGCTTAAAGGAATTTCATAAGTCAAGGTCATAAAATAAGAATTAAAACATAAATATTTGCATATTTGTAGTAAAACTTATAATGATAGAGATTTAATTGTTGATTGTAATATATTGTTACTTATATTTTATAAAGGCATGTACAATAATTTGAAAATTGAAGAGAGATAATTGAATAATTTTATCTTAAGAATAGAAGCACATGCTAAATTTTATGAAGCTAATAAGCAATTGTTGAACAAAGAAGAAGTAGAAACATAATTATTATCCACAAAAAATTTAGCGGTTGAATTCAAAGAGTGGTTTGATAGATGCATACAGAAATAAAAATGAATCTAGGTTAAGTATTTTTCTCATCTAAGTATATAAAGCATTATTAAAATTCATTATAATATTTTTATTTAATTTTTTAATTCAAAATAATATGAATTATTTTATAAAATTATTTGGAATTTTTTCATCTTTTCCTTCAATACTTAATTCTCACAAAACTAACTCAAAATACTTTTTATTTACTTTAAATTTCTTTAAGAATCACAAATTTAGAAAATATAAGTGTTTAGAATACCATATTCACTTTAGTTTCTATAAACAATAACTTTTAGATTTAAACTTCCAAAATAATCATATATACTAACTATTTGATGTTTTGATGATATTCAAATGTAAGAACTATTGTTATTTAGGTATTCATATAAATTATGAAAAATTATTATAAAAAAAGATACTTTTGAAACTTAATTAAAAAATAAATTTTTATAAAAAAATTATTCAATTATATTTGAAGTAGAGGAATATAAAAATTAATAATTGAATCTTTAAGATATTAATAAAATCTTTATGATTCAAGTAAGTAATTGAATTTAATAACAAATATTTCTATTATGTATTAATTAATTGAAAAACTTAATTCAAAAAATTTATATTAAGGAAAAGTAATCTTGAGTTTAATATTGGGATTATAACACAAACTTTAAAGATCTTTTTAAATCAATAATATCATTTATATGGTTAAATTCAACAAACAATCTCAAACTTACCCTAAAGACAACAAGAGCAATACATGTATACAATATTTTGTATTTTAGAAACTCGAGACACTATAGAAAGTCTTGATTAATGTGTTATCACAATAGACAAAGTAGGCCCTCATTAAGAAAATTGTACCATTTGTTATAAATAACTTTGCTCTAAATGCTTTAAATAATTAGAACTCTTCTCCTAAAAAAGAACTTAGACTTTTTAATGTCCACATTGTGAAGAATTAAAGGAATTGAAAAATACTATCCTATGCTTTATAGTAAATACACTCTAATTGATTCTTTTCCTATCTCTCTCACCTCTAGTGGCATTTGCACTAGCTCTTAATAAAACTGAAAAGCTTATACAAGAAATAGAAACAAAAATTGATAGCATTTTCATAATTTTGATTGTTAACTTACTTTTTAGCATACCTCTATACTTTGGAGAACTAATAATTTGTATTTTCATTGCTCCTTTCAAAATAATCTATGCATTTCAAAAAGCCATGAGTCAAAGGGACTTTGTAATTATGAAAAGAGTGTTCTCGTTATAATGAAATTTGTTTTATATGTGCTAATTGATTAATACGTAATATATGTCATAATCATTTCTTTTAAATTGAGTAATTTAATACAAAGATGATGCTAAATAAATATGCATCATTTGAAAACAATTGTCTAAAAGGCCTAATTCCTAAAATTATTATAATTATATAAAGATTTTTTGATTTCATTAATTATGTTCAATAATGTGATTTTTCACTAGGGGAATACTTTAAAAGTCAATTTAAAGTGTTTATAAGTAGATAGATTTTGGATTGAATTTTATCAAAAATAACATTAATATAAGTTAAGATGATGTAGATTCTTATAGAATTAGATTTAAAAAATGGTACTGTTGAATATTATAACATCCAATAAGTTCATTGTGATACCATAATATAGATTAACTCTATAATAGAATCAAAATTATAATTATAAGAATCATTTGAGTATAAATATTCATATTTTTATACTTATTAAAAGAATAAAACTTAATTTATCATAATTAATTAAGAGATAATTTTAATTAAATTTGGTATTCTTATATAATAATAAATTCATAGATATACTTTATTATCTATTATTTATTTAAAGTATTTTATTAGGAAATTAATATCTTAATTAATTTAGTATCTTATCTAAGGAATAATAAATTTTATATAAAATTATAAATGAATTAATAATATTTAACATTCAAATATTATAATTATTATGTTTGTAGTTAAAATAATAAAGTTGAATTCACTAACATTAATTAAATGAAGACTAAGGAGGAAGAATATTCATTGATTCTATTTATAATAGTGTTCTTTTAAAATGACTAAAATTATAGAAATTATAATTACACATGAATTGATTATTTTTTTAGTTTTAAATATTTAACTTCTAAAGGTGAAGGACTTAATTCTCCATTATTTTCTTCATGTTCTTCTTAATTTAATTATTCTTTTGTGACTTTACTCATACTTTCTAAAGCTAAAGACAAAAGATTATGATCTTCAAAAAAAGAAAGTTATGATAAATTATTTTAATGACTAGGCATACCAATAACACTTTAATTTCCACTTTAATTACAACTACTAAAAGATTCATTAAAACTAGAGTTGCTTTTTTGTTTAGCAGGTGTTAATGAGATTTTTCGACATTATTATTCAGGAGTCTTTAAAAAACTATGTCCAGATAATCCATCTAAACCATTTAATGTACTTGATGATGCTTATTTTTTACGATTTTATTATAAATCTTATTACTCCTAATCTGTTGTTTTTCTTGATCGTTTCAAAACTGCAATTTCTGAACTTGGAACTTAAAGTGATGATGGAGTATAATCCCAATCATATCTTAATTAATCTTAAATATTTTATTAATGAGCTAAATGCTAAAACATCTATTTTAAGAATTTATAATCTGGAGTTGCTTTAAAGTCTAATTTTCTTGCATAATCAATCATTCTCTCAAATTCATTAGGTAAACCACTACATAATTCATGAAGACTTATTGTATTTTTCATCTCACCTACAGCCTTAATTTTTTATGCATCCTATAATTTTAAAACTTGCCAAGGTAAGCTTCCTAAATCAAAATACAATACTTAACCTTTTAATAGATAAATCAAAACATAACCCAAAGATTCTAAATCATCTCTTCTACTTAGTTCTTATCCTTTATGAGCTCCCAAACTAGCGTATCGAGATGTTCCTAAAAATGGTTTATTTTCACAAAAATTGCTTTTGAATACTCAAAAATTTACATACATATGTCTTCCTTTCTTATCTCTATAGAATTTACTTATACCAAAATCCACTAAGTATATATTCGAATCATTATCTCTTCCTGTTAGTATATTCTCTGGTTTTATATCTCTATGCAATACAGATCTGTAAATTATTATCAAATTTTACTTTAGATGTATATTCTCCAGTATACTTAACATCTATTCAGCAATTAAAAGGACACATTTTAGGGAAAACTTTTTATATTGTCTTATATAATAAGTGAGATCTTTTCCCAAGAAACTTATTACCATTAGCATTTATTTCTTGTGCTCTCCAAAATAATACAGTCGAGGTATACTAAGAGTCCCATTCAAATGTTATAGAATTTTTGCCTATTGATGTTATTTATTAGTTACTTCTTTCTCTAGACTTGAACCAGAATCATTCTTTTCTATCTTTATTGCCACATACTAATTAGTTTAAACATCTTATCCTACATACACTACACCAAATGACCCTTAAGAAATTTTCTTCTTTATTAAGTATTAATCATTAATCATTAAATTAATGGCATCATTACATTTATTCCAACCCTGGTTAATTTCTTTGGCCAAATAACAATATTCTTAATTATTCACAACTAAAACCAATAAGATCAACTTAAAGATAAAATGAAAACTAAATTCATTGTTCCCCTTGTTATATCTAGAAATCAAATCTCAATTCAAATGTTAACGAATATTTGTATGTTGAATTAATATCATAGAATTAATCATCATCTTAATCTTATTAGAACAGAAGTGATAATACAGATATATGGAAAATAAAATAATTGATAGTGATTTTTAAATTCTTGTAAACAAATTAAGAAGACAGTTTTCAAATTAATGCTATTTTATCCTGATATTAGTTAAAAGTTAACTATTTAATTGATATTAAAATTGTAATGATTAAATTATTAAGCTTTAATTCTAATATCTGGACAATTTTTTTGAGTCTAATATTTTTAAGTCTTTTATAAATTATTAATAAAAAGTTCTTAATTCTGAATCTAATAATGTTTTAATATAAAATATATTCCTATTAATAAAAAGAATATTAAAATATATTTTCATTAACATTTAAGTATATCAGTAAATAAGAATTATTGTATTAAATAATATTTCTACATAAATAAAACTATTATTGATTATTAATAATAATAAAATCTTTATAGAATATCATAATTTTAAAGGTAAGGCAATTCAAATTAAATGTAAATATGCAGCATTTCTCATATTAAATTATTAATAAATAATTAATAAAAATATGCTTAGATGAAATTCTAAAAATAAAATATAGATTCAACTAAAAGTATATAAAATTAAGGAGAATCTGATTTAATATTATTTAATTAATTTATATACATTATATAAAAAATAATGCTTATAAATAATTATTCTAGAGTGAATGGTTTAAAAAATTATGGTATCTCAAATAATTATAGGCAAATCAATTATTACTGCAATAGTCTATGAATTATTATTAATATTATAATATAATAAACAATGTGAAAAAATTTGCACATAAAATAGATTTTAAGAATTTTAAATTTAATGGTACTTCGAATATAAAATACACTAAATCAGAGATTAAGTAATCCTTAATAGTATTCATTGTAACAATTATGTAGATCTTATTCAACTTTTTAATGACATAGCTCATATTCTCTTTCATCTGATTATGATTTGTAACATTATAAAGCTTATCTTTCAATAAAGAGTAAACGTATTGATAAGAAATTTGCTATATTGTCTACTTTGCCTTCATATTGTTCCATACCTTAAATAATTAAAATTTTGTTTTACATGTAGCAAATAATTCAAAAGTAGTTGAATTATTAAGACAATGTTCTTTATGCTTTGCTGCTGCTTCAACAGACTTAAGCATTTATTCTTCAGATAGTTTTATATTATGTTTATAGGAATCGAAATCCTTTTCATATTACTATTTTCTTTACATCAAATTAATATTGATATATAATTATTGTGTAATTATATTAATATATATAAATAATTCATCATTAAAATGGTTTATTCGAAACAATAGGATCACACATTATACTATTATAAACTTTTTCTCTTAGTAGTTTAATAAAAGTTTATGTTTAATTTTCTATTAATTCTCCCAATAATCTAGGGATATAAGTATAATATTTTCTATAGAGATCCTTTTCAGTACTAGTGAGTTTTTCTTGTTTTACGAAATAGCAATAACTAATTTGATTAAATTTTTCGATGTATTCAATACTTGCATTATTCATAAAGTTCTTAAAATTAATTAGTATAATCTTTTACTTTTAATTGATGTTGAGGTAGTTGTTACCTCATTAATTATAAACAATTCACCATATGATTGGTTAATTCATAATAATTTTTGCCTGTTATCATAAATTAACTATTAACTTATTATTGTATTTTATTTATATAATTGTGGATAACTGGATTAATATCAATTTGTACTTTTCTACATATTAATATTATATACTTATTAACATTAATTCCATTTATATCAATATTGAGATGATAATCATTTGTCATTGTATTATAACCTTAGAGAATCATTGTAATTATTTTTAATATTTCTTCCAATTATTATTCCTTTAGATTTTCTTCTACTTATTCATTTAATATTTTTTAATCTAATTTTGTAGACATTTATGATTTATAATCATCTAAGATTAATTAATAATGAGCAATTAATTCATTTTTTTAATTAATTTCATTTAATTATAAAGTTTATGTTTTTAATTATTAATGAAAATTATCTTCCATCTCAGTTAATAATTTTTCAAATTCTTTAATAGTATCATCTTGTTCCATTAATTTATTTTTATAAAATTAAAGTTCTTCAATAATTTCTTATTTTTCTTCTTAAACATTTTAACATATTTATTGATACTAATCTAATTGAATAATAATCTTTTAAACTTTATCAAATGCAGTCTTCCCTTCCACCTAACAAACCTTATTGATAAATAACTCTAATTAAGATATCATTTTATTAGAATAGTTTTGAAATGATTATTATTTAATTTATTCTAATATTGGTTTAAATGAAAGGGAATTTCCTTATTAATTTGCATTATCCAATAATTTAATTACTTATTCAATTTATTAAGATTAATCTATATTAATTGTCCAACATCCTTTTAAAGCCTATCTCAATCCTTAATGTTACTTTTAATATAATTTAGTGATATCCATATTACATTATAATAATTCATAGAAAACTCTACTTTTTTCTTTATAAAATAATAATTCATCTTCTTTTTTGATTAATTAAGAGATTATTTCTTCCTATTTTTCTAAAGTCAATTACAATATTTATTAATTCTTAGATACAATCTATTCATTCATTTAAGTACACTATTTAATAAAGATATCCAACATTTCTTTATATTCTAATTCTCTGTTAATAGACTCTTATAATTCTTATTTAAAATATGAAGCAGTTTCAATATATTTAAATTGAACATTATCATTTCCTTATTTCTCTTATTCTAAAAATTAATTTAGAATTTCTTTTGCTGTAGTAGTCTGTACAGATACTTTTAATTTTTGAACATCTTTTTATTGTTAATTTTAATCATCAGTTAATGATTAATACTTTTCTTTAAATCCATCATTATCTCTCAGCTATTGTTCTAAGAAATGAATTTATTGAGATAATTCATCAATCAAATAATTCTATTATGATAATTCATCCCTCATTAATTCAATCTCTTTATCCTTCCTCATTAGTTATGTGATAACAGGAGAGAATTATTTATTCTTTGGAGGCAATGTTACTTAAGAATCATAGGATGAAGAGTTAAGTTAATAACTTCTATCGATCATTTGAAATTTATTTTACAATAATCCAATACTTATTTAAATTATCTTATCAAATAAAATTTTATATTCACTAATTGGTAAATCAACTAATTTTTTCAATTTATCAGCAAGTTCCATTCTAAAAGATAAAAATCTATTTTTTATATTTTTTTATTAAAGTTTTTTCTTGAAAGATTCAACCTAGAAATTAAATATGTTTATATAAGAATCAATTATGTAGTCTATAATAATTTATAGATCTTTGTAAATAAGTTATGTATTTTTTCATAAATATTTCAATTGTATTACACAATTTTAATTTCTATTAATCTAAGCTTTTAAGAATACTATAATTTCTTAAACTATAAATAAATCTATAATCTTATAAAAAAATAACATAAAAAATCTAATTATCTTTTTATGAATTTACTAAAAAGATCCCATCCAAAACGGTGAAATCAACTTAAAGGAAGAATTTAATTAATATGTAAATAATAATATTAATAACAATATATGGAGTAATTACTGTTAATATAACCAGAAGAAAATCTAAAATTTGAATTAGAAAATAACTAATATGTTGCTAGAATAGTTTTGCAGAATGTTTCAACAATCTTTGTTGCTTTTAAAGTTAGATTAAGCAATCAAAATGATTATAGTGTTAAACCAAATATAGGAGTCTTGAGAGCTGGTAATAATGTAACATTATAATTAACAACTGGAAATACCATTAGTATAAATAAAGATCGTGTTTAGATATTAGCAGGACCCATATCTAACAATGAAGTATAACTTAATAAATAAACAGGATGTCATTGAATATTTCAAAAAACAGTAGAGATTGAATTAAAGAATTATAAAATGTTGCACTGATGAATTTTCATCCTTATAATCTACTGTTAATAAATCCACTATTTTTCCATAAGAAATTAATGATTTTAAAGTAACTACAATAAAAAAAGAATATGTAAAACCTCAAAAGAAATAACAATAATCAAAAGATATTTTAAACTTGGAAGAACAGATTAAAAAAATTGTAAGATATATTAATCTATTATTTTAGAGTGAAGATCTTAAAGTTATTAAAGAAAAATAAAATGATGGAAAGATAACTGTTGGGATTAAGTAATTTTTAATATCAATTTTAATTTCTATGATTTTTGGAGTATATATAACTTATAGATGATTATATTCAATTCAAAATATATCTAGTTCTTTATTTAATAAGAACATTAGTTATATTAATTCTTTTCATATTTTTTATTTATTCTTAAGTGAATTCAAATGATACTTTCTTATTTGATAATGGATGATACTATAATTTTTAAGGATTTTTATTTAAGGGCCATTCATAAGAACTTATCTTTAATATTCCTTAAGGAGATAGATTTCTTATACTTATACTCGCTTTTGCATTTTTATAATTTCTAAATTTTGTCTAATGTCTTTTATTATTTTAAACAGCATTTTTGTTTTTAAGCATGTTCATTTTAATTAACTACAAACTAAAAATTTCATCATTATTATTATTATTTTAGCATCTTTTATTATCTAAATATATGTCAACACTTTTGCTGACATTAATTGTACATTAAGAAATAGTTTGTAATTTGCATTTATCCAAATTTGGTTATACTGATTGAGATTTAGATGTTTCATCATTACTATACCCAATTCCCATGAATTTATATTCTGGAGATGGTGCTGGTTAATTAACTCTTTCATCTTATGCATCTATTTAAGTAATACCCTTATTTTAATGTTAGAAGTTAGTTTAAAAGGGATATATTTTAATCTGCCTCATTTCCTCATCTGAGTTTATAGATATGTTTATATCAAAACTATAATCTGTTGTCATTATCAAAAAAATAAATATCAAAACAGAAACATTTAAAATAAGATTTTCCGATTATCACATTTACAGATAATAAATTTAACAGGTTTTTATAAATTTAAAAAATTCGAGAATATTTTTATAGTTATCCACTTATATAAAAAAGAATAAATAATTAACAACATTTAAAATTGCTGGTATATCAAATTTTATTCACTCTATGGTTTCTTGAAATTATTATTTATGAATAAATTTCAATTATTCATAACTTCTTTTACTTATTTTTCATCTAGTCAAATTCTAAACTTTATTATAACTTGCTTGTGCTTGAAATCAACAAAAACATAAATTAATCTAAATTCTATATCAAATATTCTTAGTTTTTATAATTTATTTTTGAAAATAATAACACAATATCTAATACATCTCAAAAGATTAATTTAGGTGAAGAATAATTATAAAAAATGATTAATCACATTCATATTTAGAAAAAAAATATTAACATTATCTATTAGGTATTAAGTATTTTCGAAATTCTAAAACACAAATTAAAAATAATTAATTCTTATAATAAAAAATATTAATATTCTGATAAGATGATTTTTATCTTATTTTGATCAATAAATTGATTAGTTCTTGAAATTCATCAAAAAAATACAAACTGTTTTTGTATGTTCATTAAATAAGAAATTTATTAAAAATCTTGGGCATTTGATAAGAATTAATATAATTCAAATACGTATCAATTTAAACATAATAAGTATAAAAATCAGATCAAGTTAATCTTTATATAAAAAATTATATATAAATAAATGAGAGACTATTATAGGATTTGAATATCTAAAATTAAGATAAAGATATGAATAATAGAATTAATTTAGCACAATAATGATAAGACATAAATTTATTAATTATTTTGATAAAAAATAATTAATTAACAATTTTCAAATTAGTGCTTAGAATATAAATAATTAATATATAAACTAATAAATCTAATTTTTAAATTTAACCTTTTATATAATTTCATTTCGAAAACTCAAATTTAAGAAACTTAATAAATAATAATTTTCTAATTGTAGCAATATTTTTATATATATATATATATATATATGAATATTTACTTAAGATTCATTTATTAAATTGAATTTATCATAATGGAATTAAAAAAAATAAATTGAAATAACATTGAAATTATTTTAGATATATATTAATAATGTAATAATAAAATTAACTAAAATAATATACCTATATCATATTGCATAACTTATGAATGGGAATTTCTAGATAAGATCAGCTTCTTCTGATTTGCCTTCTGCTCTTAAACTCTCTATATATGCTTCTCTTTTAGAATTGTTTTCGAATTTACACCTTCGATATCTTAATGGAGCTACAATGACATCTTTATAATTTAACTAATTGTCTCCAATGTATGGTTTGAAGATTTCTTTGAATTTATCAAAAAGATCATAAGAATGTTTAAATTTTTTGGATTCATATTTGACAAAGAGTTAAAACTTTGAATCATATTCTCGTGTATGACTAGCAAGAACTTCATCCAAGAAATCTTCTTCTAATTCAGTTGAATAAAATTATTCAAATAAAATTGTTCCATAAATTTTGTATGTATTTTTATAACTCCAACTGGCAGTTTCAGGTGGCCACATATAACTTGGTTTATCCAATAAATGTTGAATGAAATAAGAACGACTACTTTATGCTTTAGATTATTAAAATGGATAAGCCTTATCTCCAGCTTTATCAAAAGATGAAATGGCTGGATAAGATAGAGTACCTCTTCTGTCTTAAGACAATGAAGCTTAAGGTGCTGCCACAGTCTATTTGAACCATCCTATTAATTATCCCCAAACAAATTAAGAAGAATAAGCTCTTCCTTCACTTTTACATTTCTTTTTAAAAGCACCAACTTTCCTCCATTCTAAATCCTCAATTGGAGGAGATGAGAATCCAGTATATTCATATGGTTTAAAATATGTATATGTAAATGCCATCATATAAAGAATTAGAGATAATGCTTCATGATGAAAAGTGTATTATTGTTACATAAGCATATGTGATAATGTTAAAAATAGCATTCTTGTTATTAAGAGTTCTTATCTATGAATATTATGAATGTTTTCTTTATAATCATGCAATTATTATTTTTTTTTGTAAATGATATGAATAAGTTCAATCATTTTTTTTTGATTATGTTTTTAAAATAGTTGATATAATTCATTAAAAAATGATGATTCATTTGATGTTCCAGAAGAATAATCTTTCCAAAAACTTTCTAATAAATCACTATCTCCAATAATAGAGATAGGTGGTTCACTACTATCACTATTATTTAAAAAGAATTTAATTTTATCTAAAGTGAATATAAGATTCTAAATTCTATCTTCTGAATGTTATGTAGCAGTAAAATGATTCCATTATTCAACTTCTGCTGTTTATTCATATTTCAAATTTAATTCACTTTTATATGTTTGACGTCTAATTATATTAAATATGAATAATACTCTTAATCTATAAATTTCAAAATATAACCAACCCAATTCTTTAACCATAATGGACAATCATTTAATACACTTGATCCTATTCTGTATTTACTATATAATTCTGAATCTTCATTCGATTTATCTACATTATCACTACATGATTTTAACAAAATAGCATTCCTTGTTAAAAAACAATGCTCTTTATCTAATATTCCATTATATTCCTTACAATTAGATAATTATAAGTAATAACTAATATTATAATATCAAATTTACATTTTGCATTTTTCACTACCACATAAACATAATGCTTATAATTATTCTTATTTACTCTCAGTAAATGAGCAATAATCAAAAGTAAGTTCCTCTCCATATTGAATTTCTCTCATTGCATACATTCCAATTACATATGTACCATTACTAACAGTAGTAACTGTTCCACAATTAGGATTACAAGAGTGACTCAATCTAGATGAATAATTGCCTTTATTTATAGGATCTACAAATAAGAAATCAATTCCTTTAATATCATCTCTATGAATATCTAACATTATATTATAAAAATCTGGTAATATATCTTTTTAATTATGTTCTTTCATTTATTTTTTAATAAAATCTTATTTTTCATACCATCTCCAAGGTTGATATATTTCACCTAAATATGGAATAATTAATGAATTATTCTTGATTCCTTATTTATTAACACAAACTAATCCAAATCCTTTAGTATGTATTCTAAATCCTTCTGGATCATATTTAATAACTTTTTATATCTATTTAGCCATTTTTCTATCATCTTTATTGTA